CACCATCCTGCTGCCCAGCTCAGCGCAGGGGCGGCCTCGGCAGAGCCTGGCTTCCGGCCCAGCCCCCGTGGACGAACAGCTCACCCCCCACCAGCCAGCCCCAGGACAGCTGCTGGGGCACAGCGACCAGCAGGCGGGCACCACCGCACCCTCGCGGGCTGAGCGCGGCCAGGCCCGGCGGCACCCCGCTGTGGGAGGGGACCTCCAGTGGCCAGGACCCCGCTGCCGCAGGCACACTCGCTGTGACAGGTGACCCCAGGCCACCCAGCACCAGCCACCGCACTGGCCCTGCCCATTCCTGTCCTGCCTCCTCCTCCGCCGGGGCCAGAGCAGGGGGGGCCGGGGGCCTCTGACCACAAGCCCCCGCCCCCCGGCGCCGGACGGGGGAGAGCGGCCCCTGCCCTCCCAGAAACCCCCACGTACCTGGCTCCGGGCGACCTCTCGCACGTGGCTCCGACGGCTGGTCCAACCCCAGAGTGACCCTCAGGAGACCCCTCACCCCCCTCGGGGCCCCCAGGCGCCCCGCCTCAGCCCTGCCACTGCCTGAGGAAGCTGGGGGCCCTGGCATGGACACGGCCCAGACAGGCCGCCTGGGAACTGGCTCCGGCCCGGCGTCCCCGGCCCTCGCTTCCTCTGCCGCTTCCTCTGCGGGGGGTGGGGAGGGTGGCCTCGGGCCCGCAGTCCCGCTGGCGCCCCTTCCCGCGCGACAGGCAGGTCCTGAGGATGCCTGTGCGCAGTCGCCTCGCTTTCCTCCAAGACTCTGCCAGGTGGGGACGGCCACCCTGTGTCCACACAGGCGCCGGAGGCCAGGGGAGGCTCGGAGGGACGGGGCTCCCGGAACAGCACATCCCCGGCGTGGGGCGGGGGCCACCACGGCGCTGGGGGCAGAAGTCCGCGGTCGGGGCCACGCTCCCTGGGCGTCCTGCCGGCCTCTCCCAGCTTCTGGGCGCAGCCAGTCTGCTGCTCTCCCCAAGGACCTCAGCCGCGGGACTCAGGCCCGCCCTGAACACCCACAGGGACTGTTTCCAAACAAGCTTCCATCCTGAGGCCCCAGCTGGCAGGAGCTTCGGGCGGGGGGACACTGTGAATCACCAGGGAGCCCGCTGTGGTGGGGAAGGTGCGCTACGTGGTACGTGGAGGAGTGGAGTGTCCCAGATAAAGGAGAGGCAGGTGCACCCCCAGGCAATGACTGCGGGTTGAGGGGCCTTTGAGGGCCACCCACTGGGACAGATAGCTCAGGACTCCGGAGCCTCAGGCCGCCAAGGGCCCCTCCGCCCCAAGCAGGTGACCACGCGTGTTAAACAGGCTCTGCCCCAGCACGAGGTACACATGTGCGTTCGTCTGTGTGAAGAGGCACGTGTGTAGGCATGCACCTGTATGTGCATGTGTGCCTGGGAGGCGTGCAGGTGTGTGCAAGGGTTTATACGTGTGTGCACAGGTGTGTGTGAGCACGTGTGTTTGCACAGGTGTCTGCACATGTGTGATGTGTGTGGGTGTAGATCACCTTTACTCAAGTGAGAACATGTGTGCATCCGTGAGTGTTCACGCATCCGTGAGTGTTCACGCATCCGTGAGGCTGCGTACCTGCTTGCATGGGTGCAGGGACCTGTGGCAGAGAGACAGCCCCACTGAGGATAGGGCAGAGGCTGGCTTCCTAGAGAATATGCCAGAAGCAAAGAAACTCTCCCCTCCCACCCTGCCCGGCGGGGGTGGGGGGGGAGGGGGCATGGCTCCCCCTGCTGGTGCACACCCCACACCCTCACCCCCTGAGGGCATGAGAAGCCAGTCCAGGAGGGTCTGGGAGCACGGGCATCCGGCCAAGCCCCAGGGCACCGGAGTTCGAACCCGCTGTCCATCCCGGGTGCCCCCAGGTGTGCCTCTCCCTGCGTCCCCTCAGCTCCGCCCTCCGAGGTGTCACCCTAAGGCCCTGGGTGTGCCCAGCCCGGTGCTGAGTGCCAATCTCAAGTCAAGAGCAGCGAGTGAGCTCCTGGTGGGCCAGGCTCGGCGGGGGGGGGGGAGCAGGATCGGGCAGGGGTGCGACATGAGCTGAGAGGTGGGGGGAGCGAGCCAGGGCTGCCTTGTCTTGTCTTCCGGGAGATTCCCCAACCCCCTCGTGAACCCGCAAACCCTCACGTGACCCCCAGAGGTGGGCACCGCACTAATTCCCAGCTTACAGCCACAGAGACGGCCACGGAGCCAGGGAGGGGGGCTCTCGGGGAGAAGCCAGAGCCAGACGACAGCCTCTCAGACAGCTCCAGGTCCCCCGGGATCAGGGACTTGTAGGCCCACCAGAAGCAGCACCCTGACCAAGGCCTGCACCTGCCAGGCACCTACTGGGGTCCCTCAGGCCTCAGCTGGCCGAGCCCCTGCCTCGGGACACTCTTCCAGGACAGGTGACCCTCACTCCCTCGGGGCCACGCCATCCCGACCTTCCCAGCCCGGCCCACTTGCTCCTGACCCTCCCTGTGACACCCCGTCATCCTTCAATTCATGGCTCCCACCTGGGCTCTCCAGGGCCGGGTTTCTCGTGTGGGGGACTGAGTCTCAGAGATGTTGAGGGTTCATCCAGCCCAAGGCCACACAGCACTAAGGTCACACGGCTACGTCTACCAGAAACCTCGCACGTTCACCCAGATCCTCGGAAAGAGGACCCCAGAAGCAGCAGCCTACGCCGGCCCGAGGGGCCCCAAGGCCACACATGCAGACCTGGCTCCCCCCCCATGGCACCTGATCCTGCCCAGACCTGCGAGCTGGTGGGGGCCCAGGTGGGCACTGGTTTAGGCGAGGCCCCCCAGCCTGGGCCTCACTCGAGCAGATACAGCCTGAGCCTCAAACTCAGTCCCCTTCTCAATATAACTGCCACCATCCCCGCCCCCCACCATGGGGACCCACCGCGGAACCCCAAGAAAGCTGCACGGCCTGGCTTGGCACTTGATGAGGTCTCCTTGCCTGGGCCCGGCCTCTCTGTCCACCCTGACTGCTGGGCAACCACAGAGACAGACTTCAAGACAGTGGAGAACACGGGTCTTCCTGCCCTCCGGGCTTGGTGGCCCCCAGCAGGGTCCCCCCCCCTCCCCCAGCCAACACATGCAGCCACCTGTCTCCACTCTGGGGATGGAGAGGCGCCACGGAGCCACCTCTAAAACAGACCTCTGTTCACTCCCCAGGCACTTAACCCCCACGCAGGCCTGGGGGTGGGCACTGCTATCCCGTTTTACAGATGAGAAAACAGCCCAGAGGTGAGTTTGGGCAGAGGGGCTCCAGCGGCTGCGAGCTGGGCTCTGAACGCTGGGCGCTTAGCGGGAGGCCAGCGGACCCCACCTTTCCTTCTCCCCATCGCTCTCATGGGGCCAACGTGGAGCTGTGCACCCCAGCCTGTTACCCACCGCCACCGTCCAGGGCCGCCCCTCCCGCGGGAGGACACGGCTCTGCCCTTCACTGAATTTGCAGAGGAGACCTCCCCTCACCCCCCTGACAACTTTTTTCCCTGTAAGTCATTAAACTGACACATTATAATTACACCGATCACAGCTGTTTACGCAAACACTGGTAAGCGCAGGGCACTGCTGTTTCTCTGAAGTGGGGGAGGGTCTCATGCCCGGGACACACCCGAGTGTAGGGAGGGGGTCGCGGAACCCTACACAGGGCACGTCGGGGCCCCACAGAGAGTGCAAGAGGCCGGGTAGGGGGGAGAGCCTCCATGCCGGGCAGTCCTGGTGCGCGCGCGCACACACACACGCACACAGCAGACCCTGCTAACAGCTCCGAGGCCGGCACTTCCTAAGGCTGGACCCCCGCCTCCCAGAGGGCACACTGCCTGGACCACTGGCCTGGAGTGGCCTGGATGCCTGTCCCTAAAGGGCCAAGGCACAGGGCTGCTCACCCTCCGGGCCGGCCGCCGCCGCCAGCGCCCTCTCCAAGCCCTGGGGGTTGGTTGCCTGGGGCTGACACCCACCCCCTAAACCCAACAGACAGACTTCACGTCATCTCCCTTCTCCCAGGAGTAAGTGCCTTCAGATGGGGCGGTGCCCAGGGGACCCCCGCATGGCTGCACACACTCGGCCCTGCCCCAGGGAGGGAGGCCCAGGAGAGCCCCGCACGTGCGCGCCTGGCTTCGTTTGGGCTGGATTCGCCTGTGCCAGCGCTGCAGTGACATGTGGGTGGGACTCAGGCCCCTGGGCCCGGGCTCCAGGGCAGGGATTTGCCTTCCCGCTGGTGGAGGGGCCGGGAGCTGGCGAAGGCGAGGGAAGAGAGCCTACCACGTCCTGGGGACAGAGGCAGGCCTCTAGCTGCCCCTGGCCGCTGGGCCCATTGCACTCGCCCACCAGTGCAGGAGGCCAGGCAGCCACGGGTAGACCAGTCTGCAGAGTGAGAGGCTGGGCCCCAGGGCGCCTGCAGCCAGCCGGACAGGGCCACCTCGGCCTGCCCCACGCTGTCCAGGGGGCCTGGGCACCCACCGAGGCCCATCTCTTTTGAGCCTCTGCCCAGTGGGCTGTCCTGTGGCGGCTGCTGCTCCCGACGCCCTATGCAGGCTCCTGGGCAGCCAGGCAGAGCTCCCTAGAACCGGCCCCCAGCACGGAGAGGGGCCTCCCACACTAAGACCATAGGCGGGCAGGGGGCCATGGTGGCCTGGGACCCAAAGCAACACTCCCACACCCCCCAGGGGGCCCCTGGTCCTGGCCACGTCCTCCCCTGGACACCTGGGGCCACCGCAGGCCTCCTGCCCCAGTTACCTGCGCCCCCCCCTCCCCCCCGCTGAGGCTTCAGCACCAGGCCTGCCCCCACCTCCACCACCGGGCCTCTAGGGGGTCCTTCCCAGAGCAGGTCCTCCTACTGGGGGGTGGGGAAAGGGTTAATTTCCATGCAAAAGAGGAAACCGCGGCTCAGGAAGCATCATGTCCGCAGTGGGGGACGGGGAGGGGGTGGCGGGCTGCACCGGCAGGCTGGGGGCAGCCGCAGCGGGCAGAGGGCTGGCCCAGGGGCGCGGCCAGCACACTCACCGGGGTCGAAGTGCGAGCTGAAGGCGAAGCTGGGGTTGAAGAAGGACGACGACATGGCCAGGGCCAGCAGCGCGGCGGGCATCCCCGGCTGACGCCGCGCTCAGGACGCCCGGGGCCCCGGGCCGCGCCGCGCCATCGCCCGAGCGGCCGCCGCAGGTGCCGAGCGCGCCCTGCCCGCCGGCCCGCCGAGCGCCCACCGCCGCGGGCGCGGGGCCGGGGCGGGCGCGGGGCGGGCGCGGGGCGGCGGCAGACGAGGAGCCTCCGCCCGGCCGGCCGCGGCGCCGCGGGGCTCCGGGGCTGGTGCAGTCCGAAAACACTGGCGGGCGCGCGCGCGGGAGGGGGGGCTCCCTCCGCGGCGGGGTGGGGGGGCACGGAGCCGCGCGGAGGGGGGACCCGGAGGCTGGGGGGCGCCGGGACGGGGTGGGGAAGGAGGCGCGGGCAGGGGCGACGGGGAGACGCAGGATGGGAGACCCGGAGGCGCGCGGGAGGCACGGAGGCGGGGGTGGGGGGCACGGGCGGCGGGAGAGGGCACGGCGGCACACGCGGGGGTGGGCACCGTGGCGCGCGGGAGGAATACGAAAGCGCGCGCAGGGGGGCCGGGAGGCGCGCGGGGGGCCACGCGCGCGGGGCTCGGGGCCTGGCACGCGGCCCGCACACGCAGGTTTCGGAGGCAGCTCGGCCCGGCCCCGCGCCCTTGGGCGGTGCCCGCGCTGGGGGGTTGGGGGCGGGCGGGGGGTTATTTTTGCACTGGGCACCCTCGCCTGTGCCACGCTGCGACGACCGTGGAGGAGGAGGAGGCCTCCCCCGCCCGGGAGTGCACAGCGCTGGGCGTTTGGGGCGGCGGCGCCGGGCACCGAGGGACGGTGCTCCCTCCCCCAACCCCACGCCGCGCCATCTTGCACCGCCGCGGTGCCTGCTGCAGGGGCCCGTGGGGCAGGGGCCGCCGGTGGGGGTGGGGGGTGAGGTCTACGCCCCTCCCCCTGTGGGAGCCGCGGGAGTTCCAGTGTAGCCGGGATCTGGGTTTTATGTAACTTGGGTCACGCTGGTTCATCCATCCATTCATTCCCCAGCTGATGAGCAAAACCCCTTGGCGGGGCCCCGCTGGAGGGCAGGGGTGTTGTGGGCGGCAGGAGGGGCACCTACCACCCGCAGGGCCCGGGGAGGCTTTGGGGAGAGCAAGGACCAAGGCTCCCGCGGGGGAGTCGGCCCCTTAGGGAGAGGGTGCCAGAATGTGCCCTTCTTCTAAGGGGGCCCCTTGTGTAGAAAGTACCCCCCCCAAGGGTGAAGGAAAGGTTCCCTCCTTTCCCTTCAGACCTTAAGAGCCCCCTGCTCTGGGCAGTCCCAGCCCACCATAGGCCTGTGGAGGAGAACAGGGCATCCAGAACCTTCTTGCCGGCCCTGATTGTGTGGAGGCTGCTCTAAGCAGCTTTGCCTCACAGGCCCTGTTGAGGGTGAAGGAGCCACAGGTGGAATGGCCCGTAAACGGCCTGGCGGGTGCCAGGTGCTCAGACCCCAGGGGCGAGCAGGGTCAGAGGCAACCGATGGTGAAGGTGACTGAGGGCTGTGATCTAGGAGTGCACCCAGGGAAAGGGCCTGGTCCACAGTCGAGGACCTCCCTCCCCACCCAGGAGGCAAGCCCAGCACTGCCTGGGCCCCGTATGGAGGGTCCTGCCTCTGCCCACCCAGGAAGGTGCCCCGGATGCCTGCACCCAGGGAGGCTCCTTGGGGGACAGGCAGGGGAGATGACCGGTGGCCCTAAGCTGTCTCTGTGCAGACCCTCTGCACCACTGTAGCTGGCCTCACTGACCAGGGTCAGAGGACAGGTCTGTGACACGGTTTGCCTATGAACACACCCGTGTGCACACACTTGAACACACAGGGGTCACCCATAGCAGATGCAGAGGGTGGGCCAGATCTTCGAGCTTTGGGGTTACAGGAATTCCTCTGGGGTCCAGGCAGGGCAAGGAAAACCCCGGGGCTGGCTGCAACTTTCCACGCCACCTGACCATAGTGACACCCCTCCCCCACCCCACCTGACCATAGTGACACCCCTCCCCCACCCCACCTGACCCACGCCACCTGACCATAGTGACACCCCTCCCCCACCCCACCTGACCATAGTGACACCCCTCCCCCCAGCCCCAGGCACAGGGTCTTCCGAGGGTGTCCTGGAGCCCCGCTACGTCCCTGCCATGGTAACCATCGAACTGGAGGCACTCCACGTCCCCCCAGCGTTCATCTGTCCCTCGGGCCCGTGCTCCCCACGTGGGGCCAGCCAGCAAGCACTCGCTGTCCCCACGGTGTGGCAGGAAGGCCGGCACTGGGATTTAGGGGAGGGTCTGTCTGCATGCTCACCAGAGTCGGAACCAGGAACTGCGGTCCTGCCCGGGGCTCCTGAGCCCGAGGCCACCGGGTCAGCATGAGCCTGACCCTCGGCCGGCATGATGAGGCCCACTGGGCAGACAGGGTGCCGCAGGGCTGTGGAGGGCAGAGCTGGGCTGCTCGGGGCTGGCCAGGCTACCCGGGACTCTGTCCTTGGCCCCTGGGCTGAGGTCCAGCCCCCTGACCTCTGAGAACACAGGGAAGGCAAAGGACCTGAATACCAGCAGCAAAACCCAATACCTTGTGCCCTGGGTCACTTGCTTGTCCAGTGTCAGGAGCAGGGGCAGTGAGACAGAGAGAGAGGTCCCAGGGTAGAGGGCAGGCAGCAAGGACCCTGAAGACGTGCCCCCACTTCCCCTGACCTGGGGGGGGGCCCAGAACCCTCCCCAGCCAGAGCAGGAACTGGGCCTAATTGGGGTGGGGCTGAGGGTGCCACACCACCTGAGTGACCGCTGGCTTGGTCACCCACGAAGTGGCCAAGTGGCTGGCTTGTCACCCACGAAGACCAGGCTGCTTCTCTGGCTTGTCCACCACAGGACCCAGAGGAAGCCCTAGGCTCACAGGGATCGAGGTCATGGGCAGGAGCCTCTGGGCCTAGGGTACGGGGTCCCAGAGGCATCTCGGGCAGATGGCGTCAAACACGGTTCCTGCCTGCCCAGGCCTCGGGTGGTGAGGGGAGGGCACCTTTCCCCGGAAGGATCCCAGGGCCCCAGGGGAAGGGTGTCTACAGAAGGGAGTTTGGGCCTAGAGGAGGTGCAGGAAAGCCTGAGGCAGCAATGCGGTGTGGGGGAGGGGGTGCCAGGGGTGAGGTAGCTCTGTCCCTCAGCAGGTGAGCAGCGCACATCCCAGTGCAGGAAAGGGGTGGAGCGTGACATCTACGGGGACACAGGCCGGCTCCGGAGGCCAGGGAAGCCTTCACACTAGGACAGGGGCTGTGGGCACCCCCCGTGGGAGGGACCCGCACTGCTCGGAGCCGCGGAGACAGGACACAGATGGCGGGTGGAACGCCCTGTGAAGTGACTGCTGAAGGGGTGCGTGGCCTCTTTTGGGGTGACCGCAGCGTCCTGTGATGGTCGTGCGCCTGGCAATACCTGGAATGCGCGGCATGTGAATTCTTTCTCAGTAAAGCTGTCAAACTCAGTAATCGGGTAACTGGTATTTTAACGCGATACCCTAACGAGTCAGAATCAACGAGGAAACCCGCCGTGAGCCACATACCCCAGTCTTGATTCATTCGGGAGCAGAACCAGAGCCACCGGGGCCTGAGGCAGAGGGAAGCCCGGGACTGTCTGCCTGGTACCCCTTCAGTCCACACCCCAGATGAGCCCCTGGTCTGGCCAGCCCGGGGGAGGGGGCAGCCTCTTTTGTGCCCCTCTGGGGACACGCAGGTCCTTTTCTAGGCCCCTAAATGAAGGGAGGGAGCTTGCTCCCCATTCTATCTGGGTCCCCTCGCCTGAGGCTTGGGGAGAGTGTAAGGGACAGGGCTGGGGTGGGAGAGCATGAGAGGGTCCAGGGGAGGGGGGCTTGGTAAGTGTCCTGGGGCTGCCCTGACAAATGATCATGAGCTGGGGGGGCTTAAAACAGCAGAAGTGGCTCTGTCACAACTCCGGGGGGCCAGAGGGGCAGGCCCATACTCTGAAGGTCAAGGGGAAGCGTCTTCGTCTTCTTCTAGCTCCTGGTGGCCCAAGGGTCCCTTGACCTGTCATATCACTTGACATGTCACTCCAATCTCTGCCTCCATCGTCACGTGGCCTCCTCCCCGCCTCTGGGTGTCTCTTGTTCTCATAAGGAACGAGTCAGTGGATTTAGGGCCCATCCCAACCTAGATGGACCCCGTCCTAACTTGGGCATGTCCACAAGGACTCTGTTTCCAAACAAGATCCCATTGCCGGGTCCCAGGGTTAGGGCGTGGACACATCTCTTCGGAGGCACCCTCATCCCACTACGGAGGTGCAGACAGGGGCAAGGCCAAGGGCACAGGAGGGCATCGTAGAGTCCCTCCTATAATAGAGACACATTAGCATTTCTGCACACAAGGTTGCTGGGGTTCGGCGCCCAACCCCGAGTGAAGGGCACCACAGTGGGCACTGTAGGGTCCCAGGGACAACCTGTCTGCCAGGATTTCACCCCTAGGGGACTCACCGCACCCACAGCCCAGACCCGCTTCCTGGCCCACCCCTTCCTGCTGCACCAGGACGTGGCCACAACCTGGGGGGGGGGAGGGGACAGGTAAAGGGCTGCCTGGAAAAGAAGGGCTAATTCCCCTTATACTTCCAGGGCGTGGGGCAGGGCTGGCTGCCGAGGGCTCTGCGGGGGAGGGGCAGAGCAGGCCAGCCCCTCCCCCCAGCAGTGGTTCCAGGCAGGAGGCGACAGTGCCGGCTGTGCCCAGAGCTGGGAGGTGGCCCCCGTTACCCCCTCGAGGCCAGCTTAGCCCAGAGAGCGGCCCGGGGCTGCGGGCAAGGAGGTGTGGCCTGACTCTGGACAGAAATGAAAGCAGAGGGGCTGTCCAGGGGCCGGTCACCTGTCCGCTCGGGGCAGGTGCCAGATCCAGGGGCCCGTCCACCCGCTCCCCACCCGGGAACGCACCCCAGGCTCCCCACCCCTCCCTCACCTGCGACCCAGGCGGAGGCGGACACAGCCCCGGCCTTCTGGAAAATGCAGGGGCAAGTGGAGCAGGGCTCAGCACTGGGCCATCCACCTGTGAGACCCTTCAGTGGTGCTTATTTGTTGCGTTTTCTCTTTGAGTTATGCTTCATTAAAAGCATTGTTTCAGGGCACCTGGGAGGCTCAGTCGGTTAAGCGTCCGACTCTTGATTTCAGTTCAGCTCCTGATCTCAAGGTCTCCCTCCCTTGATAAATAAATAATTTTTTTTTTTTTAAAAAGCATTGGGGCGCCTGGGTGGCTTAGTCAGTTAAGCGTATGACTTTCGCTTAGGTCATGATCTCGCGGTTCGTGGGTTCGAGCCCCATGTCGGGCTCTGTGCTGACAGCTCAGAGCCTGGAGCCTGTTTCAGATTCTGTGTCTCCCTCTCTCTCTGACCCTCCGCTGCTCACGTTGTCTCTCTCTCTCTCTCCTAAAAATAAATAAAACATTAAAAAAAATTTTAATTAAAAAAGCATTGTTTCCCTTTCTACATTAAATATTTTTATGTTTATTTTTCAGAGAGGGTGAGAGAGACAGAGCATGAGTGGGGGAGGGGCAGAGAGAGAGGGAGACACAGAATCAGAAGCACGTTTCCAGGCTCCGGGCTGTCAGGACAGAGCCTGACACGGGGCTCAAACCAAGAAGCACCGGATCATGACCTGAGCTGAAGCTGGACGTTTAACCACCTGAGCTACCCAGGCACCACATATGTTTCCATTTTTTAATCGAGATAAAATTCAATTAACATAAAATAAACCATTTTAACACAAACGATTCAGTGGCGTCCAGCCCATTCACAATGTTCTGCAACCAGTTCTAGAACATTCTCCCCACTCCAAAATAAAAGCCCATACCCGTTCTATGTAATCCCTCACTTCCCACCCCTCCATCCCTCGGCAGCCCCAACCTGCTGTCTGTCTCTACGGATTTGCCAATTCTGGATATTCTAGACAAATGGAATCACCCCCTCTGGTCCCCTGTGACCGGCTCCTGTCCCTCAGCAGAGGTGTGAGGGTTTGTCCCCACTGTGGCGCAGGCCAGCATTTCATTCCTTTTGTGCCCAACAGCGTGTCACCGTATGGACGTGGACATTGAGGGGACGTCAGTGCTGCCAGCTGGGGACAAGACCTTGGGGTCCATACACACGTGCAGGCGTGCATCCCACACGGGCACGGAGCGGACAGGCGTGCCGGGAATGTTCGGGGCAAGAACGTTGGATCGTCCACCGTTTGTCCCAATCATCCCGCTCTTGTAACCATAGCCAAGGAGGGGACCCCCCCTGGACAGAGACCCGCATGGAAATAGTGCCTCTATGACAAAATGCCGGCATCTGTCCAGGGTCCACCAGCAGGGCCAGGGAAAGAAGTTTCTGGAACATCATCAGCTTGCTGGCCTCACGTGAAGCTGTTACACAGAGTAACACGTGTGAGCGACTCACAGAGAAGGCAGATCTCAGAGCTGCGTCCACGCTGCGCACGGGGCCAGGGAAGCCCACACAGAGGACGGCTGCGCTTGGGGCTGGGAAGGGGCTGAAGCCGAAGTTCCGCACGGGCCTTCCTGGGGCAGCGCACTGTCTGTGAAGCACGCGGGCCCAGAAAACCGAGGACGTAAGGTGTCTCCAGGCAGGCCACAGCCGGGAAGGTTCCCGGGGTATATCTGTCTCTCGTCTCCGCGCTCTCAACCCGGGGACGGTCCTCGAGGGCCTTGCCCAGGGAGACTGGCCAGCCCTGCCTGAGGTCCCACAGCCCTGGTGGGAGGCGGCATGGCCTGAGACCTCCCTGTCCCCGCCTCACCTTGTGGCCAGCCCTGACATGGCTCCATGGCCCCCTACGTGGCCCATGCACAAAGGACAGCTGCCCGGCCTGGGTACTCACCGGAGGAGGTCCCAGCCCATTGTCCAGTGGCTTCTGGTGGCTTCTCAGACATGCTGGCCAGCCTGCACGCCCTGGGTGACCCTGGCGGGCCCGGCCAGCCATCTCCTAGACCGCCCCTCTCCCCTCAGCCCTACGAGGCCAGCAGGCAGGGTGGGTGGGACCTAACACAACAGAGACTCCGTTTGCTGCCTGCTCTCCCCACCCCCACCCCGGCCTTCGGGAGACCAGGCGCTGCTGACAGTCTGCCCGGCCCAGTGTGGACGTGCCAAGTGCCAGCGAGCCCCTGGGGGAGGCCAGTGCCAGGCTGGAGTGCCCGGGAGGGGCAAGGAGGGGGGACAGGTGCAGCCCAAACCGTAAACAGGCCCAGGGGTTGCAGGTATAAAAGCTGGGGCCCCCGCAGCTCTCAGCACCCCCAGCCTGACCTGCAGCCCCAGAGCCCTCGAGGGAAGCCAGGCAGAGGTGAGCCCTGCCCGGGGAGGGGTGGCATGGGCTCCGGGCCCAGGCGGAGCCTCCCAAGCTGCATGGCAGAAGCTGGGGGCCTCATCTTCACCCACAGGACAAGGGGAGAGCCAGGGGGCTGAGGGAAGCCCAGGGGGGTCTCGGGGGGGGCAGGCAAAGGAGGAGGAAGGGGAGGGGCAGCCTCAAGGGAGCCCCAGCCTAAAGGCGGCTGTGTGCGCCTGGGTCTGCGGGGGTGGGCACGTGTGCACACGTGCTGGTGTGGCCTCCAAGAAAGCACCAGTACTGGGGAGCGGCGTGGGGAGGCTGAGGCCCGCTCACTCACCTCAGGGCCCAGGTGCTGAGTGGGGGGTCAGGGAGCCTGGCAGGGGCGAGGGCCCAAGGCCCACAGACCCGCTGACTCTGGCAGGCAGGCTAAGCCAGCTCTGGATCCCCTGGGACCCAGTCCCCATCTGAGGGGCCCTACTTCCATCCCCCTCATCCCCCAGCCCTCCCTAGGACCCAGTCCTTGTCTGAGGCACCCCCCTTGCCTCAGTTATCCTACGCCCCCAGCCCTCCCTGAGTCCCAGGTCCCGTAGGAGGGGACCCCCGGCTCTTCCACTACCAACACCCCCCCCCAGCCCATCCGCACTTTTTCTCCGGTCTGTGGCAGGCTCCAGATGCAGAGCACAGCCCCCAGGAGGGCTCCACGGGTGGTCCCCAGGGCGGCCCTTCCATCCTTGAGAGGGTGGTCAGGGCACAGCAACGCCCCAGGGGGCCTGGGGGGCTCTTAGCCGGGCTTTAAAGCCCCCGCCCTGCTTTGGCTGTGGAAGTCAGTGAGGTGGGAGGGAGGGGGATCCTGCTGGAGGAAAGGATGAAGTGGGTGCATTTCCAGGCCCTGGGAGCAGCTTGGGAGGCGGGGTGGGGGGTCCGGGGCACCAAAGGGCTGGCTGCGTGTGGCGCCCTGCAGCCCCCACCGCCCCCAGCTCCGGCAGGAGACGTCAGCTCCCCTCTGGGGGTGAGGGAGACTCCACCCCAGGCCTTGGGTCAGGGCTATAAATACACCACCAGCAGCCTGAGGCCCCAGGCCCCGTCCCCCCTCTGGCTCTGATCTCTGGCTCCCCTGCCTTCCTGTGCGGGTACCCCTGAGAGCAGTGGGGTGGGGCGGGTGGTGAACGGACATGGCCCAGGGCACCCACCAGGCTCCGTAGACAGGGTGCCAGCCCCGGGCTCGGCCAGACCAGGCCTAGAATTTGGCCGAGCCCCTCCTTCGTAAAGCGGGTGACCCTGGCTCTGGCGGGGCCCCAAGTGGCAGACAGGGCACCCCTTCCCTCCAGAATGGAACTCTGAAATTCTGGGATGGGAGAAGGGGAATCGGGGTCTCAGCCCAGGATGTGGGGTGGTGGGGCCTGTCCTGTGCGGTTCTGTGGCCCGGGCCTGCCCCGACCGCAGTGGACCACCCCCACCTGCCTTCCGGGCCGGTCGCAGAAGTTGGCTATTAGAGCCGACGCTCGGGGGGGCTCGGCTCCAGGCCCAAAGCCCTTTCCTCAGCATCTCCCTTCCCTCCTGGCTCCTCACATGACCCTGAGAAGGGGCAGGGCAGGCAAGGGTCTCCCCACTTCACGGATGAGGAGCCTGAGGCCCGGAACGGCTGTGGGGCACGCCTGGGATCAGGAAGGAGGTGGCCGGGGGGCCGTGTCCAGCACTCCCGCTCCCCCCGCTGCCAGGGCCGAGTTGCAACCTTTGACCGGTGGCTTCTCTGTTGGGAAGAAAGTAGAGACTTCTCCAGTCACTGCCCAACCCCACTCAGGACACACTGCCCGCTGGGCTGCCCTTCCTGGCCATGGGAGTATGTTCCAGAACGTTCTGCCACCCCGTGAACTTTTGAGAGGGCCAAGGAGCCTCTGAAATAGCTGTTTTGCCACAAGCCCCAGAACCCAACCTCCCCCCAGGGACGGCAACCCGAGAGCCCAGCAGGTCACAAGGCACCGCCTAGACCACAGGACAGCCTGGTCCCCACCTGCTGGCCCCTCAGCCTATGACCAGACCCCCGCCCGCCTGGCCAGAGTCCTGGCCTGCCTTGGTGGCTCCCGCTTGACACAGGCTCTCCGTGACCTGAGAACAGCGACACGCATTCCTCCGCGGGCCGTGCCCCCCCCCTGCTCAGAACATCTGGGCGTGTCTCAGTCTACAGGCATCTGGAGGCTGGCCCGCACTCAGCACACCTCACTGTGGGTGGTCAGGTGCCAGCCAGGGTGACAAGGTGCCGGGCTGGGGGCAGAGGAGTGAGGCCGGGCCGCGGGCCCTGAGTCCTGATGGAAGGAGGTGGGGCTTTAGGTAACCAAGAAGGCTTCCTAGAGGAGGCAGCTTTGAGATGGGCCTGGAGGGACAGAGGGAAGTTCCCTGATGGCGCCAAGGGGTCAGAGGGCAGCCACCACATCTTCTGAGCAGAGCGAAGGACCTTGTGATCGTCACTTACCAGACGCAGGCCTCAGCCTCTTCGGTGAAATGGATGTGGTGCCCCGAGGGGGCTGGCTAGCAAGGGGTGGGGACTCAGCCACACCTTCCTCCAGGGCCAGGACATAGGAGTCTCTGCAAGGCCTGGGGGCCCAAGGGCCTCTGTGGTCAAGGGCAGCCGGGGGGTCCCTACTCAGGAGGCAGGAGCTGGCGCCCGGCAGGGACTGTGTCAGCTCTGGTCTGAGCAGAGCACCCCCGCCCAGCCCGTGTGCACCCACCGAGCTGCTCCCTGCCCACTGCAGGGCCGGGATGGACGAGGACTACTCCTCTCAGATGAAGAAGATGGCCTTGGCCATGGGCACGTCCCTGTCGGACAAGGACATAGAGCTGCTGCCCACGGACATGAGGCATCACGGTACAGCACACCCCTCGCCCCCGCCCCGGGCCTGGCCCCGCCCCGGCCAAGGAAGCAGTGGACACAGGAGTCCATCTGCCTCCCCTTCCCTGGGCTGAGCAGCCCTGGCCACACGGGGGGGGTGCGGGGGGAAGGCGGGACGCGCAGTCCCCACCCCCCGCAGAAGCCTCCCTCTGGGCTCCGCGTGACCTGCGCCCGGCCGTCCCAGGCTCCTTCAACTACCTCAGGTTCTTGGAGTACATGCAGAAATTCCAGGCCTCGGGGCAGCTGGAGAGCGCCATCCGCCAGGCCTTCCAGACTCTGGACAAGGACAAGAGTGGCTTCATCGAGTGGAACGAGATCAAGTACTGGCCCGCGGTCGGGGGTAGGGTACTGAGCCTCGGGCCCCGTGTCCAGTCCCCGGTCACCACATCCACCCCCGCGCAGGACCCGGAACCCCCCCACGGGGCCCCAGCTGGCCTTGTGGGAGGTGGGGCCGGCCAGAAGCAGCCCGGGTCCACAGCACTGGGGCCAAGCCCAGAGACCACACTCCAGCCGGGCCTCAGTTTTCCCACCTGTACAGGGGGGAGTGAGCACCTTGCAAACCATCGGGCATCGGTCAGACCCCCCCCGCCCCGGGCTCTGACCCGAGCCCCCCCCCCCCCGGCCCCAGGTACATCCTGTCCACCATCCCCAGCAGCGGGCCCACCGCCCCGCTGACAGACGAGGAGGCAGAGGCCGTGATCCAGGCGGCCGACACGGACGGGGACGGCAGGATCGACTTCGAAGGTGGGTCGGCACAGACGAAAGGGCACAGGTGGCCCTCAGGACCCCACGTCGCGAAGCACCCGTCTGGGTACCAGCCTGAGTAGGGTGCCCCACCTCCAGGCACAAGGGTACAGCCCCTCCTTGGGAGGCACCATCACCCTCCACAGACGGGAAGCCGCCCGTCGGGGATGCTGAGCAGGGGGGGCTCTTCGCTGGGCGGAGGGGAGCACGGGGGGGAGCGGTGGGCTGAGACGGCTGTGGGGAAGGTCAGCCAGGGCGTAGCCGGGGCCGTGGTGCAGTGGACGGACGGGGGGGGGTCTGCAGTGGGCGCGGAGGTTTGAAGATAGGGACTGGGGCCTGAGGCTCTCCGTGGCTGCCTCGGGGTCTGGTCATCGTGCAGTCCTGCCCACCCCCACACCCCCAGCTGCTGGCCCCGGGGCCAGGGGGCAGCAAGGCGGCCCTGAGAACAGCCGCGCAAGGCTCAGAGCCCCAGAGGGACAGACCTCCAGACCCCCTGCCAGCTGTGAGCCCACCCGCACCTCTCTGGGCCGGCAAATCCTCCCCTAGAATTAACAGAGGGGCTTGGGACTCAGGGCCCCAGCCTCTCTGTGCCTCAGTTTCCCCACTGAGAAAGCAGGATGATCTCAGGAGCTCTAAACAGAATTGCTGAGGGTCCCCACAAAGACCTAGTCTATCATAAACCCCCAAAGGGACCAGGGTGGGGACACAGGGCACACGGCAACAGTGGGGGTCGATCCTGCCCCCCGGGACCCAGGAGGGCTGGATGCAGGGTCCCTTCCCCCAAGACCTCCCCTCATAAAAGGGGGCATGTCTCCCCATTGGGTCTGCAGGGCTTGAGGGGCACAAGGCAGAGGATTATTTACTAGAAATCTGTTTCCTATTCTAGAATTTTCTGAATTGATCAAAAAGGAGAAACTTCCAAAGAAGAAGTAGTGCCACGCCCAGCCCTGGGCCAGGGAAAGCTACCCTACGGCGCATCGTGGGGGGTTTGTGTGTCCGATCAAGGAGGCCGTGGGGGCAGACGCGGCATGTGCCAGGGAAATGGAAGAAAAATGTCATTAAATGAACAGTGCAGCCTGAGTGTTTCTTGGGGGGCAGTGTGTGAGCTGGGAGGGGGCCACGGGTCTAGGTGAGAGCTGGGGGATGGGGCAGGTGTGTGGGGCGTGGGGGGGAAGATGGGAGGCCGGGCCAGGGGACGGGTCCAGCCCCTGCCCCTTCTGCGTAGGGGGTTCCACGGCAGCCCTTGCCTCTCCCAGCACTGTGCTCTCTGGGCCCAGACCCCTGCAGGACCCCCTTCCCCAGCCCAGCTGCACTCTGCTAGGCTGCCCTGGGTTCACACAGCAGCCACGTGAACACAGAGCGGGGACACCTGAGACCCCAGGGCCCCAAGGGGGCCCTGGACTGTGTCCTGTGTTGTGCACTGTACGTCAGTCTCTGCCTGTCTCCTTCCTTCTCCCCAGCCTCTTCCTGCAGAAGGGATGCCCCACCCCCTCAAGGCCTTGCCCCCCCCCCCCATGCTTACTCTCTGGGAAGGGGGGATGCTCCTGTCCTATGGTTTAAGTACCATCTGGCAGCCAGGGCTCCTGTCCCATATCTCTCCCGTGCTCCTGACTCCTGTGTCCATCTTGGCTTCCTGATACCCCGTTTCATGGGAAAAAGGCACCTCAAACTTAGAGCCCGAAGGTGAGCTCTGATTCACCCTCCCCAAAGACCCGCCACCTGTACCTTCCTGTTTGTGCTGCCTGATTCCTGAGGCTGCTCAGGCCAGAAGCTTTGAGATCCGCACACAGAGGGTAATGGCTGCACCCCCCCATCCTGGGGACTGGCCCCTGGGAGAGCCCTGGGTCCCCTGCCCGGCCTCCCCTGTCCACGTGTAGGGGGTGAACACAGGGGCATGTGTGGCTTATGATGCGGTTTATAGGAAGTGGGTTCTCTCTTCCAGTCTCTGTGGGACTCCCACACCCTCTAGAAAGGAGGGGCCAAAGGTGGCCGGACCACCCCAGGAGGGAAGGTGCCTCTGGGGAGCACCCTCACCTGGCTATGGCAGGAGCGAGGGCCTAACTTACGTATCCCATACTCCTCCCTTACCCACCTTCGTGGGAATCCCACAGGCTCTGCCCTCAGAAAGCCCAGACACAGCCCCCAACAAGCCGCCCACCCGCCACCTGACAGCTGGTTCTCAGCACAGCAGCAGAGAGGACCTTTAAAAATACAAGTCAGATCTGGGGCTCCCGGCTGGCTTGGTCGATAGAGCAGGAGACTCTTGATCTCAGGGTTGTGAGTTCAAGCCGTGTGTTGGGCATGGTGCTTACTTAAAAAAAAAAAAAAAGAAGAAGAAGAAGAAGAAGAAGAAGAAGTCAGATCCGTCACTCCACTCAGAAAACCCTTTAGAAGCTCCCGGGTCAAGCCAAGTCCTTGGAACGCCCACGTGCTCTGGCTGCCGGTGCTCTCCCTGACTTCAGACCCCCCCAGTCCCCACTTCAGCCACACTGGCCTCCTCACTGCTCCCTCTGCACAGCTGCTCTTGGGCCTGGCATGCCCTTCCCTGGACTTACATCTGCGTGACTTACTCCGTCGTCTCCTTCAATATTTCCTCAAATGTTACATCCCAAAGAAGTCAGTCCTTACCCACCTATTGCACATCACACTCGCCCTCCCCACGCATTCCTCGTCTGCTTGCCCTGGTATCTTTCCCCACAGCACTCACCGTCCCCTGATGTACTACAACGTTTAATTATTATGGTTGTTGTGAGCAAGAAAAGCTTCAAGGACATGGGGTCCGAGATTCCAGGGAAGACAGGTTTTGAGCCTGATATTGGCACAGGTTTCCTGTGAGACATCTGCCAGTTAGTAAGAGTGGCCAAGAGGTTGAGCAGCTGAGGAGGGCATCTGGTGGCCTCCTGGGTGTTTCGTATCTGCCAGGGAGGAGGAGGGGCTTTGCTGAGGGCCCTAAGGGGCTAGAAGTGAGGAGTGAGGACAGGAGAACCAAGCCAGTTCTTACAGAAACTGGAATCCAGCCTCAACTAGCCCAATCCCTTCCCTCACTCCCCCCACAGCAGAAGAAATCCCTCTGGATCAGGGGCCAAATGCAGCTCTGGCCATGCCCAATTATTTGCATATTATTTGTGGCTGGTTTCAAGCTGTTATTACCTGGAAGGCCATGGAAAGCCTGAAAGTACAAAGAACCACAGAGATAAACCATGCAGACAGTATGGTGAGAAAGGTGGTGTCACTGTCCAATGACAGAGACTGTAGGCAAGAAGCACTGCTAGACAAAGAGGCCATTTCATAAAGGTGAAGGGTCAGTTCACCAGGAGAACACACAGCTCTAAATGTGTATGCGCCCACTAACACAGCCTCAGAATTCCTAAAGCAAAAACGAGCCAACTAAAATGAGAAAGAGGTGACACACAATTCATAATGGCAGATTTTACCATTCCTCTTGGGGATTGGATAGAGCAAGAAGGAAAGAAAGCAGTAAGGACATAGAAGACTAGAAACACAATAAGTGAACTCAAACCAAATAATAAAGATCAACTCTGCATCCCATAACTGCATTCTCTTTAAATCAACACATAGATCATCTACCAAAATTGGCCAAACGCTGGCCATAAAGCAAGTCTCAATCGAATCAGAGACTTGAAATAACAAAGAACACATTTTCTGACCATGAGTAAGTCAAGTGAGAAAGCAAACCCGAAAAGCAAAGCAATGCAGTGCTAAACAACCCACAGGTCACAGAAAAAATATTTTGAACCTAAGAATCATGAAACTACAACAAACCAAAATCTCATCTTGCTTGGAGGAAAATACAGCGCTTGCTGCATCGGCTCCAAAGAGAAAGGATGACCATCAGTGATCTAAGAACACTTCCTGAGAAGTCAGAGAAAGAAAAGAAGGTCCAATTTAAAGGAGGAGAGAAGTAGAGGAATTCTGAAAGGTCAAGGCCCTCGCCCCTGGCCTGCCCCCTGCTGCAGGGCACACCCCACAGGGCAGGCTGTTGGTCTGTTTTGCTCATGGTTCTGCCTGGCACAAATCCAACAGGAACTTCGAGGATTTGTTTGTGCTGTCACTTGTCTCCAAAAAGGATCGTGGGTGAGAAGCACATTGTCAGAGATCCACGAGTGGAGTGGGCCCTGGGGAGAGGGTCCTGGTGGGGCGGGGCAGAGATCTACCCCCCAGCTACCCCCATAACCCACAGTCAGCCAGGGAAGGGACTGTGTCGGAACTCGGGGCATCCCCACCATTCTGCCCACAGCGGGCTTCGCGGAGCTATTGCTGGGTGGAGCCCGGTCCTGCCTGGGCATCACCTCTGCCCTTCTGCACAGGTTTCCCGCCTACTCCCCTCTCTGGACCCCTCCCTGTCTTCCCACCTGCTGAAGAGCTCACCTGCAAAAACATACAGTTTAGTAATTTACAGCCGCTTCCCCCTGGCAACTCCTAATAACAGCTTCAGACAAAAGTATCTTTTTCAGGGGATGGGGGGGAGGTCCGAACCATCCTTCCCTTGTGTGCCCCTCACCCCCGCCCCCGCTCCTGATAGCTGGCCAGAGGGCAGCAAGTGACCAGCTCCTTCTGGCTGCAGCTGTAGCCCAGGGAGGGGTCTGAGCTGGTGCCTGCCGCCCCTCCCCTCGAGGAGCCCCTCCCCCCGGGGCCCAGCCATCCCCCCTTCCAGGGACTTGAGAGGATGTGTCAGGCTCGCCTGACCCTTAGAACTGCAGGCAGAGGGTCAGCTCCAGGGCAACACCGCCCCGTGGGAAGGAAGTGGGCCAGTGGCTCTGCGGGAGACCAAGGCGGCCCCTCCTCCCCTCAAGCCCCAGACAGGGTGCCCCCGTCACACACGCCGGACGGCCACCTTCTTCCCATCCGGCATCTCACAGGACAAGGCAGCCCCGTGAGGAGGGGACGTGGATGGGCCGAGCAGACGCTCCCGCCCCGGCCGGGGTCAGGCCAGAGCGGCCCGGGCGGTCTCCCTGCTGCGCCCAGCTCTGGCACCAAAGAGGGAAAAGGCTCTTCTGTGCAGACGAGGGGGCCAAGGGTGGACGCACCCCAGAGCAGGGAACAGCAGTGACGGGAGGGTCCACCCTGCGGGCTGCCTCAGCCCTCTCCGGGGGCGGCCCTGCCACAACCCACGTGCAGGCCACCCTGGGTGAGCAGGAGGGACCGCCGGAGGCCTCTCCGTGGCCCCGCCCCGACCTCTGGGGCAGCCTCACCCTCCTCCTGGGCAGGGCCCGTCCTGTGCCCACCCCTCAAGGGCTCCAGACCGCGCACCTCTAGGCGGTGTCTCCAAGTGGGGGGCAGAGTGAGAGGCTCTCTGCCATGGGGCGAGCACAGTGGCAGCTGGGGCATCCGGAGAGGGCAGGGGAAGAGCCTCCGAGCTCCTTCTGGGAGCCCAGCAGGCCAGCTGGCGAGCCTGAGAGCCCATTCCCTGTGCTCGGGGGGCTGGCACCCAACCCCAGGGGCCACGGGGCTGGGTGGGGAGCACAGGGAGTAGGGCTGAGAGCAGAGCTGGGGACCCCCCACGCCTAGCCCCCAGCACCCCTGCCCCAGCACAGGAAAGAGAGGCAGGCAGGGTCACACCAAGTTATTAAAAACATCTCTTTACTATCAAAATGCAGCTACAGGGCTCTAACCTCAGGACGACCTGACCCTGGGGCAGAGGGAGGGAAGGGCCCACCATCCCATCCCGGCTGTGCTCCGTCACTTGGCGCTGGGCAACGGCCGCTTGCGCTGCTCCAACAGCTCCTCCAGGTGGTCAGCCCGCTTCACTGCAGCCTGAGACACGCAGCCCACCTGCGGTCAGGCCCTGGCAACCCCCCCCCCCGCCACCCCCCCCACCCCGCCCCTGGCCCGGCCTCGGGGACCCACCTCATGCTGCTTCCAGAGGCTGCGCACGGCCTCCTCCTTCTTTGCCAGGGCTGCCTTCACCCTGCGGGGGAGCGCGCAGTGGGCTTAGGCTGGGCACCCCGGCCAGACCCCGGGGTGGCACACAGCTGAGCGTGGCCACCCGGCCGGGAGGGGTTGACGCCTGGGGCTGTGACCCCCACGGCTGGCCCCAGGCCACTGCCCACAGGACGGGCTCAGTGGGAACCCTGGAGGGAGCCGCCCCAGGTCCCCCTCTCTGGAAGGACTGAGGGGCCCTGCTGGGCTGGGGGAGCTGCCTGCTGCTAACCCCCCAGGGCCGGGACTCCTCCCACACGTCAGCTGCTGCTTGACCCCATCCTCCCTGGAGGCCGCCCTCCTGGGGCAGAAGCGGACCCTGGTCCTGCTATGATGCTGGGAAGCCAGGACAACGGGGCCTGGGGCCAAGTCTCACACGGAGACTGTGCACAGCACCTGCTGACCCGCTCTGCGTCAGCTGCAAAGAGAAGCAGACGTGCACCCTGCTTTCCTTTCTCAGGTCCCAGGTCCCGCATTCCCTGTCGTTTGGAGCTCTGGGCTCCGTCCCACAGACCCCCTCCCCCGTGCTCCCCAAGGACCCCAGCTCGGGCCCCCTCCTCCCCCCACGCCCCATGCTCCCCAAGGACCCCGGCCGGCCCACAGCCCACCTCCCGTGCACCTCCTCCAGCTCCGCCTGCTTCTCCCGCGTGAGCTGCTCCAGCTGGGCCCTGGCCCGCCGCGCGTCCTCCTCCGAGGCTGCCAGCCGCTCGGCGAACTCCTGGCGGAGCACCTCGGCCAGGCTGCTGCGCTCACTGGCCAGCTGCTCCTTCACCTGGGCCAGCACGGGGGGGCCTGAGCGGGGACCCGCAGGTGCTGGGGCCGCGCCTCCCGCCCCCGGCCGGCCCCGCTCACCGCCCACCCCCGCCCCACTGCCCCGCTCAGCACCCCCCCTCACCGCCCCCCCCCCGCCCCCCGCCGCGCTCACCGCCGCCACCTCGGCCAGCTCCTTCTCCTTCCGCCGCACCAGGCCCTGCAGGCGCAGGTTCTCCCCCTCGGCCTCCCCGAGGCGCCCCTTCAGCTCCGCGCAGCGTTCCTGCAGCTTCCGCTCCGACTGCTCCAGCTCCGAGAGCTCCGTCTCGTACTTGTCCCGGATGCGCCTGAGGCTGGGGGGCCGGCAGGGTCAGGGGGCTCCGGGGACGCAGGGCCGCGGCGGGGGGCCGGCGGGACAAGGCCTCACCGGCTCTCGGCGGCCCGCTCGCTCTCCTCCCTGGCGCGCGTCATGTCCGCCTCCAGCCGGTGGATGACCAGCTCGATCTCCTCGTCGCGGCCTCTCCGGATTTCCTCCCTCAGCTCGCGTTCCCGGTTCAGCAGCCAGGCCTCCTGGGGGCGCACGGGGCTCGGTGGGGGCTGGCGACACGGCGCGCGTGGGGTGGCAGACCCCGCCCCCCTCGACAGCTCTCCCGGGGGATCTTTGGACCCTGGGCCACAGCCAGGGGACACGGGGGAGCGTGGGCAGTGCGGCCCAGTCTGCTGCCAGCCCCGCCAGGCTCAAGGAGGGCCCGGGTCCTGGCTCTGAGAGCCGCGTTCACCTCCCGCCTGGCGAGTGAAGGCCCAGCCGGGCCAGGCCTTAGGAAGGCCACTCGAAACCATGCCAGGCTTCGCAGCACAAGCCCGTCACCCAGCTGCCCACATCTGCAGATGTGACCAACAAATACAGCCGCCACTGTGCATAGCTACGGGGCACACAGGGGGCTGCCTGTCACTAGGCCAATGGGCCATCGCCTCGTGTGTGGCCCTGTGCACCTGTCCACCACGGCCTCTTTCCTGAACGGGCGAGCCTGGCGATGCAGTCCATGCCTGTGGAAGGCACTGGAAGCTAAGGAGGGAGACAGCCTGCTAAGTGTCCCGGTTTGCTCGCTGGCCGAGCGTGAACCCTGAGAGCGCCAGCGGGAGGAAGGGAGGGGCGAGAAACGGCCTCCTCCGCCGTTGACCTGGCCTGACCTGGCCGCCGGGCCTCACACTCCAGTGTTAGCACACAAACACACTGCCCCCGACCCCTGAGCTGCCCCACGGTGACACCGGGAACCTCGCCCTTGGGGAGGCCACGGAAGCAGAACCGCATGCCGCCTGCTTTGATGTCTGGGGGGCTGGGCAGGAAGGAATGAGGCGCTTCCCGCTCCGCACCTCCTTCTGGGCGCAGCTGGCCGCCCACGTCTGTCGCTCGACCTCCAGCTGGTCCTTCAGGGCCTTCATCTCCATCTGGGGGGTGGGCAACGCGGTGAGAGCAGGCGTGGAGCCCCTGCCGCGGTATGAGCTGGACTGAGGGTGTGCAGGGGAGCAGGGGAGAGGGTCTGCAGGCTCCGCCCAGCGCTCCAAGTGGCGGCCACTCTGGCAGGCAGGGTGAGGCCGGACGGTGACGCCGACATGGTGCCCCCATCGCCCAGCAGCGGCCGGAGGGTGGGGGTGCAGGGGACACCAGAGGGCGGGGGGGACGGGGTGGGGTACGCGGGTAAGGAGAGAGGGATGGGAGACGGGAGTGGGGGCTGGGGTCACGGGCGCACACCTGGTGCCGGCGCTCCTGCTCCTCTCGCCCCTTCTCAAACTCGGCCCTGAGCGCCCGGCCCTCGGCGGCGCTGCTCTCCTCCAGCTGCTGTCTCCGCTCCTCCAGCTCCGCCCGCTGCCTGTGGGCCCGCGACAGGTCCGGTCAGCGCGGGCTGGGGGCGGGGCGGGGCGGCGCCCGGCCCTCCCCTCCCCGGGCACCTGGCTGCCTGCTGGCCCAGCCGCTCCTTTTCCTCGGCCACCTCGCTGTAGAGCCGCCGTCGCTGCTGCTGCAGGGCCCGCTGCTCCTGCTCCACGTGCTCCTCGAAGCTGAGGGACCGGACGGGCTCGGCCGGGCACGTTCGCACCGCTGCCCGCCCGCCTCCGTGCCTCCCCCCCCCTCCCCCGTCTCTGGCGCAGTCGCGCGCACGCACCGCTGCTGGGCGCGCTCCCGCTCCTGCCTGCCCAGCGCCTCCTTCTCCTGCTGCAGGTGCTCCCGCAGCTCCTCCACCTGGCGCCCGTAGCGCTGGGCCTCGCGCGCCTCCACCTGCAGCAGCTCCGCCTCGTGCAGGCTCTTGAGCTTCTTCACCTCCTGCTTGTGCTGGGCGATCAGCTTCTGGATCTCGGGCTCCAGGCCTGGAGGGGGGGCGCCACAGTGCCGGGGCCGCAGAGGACCCCCGACCCCTGCCCGCTCTGCTGCTGCAGCCTGACTCTTGCCCCCAGCGCTGTAGGGGACCCCCAGTTCTCGCCCACCGGGACACCAGAACTGCAGTCCAGCCACAGGACCCCACTCCCACCCCCCCCCAGAGGCTCCAGGCACAGCTGAGTCCACTTGGGCCCACCACCATCCCCCTCTCCCCCCGCTCCCCTCCGCACAGCTCTGGCCCCAGGGCTCTCGCCTTGGAGATGACAGTCACTGGGAAAGAGAGTGTCCTGGGGCAGAAGGGCCAGGCGTGGCGGGCACAGCTGGGTGCCCCGTCAGCCCTCAGACCCACCCTCTAAGCAGGTAGCAGGGAACCCCGCATGCCCCTCATGCGCCCACCCGGCTCGAGCCCGCGGAAAGGAAGAGTTCAGGCAGCAGAGGGGAAGGCAAGGCCCTTCCTCTCGGACCCACCCTTTGTCCCAGGTCCTCAGCCAGTGGCCAGCCCCCTCCCTGCCTCCTCCCGGCCTCGAAGCCGCCTGGACCGCGGCACCTGAGGCCTTGTAGCTGCCCAGGAAGGCCGTCTCTACTGAGTATATCCAAAACTGCTGTTCCTGCTCAAAGACCCCCGTGACTCCCCCTGGGCCGTGTGGCCTGTCAGCCTCTGACCACCGAGGAGTGTGGCTGGTCCCCACCTCGGACCGTAATCTCCTTGATTTTTCGGGTTTTCTCATTGATCCACTTCTCTCTGCGGACTTTCTCGGTGGCGCTCATTAGTTCTTTGAGTTTCTTAATCTCCTGCAAGGGAAGAAACAGGAAATCAACGGAGACCCCGGCCCTCAGCCACCCACCCCCACCCCGGCCCTGCGCACACTGGCGCTACTATTCTGGCTTCCCTGGAGGCCGAGGCAGGGTCCGGGCTGGAGGCTTGAGATGGGGGGAAGTAATCGGCCTGCAGAGGCCTTACTGGGGTACTCCCGAGTCCCGCCTTCTGTGTGACAGAAGGCCCCCAACCCTGGTCCCCTCCCTCGAGTCAGCTCTCGGCCTGGGGACCACCGCGGCCTACACGGTGGGAAGTGGCACCGGGCAGGGGAGGGGAGGCAGCCCAGTACCACCAGTAAAGCAGGCTGAGGCAGGGCACGGTCCTCGGATGGCAGAGCCAGGAAAACTAGGGGAGGTCCCTCTGCCCAGGCGCTCAGGGCTGGGGCAGTTCAGGCTCCCACACGGCCAGGGCTGCAGCCAGGCGGTGGCGCCTGTCAGCCCCACCACCACGTGTGCGACAGGAGGGTGATCGGCCCCCACCCCGGGGTCTAGCACCCAGCACAGCTCCAGTGCAGGGAGGCACCTGGTCCCAGGGGTGGGGGACACGGGGGTCCGGGGGCTTGAGGCTCCACGGTGGGCCCAGCGATCCTGTTTGCAAACCGCCGAGGCTGCCCTACTCTCCTCGGGGCCGCAGGGAGGGGGCCGCAGAGCCGCCACTCCAGCCACGGCCTCCCGCCTGAGGGGCTCACCAGCTCGTGCTGCTCCTGCACCTGGGCCTCCCTGTCCCTGCGCCTCTGGTCGCCCTGCTTCAGCTCCACCACCACGGCCTCGCACCTCTCCGCCAGGGCCTTCTTGTCCTCAATCAGCTGTGGCGGGTCAAGGGCTGGGGCTAAGGTGGCTGCCCTGAGACGGGGACCTCCCCTCCTCTCCCACCGGGGGTCTCTGGGGCTGAGACCACAGGCGCACATGTGGACAAGGGGTGTGACTGGGGGCTGTGGCCATGGGGGAGCACCCAGTGACACCCTGGACCGGGCCGTCAAGCAGCCCCGCGGGGAAGATGCTGCCGAGTCTACACCAGGGAGCAGCAGGCCTGCCAGGAGGCCCCGTGGTCTAGAAGTGTCCGTGAGGCCCGAGCCAGTCTGGAACCCAACGAACCCCTGAGCCCTGCGGGTCCCGGTCCCTCTTCCCTGGCGCCCTACTGCCTGGGAGGCGGCACCTGGTCGATGAAGGACAGGTGCCGCTGGATGGTGGCTTCGTAGTGGTCCCTCTGCTGCCGCAGCTGCCGGCCCAGCTCCTTCTCCGTCTCCTTGACCCGCCGGACAGTGAGGTCCCGCTGCTGCACCTGTGTGGGAGGGGACACACCCAGCTGGGGAGCGGGGCAAAGCAGCAATGGCCCCACGGGGTGTGTGAGGATTTGCCCGGTGCTGATGCAGTGACGGCCCGGGGCGGGGACACGGCAGGACGTTACCAGCGCTTTCTGCAGCAGCCCCACCGCCTGCTTCTTCTCCTCCACCTCCAGCTTCAGCCGCATCACAGAAGAGCTCACCGTGGACGTGGGCTCCAGGCGCCCCTCGTCCGGCACCAGCCCCTGGGAAGGTGGCGTGCGTCAGGTGACAGCCAGCCGGGTGGTAACCTGGCGTCCCTCCCTGGGGACCCCCCCGCACCTGGGGGGCTGAGGCCGGCCGGTCCTGCCCTGACTTCTCCATCTCGTGCAGAAAGCTCATGATACTCTGCAGCTTGGCCTCCGAGAGCAGAGTCCCGTCTTCGGGGGGACTGGCGCACGTGCCGAGCTTCCGGAACCTCTCCAGGTTGTCTGCCGTCAGGGGGCTGGCATCATCCTCCTGCAGGGGAGGGGGCACAGCCTCAGGGGTGGATCGAGTGCAGGGACAGGGGCTGGGAAGGCGGTGGGACCCGGTCTGGAAGGTAGGGCCTCTCGGGCTGCCTAGATGCTTGCAGGGCGTGGCCTAGGGGCGCTGGTGGAGCAGCCGCACCCGTCCCCCACCCCCCGCTGTTCTGAGCACCCTAAACCTCAGCAAGCCCTCCAATGAGAGGGCGGTTCAACGAGCCCCACCTGCCCTTGTTAGGGCCTGACTGGAGCCAGCAGAGGCCCAGTGGGCTCCCGTGGCCCCCACCCCGCCCCCGTCTCCCGTGTAGATGGCACCGGCACCCAGGGCTGGGCCAAGGGAGGACGCAGCCTGTGGTCACCTCATTGGTCCAGGAGGATTTGTCCCTGTGATAGGCCCTGGGGTTGGGCAGCGGCTCGGGCTCCTCCTCCAGCAGCCTTAGTGTGGCCAGCAGCTCATCCAGGGTGGCCCTGGACTGGGCCTTGCCCTGGGCAGGGCCCACCACCTCCAGATCCTCACTGGCCACGTCCTGGGAGCTGGCATCCTGCAGTGGACAGGCAGGAGGGACAGCCACTGAGGCCATCAGAGGCCGAGACCCCCCCAGAGAACCGTGGGGGCTGGAGAGGGGAGGCCTCCTCCCCATAGGCTCACGGCCACTTAGCCACGTGGATCAGGCACACCCCGACCCACCGCCAGGAAAACGAGGGTGGCCTGGCCTCCTTGCCCCTCAGCCCAGTGGCTTCGGCCCCCACCTAACCTCTGAGCCTCCTGCTCCCTTCCGTGGGCATGCACATGGGGGCCCCACCCCAGGGTTTCTGTGACAGCCCAGCGGGGTTCCAGAGCAATCCGTGAGACCCCCTCCCCGCAACAATACCCATTCTGGGCAGCCCTTCCTGGCACGAGTGACCCCACAGCCATTCAGGCGCAGGCTCGGGCCACCCAGGCTGAGGCCGGAGAGGGCGGACGGGAAGGGCTGTATGGACGGAAACCTGAGGCTTGTTCTCTGGAAACTGCCGGGGCTCTGGGGAGGGGTTGGAGGCCGGCTGGCGGGGGTCCTCTGCGCCTGCGGTACGGAAGCCAACTCCTGCATGACAGAGCAGAGCGTTGGCCCAAGGGGGCGTCACCCCACCTGGGGGCAGCAAATCTGGAAGGGCCCTTGAGAAGACACCGCGCACAGGGGAAGGGAGAACTCGTGACAGCGGGGCCACGGCAGACTTCATGTGGGGCAGAGGGAACATTCAGGATCCCTGGCCTCTGGGGTAAAGGGTCAGGGAAACTGGTGCAAAATCCACCCCAGAACCCTTGGCCTCCCTGGTCTTTAGGGTCACCGTGTCCAGCTTCAGAACAAGAGGGGTGGGAGTGAAGAAAGCAGAGGGAGCGGGGGGGGGGGGGGGGGGGGACTGCACAGCCGAGCCTCCGCCTCCATGGTGGAAGTGGCCAAATGGGTAATGGCGTGGGGGCCAGGGGACGGCAGCAGAGGCCATGCCTCCTTCCTGCCATAGCCCTGTGGGGGTGGGAGGGGGGGCGCCAGGCAGGGCGATGACCTTGAGAGTGCTTACAGCTGGGAAGCAGAGGCGGGCTAGGTCTCGGGTGAGCTCACCGGCTTTGGCGTTATTGGCCTTGTGGGTCTGGTGGGCCTGAGCAGAGCTGCCGGGCCTCAGGGGCGGCTCCCGGGCAGGCTGGGGCTTCTCCGGCTCCCGCGCCTCCTTCAGCAGCCCGAGCTCAGGGGCGCCTGACTCCTGGGCTCGCTTCTGCTGCAGCTCCTGCCATGGGGGGCACCTTGAGGAGCCTCGCCCAGGACGAGCCAGGCGCCCAGCCCTCCTTCCGCCAGGCTGCCCTGAGGCCCAGCGTCCAGGGGCTTGGGGGGAGGAGGGCCAGGGAAGGCAGCAGGCGGGGGTCCCCCAGGAGCACAGCCTTGCTCTCAGGTACAGGGGTGGACCTGGCAGCTGTCAGCTGACTCGGCACTGAGCGGCACGCAGGTACCTGAATGGCCGCTCGCCTGGCCTGGCGCGCCTTCTCCTCCCGGACCTTCCTCCTGGCCGCCTCCTTCTGCTGGTGCAGGCTCAGGGGGCTCCCGTCTCCCAGCTGCTGCCGCTGCTCCTGTGGAAGCCATAGCTGGCTTGCTCGATCCAGACCTGTGTTCCCACGGGACCCCCCGGCCCCCCACAACCTGCCCTTCTCTGCCCCAGGGAAGACAAGCCTCCCTCCCTGTGGCCAGCGGCTCCTTTGGGTGGGGAGGCAGCTCTGCATCTCGGAGCAGAAGCCCCGACTCAGGGCATGGAGGAAGGGAGCCCCCAGATGGAGTGTGGGCCCACGGGTCCCAGAAACCCCACTATACACAGTTGGGACCCCTGGGATTCTCGCCCATACAGCTCACACCCCCCACTGACCTCTCGCCTCAATGCGGGCGGGTGCCCTTGGCGGGCAGCTCTGGCTTGGCGCCGCTGCCGCTGCTGGCGGTACCAGCGCTGGATGGTGACGGCAGCCTGGTTCACCTGGTGGATAAACCTGCGGGTGCAGCACCCGCGAAACTGGGTGAGTGATGAGTGATGGCCGCTCCTCCGGGGGTCCCCCCAACGGTCGGGGCAGGCAGGGAAGCCTGCAGCTGCACGGCCCTGCGGAAATGAAGACGCCATCCGTGGACTCTGTGCTCGATCCCCATGGACTCTGTGCTCGATCCCCAGGCCTGGCACCGCGCCCAGCACACCGGCTGTGGGTGCGGGCTGCCGTCCTGACAGTGGGCGCTATTCACCGACAAAAAGCAACAAACCAGAGACCCGGCTGGGCATGATAAGTCACGGGCTGAGTGCTCGGGCCGTAGAGTATTCTAGAAAAGGCAAAGCCCTAAGGGAACAGATCCGTGTGGCCAGGGTCAGGTCTGGTGAAGCCGGATAAAAGGCCTGCGGGGAGTCCAAGGGGTGACAGACCTGCAGACCACAGAGCTTCAACACGTGCCTGAATGCAGCCAACAATACATCTAAAATGGATGCATCTTATTGTACATCGACATTAATCACTTCGACTCGGTAAAGCTGAGTAAACTCTAAAAAGCCTTAACCTCGGCTCTCGGGACCACTTGCCAATTTATTCAGCACAAGCCCTAACGGAGCATCCAGGACACAGATGGCTTCGGGACCGGCGCACAAAGGGGCCTGTTTGCTGACACACAGCCAGACGGGAAGCACCAGGCTGCCAGCGCCACTCACCCACCTCCAGGGCCCCCCAAAGTCCACACTCTGACCAGCACAAGGTCCCTGACCGGGAGCGACACCGTGGACCTGGGGCCCCGGCGGAAGATCTGGCTGCAGCCCACCCTCAGCGCCCCCCAGGGCGAGTTTCAGGGGATGTGGCCATGAGGCTGTTCGGGGTGTTTTTAGTTTTATGTCTTTCTTCCACTTAATGCTTTTCTAATAAATGGTTTCAGTGATGTACGATTTACATACCATAAAACCTATCCACTTTAAGTATACGGTTCAATGACTGTTCATAAATTTGCAGGATCATACGACTGCCGGTGTGACCCAGTTTTAGAGCATTTCTGTCACCCCCAGGAAGACGGCCTTCTGCGGCCATGGGCCCCGAGCAACTGTGGTTCCAGATCTGCCTCTTCTTGACATGTGGTATAAATGGGTTTGTACGGTACGAGGTTCTATCAGCCTCCATATTTTAAAACAATTCTTAAGTGGAAATTTCTACTAAGTGAGCTTCAGGCTCCCCCCTGGCCCCCAGCCCACGATCACCTCTCGGCCTCCTCCTCTGTCACCTCCTTCCGTCTGAACGGGCCTGGGGGCCCCCCCGTGTTGTTCTGGGCCACAGGGTTGCTGCTGGAGAAATTCTTGTGTGGCTTCCCAGAGCTGCTGCTGTCCCCCTCACCGGTGGCCGCCTTGAGGATGTTGCTAACAGAAGAGCAGAAAAGGCTCACTGGCCCTGCCCAGGCCCCCTCACGGCCCCAGCAGGTGGCTCTGCCTGCGAGAAGAGGGTCCGTCCCAGGGGTTCGGGCCTGGAAGGACACACCCACAGGACATCGGGAGTGGGCATGGCCGCTCCCCGGTTCCAACACACTAGTTGGTCCCCAGGGGCACCTGCCTCCCACACAGCGCGTGGGAGGCTATTGGGCTCTTTGCATTAAAAAAAGCAAAGAGGTCGGGGGCACCTGAGGCTCACGCAGGTAGGCATCTGACTCTTGATCTTGGCTCAGGTCATAATCTCATGGTTCATGAGTTTGAGGCTCTGCGCTGAAGTGTGGAGTCTACCTGGGATTCTTTCTCTCTGTCTCTCCCTCTCTGTTCCTCCCTCCCACGCTGTACATATGTGCGCATGCCCACGTGCGTGCGCCCTCTCTGTAAATAAATACACTTTAAAAAATGATTTAAAAAAAGGAAAAAGCAAAGAAGTCTCCAGAGCCACAAGATCCCAGAGCCAGACGGTGACCCAAGACACCCGACGGCAGCCCTTGACTCCGAGTGTGCCAGGCAGGGCAGATGGGGGTGACATGCACGGGGCTGCCCTGGCCTCAGCCAGGGGGCCGGAGACTCGGCGAGAGGCTGCGGCTTCCTCGGCGGGGACCCCACACCGAGGGGAATTGCCCACTGGGGTCTGGTGTCTCTCTGCCCTGCTGCCCTCGGCTGGCAAGGGAGGCAGCTCGGGGCGTCCGGGGTCCTGCCATGTTCCGCGCACATCAGCCGCCGCCCCCACCCCGTGCCCCCCGCCTTACTTGAGGGAGGGGGCCGCGTGGTTGGAGCTCTTGGGCGGCGGCGCCTTCTCCGAGGGGCTGTAGCGGTTGTGCAGCATGGTGGTGACACGGTTGCCCACCGCGCCCTTGTTGCTCCTGCCAGAAGACAGGGTGGCGTCAGGCTCCGGTAGGCGGCATGGCCCGAGTCGCGCTCACCGTGGCACTGTCCGGGCGTCCCTGGGGCCACTCTCCACGGCCACCACACCGACAGGAGGGGCCTTCTCAGGACCCAGGAGAGCTCTCCACCCAGGGGATCCCACGGAGCAGGACCCGAGGTGCCCGCTGACAGCGGGGACACCTGCTGCGGAGAGAAGGCCACAGACCATCGGTCAACGGAGAATGGGCCTCTCTGTCAGAGAAACGTGCCAGGAGGCAGACACGGCTCTCTCCGCCCCTCAAACCCACCAGGAGGGATACACGTGGTACAAACACACAGGGGCGAAGGGGATGCAGGAGGAGGCTGCCGCGAAGACACAACCACAAAGTTTTAGCAGGATGAGAAGGGCCAGTGGTCAGCGACACGTGGAGGGACGGGGGAGAAGCCCTGCTCCCCGGAACCCCAGGGATGTGCGGGAAGTGGGGGCACCTGGCTCTTCCAAAGGTCCCTCCCTGACCCCAGCACCCAGGCACCAAGCCCATCCCTGTGGTCTGGACAAGAGGCCAGCCCGCCAGGAGGAACAGTCTGTGCACTGAGCAGGACATCACCGGGCCACAGCAGTGGCGAGCAGGACTCTAGCCCTGGGGCAGGAGACCAGAGAACCCCTCCCCGGAGACACGGAGCAGCCCAGACACTAACACGTGTAGACCCCAGGACAGCAGGTGCCCCCGCCCAGGCACCCCAAAGTGAGCTACCAGGCAACTCTTAGCCGCCCCCCAAATGCTGGCAGAGCCGGTGTTCCAGACGTTTGCGCACGCGAGAGGCCAACAAACAGGATGTGGTGGAGACAAGGGTCAGCAGAGCGAGGACGTCCCAAAGAATCCGTGGTGACTGCCCGGCCACGATCAGCCACTCTCGGCAGGAAAAGCTCTGACTCGGAGGGTTTGCCAACTTCGGTAGTCCCAGCACAGCCGGCACCAGGCGTCCCCGGGCGCGGAGGCGGGACGAGAGGGCAGCCAGCCCCCGAGCTGGCGCAGGCGGCCCGGCCACCGCTCCCCGCTGTTGTCAGACGTGAGAGGGAGAACCAGGCGCCATGAGCCCGAAGGCAGGCAGACGAAGGGCCATAGGGGACAGAGCGGAAGGCCGAGGAGACAGGAGCAGTGCCCGCAGTCGGATGCGCTCAGCAGCCACAGTCCCGGGGAGAGCGGCAAAGAAAGAGAACAAAGGAGCCCAGGGCAACGCAAGAGGGCCTTCGCCGCCACCCAACAGCACGACCGTCCACGCGGAAGGGCCCGAGGACAGCAGGCAAGCGGGGAGAACCCGGCGGCCGGCCGGTGCCACCGAGTCCACGCAGGGAGGGGAGGGACCACCCAGAGGGCTTCCGGAGAGAGCACGGACCCCGGCAAAAGGCGGGGAATCAGGGCGACACAGGACTCCCCAGCAGCGGTCCCTGCGGCCGGCACCACCACTTCAGGACGTCGGGAATGTTCTCTGATGTGGGGCTCTGCCAGCCACACCCTGGGTTGGCTCCAGGGTCAAGGCATTTTTAGACACACACGCACGGCCATGAAACCTTTCCCTGTTGAGAACCCTCGCTCCGGGGTCCGGAGGAGCCTGTGCTCACAGAGGAGGTGGAGGCGACCCTGGGGTGGGGTGGGGCCGGCTCAGACCCAGAGACAAGCCAGGCTCCGGGGACAGGAAGGGCCCCTGCTGGCCTCCCCGTGCAGAGGCGAGTCCAGCGTTCTCTGGTCAGGGCTGGGACATGACAAGCAGGTAGGGAAAAGCGAGAGATCGTTCCTAACTCCGGGAAAGACAGGTGCGTGGCGCTGCCCTAAGAGGCACCCATCTCAGCCAGCAAACCCTCCTGACCCTGCGCGGCAGGCACAACTGCGACCCTCTCGTATGAATGAGCATCCTGGGGCCTAGGGAGGTTAAGTAACCTGCCCCAAGTCCCACAGCAAATAAATAATAATAAAGAAAGAGAAAAAGTTGTGAACTCGGAACTCGGAGCAGGCGGAACCAGCCGCGGCCCCTGCGCGGAAGCGGCTCAGGACGCAGAGCTGACGGACTCGGCTCGGGCAGCAGGAGGGACAGTCGGAGGGTGTGCCAGGCGGCCACAGGGAAGCAAAGCCCTCCTGCCACGTGGATTACGTGCCAGGTCGGAAACAGTCCACAACAAGCAACACTGGGATGTTGTCATAACCGTTTTCTAGAAAATACTAGAAGAAACTGCTTCAAAGTAGCTGCTTCCAGAGGCACCTGGTGGTTCGCTTGGTTAAGCATCCCACTCGGGATTTCGGCTCAGGTCACAGTCCCGAGGGCGGGCGATCCAGTGCCCCCGAGGTGGGCAGAGCCTGCCTGGGATTCTCTCTCTCTCTGCCCCTCCCTCCACGTGTGCTCCCTCTCTCAAAATAAACAAACATTTATTTTTTAGTAAGAAAGAAAGAAAGTAGCTGGTTCCAAGAAGCAGGACTCAGTTGCGGGGGGGGGGGGGGGGGGGGAAGGGGGAGCAGATTTGGTTTTTTTCCTTTTATTAAGTATGTAGCGCTGCTCAGCTTTAAAAAAATTTTTTTAATTTTTTAATCTTTATTTATTTTTGAGAGACAGAGTGCAAGTGGGGAAGGGGCAGAGAGAGAGGGAGACACAGAATCCGAAGCAGCTCCAGGCTCCGAGCTGTCAGCACAGAGTCCGACATGGGGCTCGAACCCACAAACTGGGAAATCATAACCTGAGCCAAGGTCAGACGCGTAACTGACTGAGCTGCCCAGGTGCCCCTACTGCTCTGCTTTTTAGCTGAGTGCATGTGTCACGGACAGAAATTTTTAAAAAATTTTTTGTTGTTTTAGAGAGAGAGAGAGCGGGCATGTGTGTGAACAGGGGAGGGGCAGGGTGGGGGAGAGAGAGAGAATCCCAAGCCGGCTCCACACTCAGCACGGAGCCCAGCAGAGGGCTCATCCCACAACCATGAGAGCATGACCTGAGCCACCCAGGCGCCCCCAAAATTAAATGTTAACTTAAATTATTGCATCACAAGCAAGAATTGTTCCTGTGCTGACTCAGATGAAGGATCAAGGAGAACTCTGCGCCAAGACAGCCCCTCTGATGCATGGCCCTCTGCGCTGGGAAGCTCTTTCTTGCACGGAGCACATGTATGTCCTTGTCCCTCTGCCCACGGGTGCCCCCGAGGCCAAGAGCGAGGGGGACCAGCTGTGTAGCCGAGGGCGGCTGTGCTCCCCCAGGCCCCGCCCATCCTGACAATCGCCGGCCCGGCCCCGCCAGCCAAGGCCACAGCCTGCGCAGCCCTCTGCAGACCCCACGCTCCTGGCCGTTGCTCCGCACGCGCTTGCCTCTGTCCTGCCGTGGGTGGTGCTGCTGACAAGTGACCACCGCGGCCGCACGCCGGCCAGCTCTCGCACCAGTGGGCAGGTCCGGCCCGAGGCAGCCTGTCCACCCTCCTGGAGGCCCAAGAACCTCCCTTGAGCCTTAACCTGCCCTCTTCAAGAGCTAAGCTGGGCATATCGGGGCCTCGAGAGGCAGGCGGCCCTGCAGACGAGAGGGCGGAGGGAGGCCTACGGGAGCCCCGCGCGAGCAACCCTGGCCAGTAGAGCCCCCGGTGCCAGGCGCCACCCTGCGGCCTCCCTCCCTGGGCCCCCGGGGAAGAGAAAGCCAGCCACTCACTCCCGCATTCAGTCACTCGTTCCGAAGCACGCAGGGCCACGAACGGGAGAGCCGGCCCCCAGCGCCTCAGCGCCTGGGCTCCCCGTGCGGCACCTGCTGCGGCTCCCACCTGTTGTTGGCAGTGAAACTGGGGGCCAGCGGGACGGTGCACTCTCTCCTCCGGGGGCCCAGCGGCGCGCCGGGGGTGCCAGGGCTCCCAGAGTCGGGCGGCGAGGCGAAGGCCCTGGGGTGGTCATCCTGTCGGTGACACAATCGCCACCTCAGACCGTGATGTGCTACACGGGCCGCTGGCCTCGTCCCCAGGCTGGTGCCCCACCGCGTCGCACAGGACGGAGAGCTAACACCGAGCCCCCCCCCCGCTGCCGCCCCTCCCACAGGTGCAGCCCCCGCCAAGAACCAGGCGTCACTCTGGAAGGGACACGTGGACTCCGCCCCTGGCCCTTACCAGGACATTCCACGTGGCCCCCCTCTCACCGGGGGCCTTGCTCAGACCAGCCAGCCTCTTTTTCCCACCAGGGCTTCCCTCAAAGAGTGTCAGGAACTGGGGGTCCTCGGCTGGCCTGTGTGGGAGACAGGAGGCCAAGCAGGGACAGTCACTCGTCTGGGGAGGCTGGTCCAGGACGCAGACAGGCACGTCTCCGGGGGACCGGGAGGGAATTCCGTTTCATAGTCATAGTGTGACAACGGTGCCTGAGAGATGCTCACACCCTGGGCCGCGGCCACCGGGACACCCACGGGAGAAGTGCGGCGGGGACAGAGGGCAAGAAGCAGGCATGGGGGCGCTGGCTGGGGGTCCCCGTCTCTACTCGCAGACATGACGGGCCCGGCGCAGCGCTGGCCTGAGTGCAGGTCACGTCAGGCCCCACCCTCCACCCAGCCTGCGCCCAAGCTGTGAGGCTGGAAGAAGGGCTGACCGAGGCGGGAGGGGAGTGTGCTGGGGGTCACCTGAGGCAGAGGGGTCACCTGAGGGGGCCGGCGCACGCCTCGCTGGCAGGCGGCTGGTGGACTTGCGTGGTGCTGTTAGATCTGCAAAGGTTGTTGATGGATCGGGAACCTCCGGGCGCCGTGGCCTCCTGTGCAAAGGAAGAAACAACCACCCTCGTGGTGAAGGTTTCAGACACTCACCAGTTCACCCCGGGCCTGCCCACCCGGCTTCCCTCAGGCCTCCGGGAGCTTATCCCCCACCCCCAGGTCAGCCCGCTTCTTGAGGACTCAAATCCAAATGCTGGTGGGGCAGAAGGGGCCGAGAGGCTGGTGCCCACAGGATTTCGGTTCTGCCTCAGACCCGTGGCCGACCCTGGCCTTGACCTCTCAGGCCGATGGCTCTGATCTGCGAGCTGGAGTCCCCGCTGGCCCTGGACACCGGTGGCCCCAGCACTCACCAGTGCCTTCCTCCTTGGCTCACTGCCCGAGACTGCGGAGAAGGAGCGGGCGATGGGCTTGGCGGCCGAGGCCGAGGCGCTGCTGGGGCGCCAGGACACAGGCGGAGGGAGGCCAGTCAGGCTCAGCTCCACGCCTTCTGGGCTGCCCTCGGGGCGGCCGGAGGGGGCGCTGGCGGCCCGGGAGCCCTTCATGGAGGCTGCGAGGCCCTGAGCAGGCAAGAAGAGATGCAGGGGGACGCCTTCTGAGGAACCAGGCCTCCTGGGACACCACCCTCAGGCAGGCCTCAGGGAGCCTGCTGCCACCCGGCCACCCTCCTCGCTGGGCGGTGGGGGTTCCTTTGTCAGGAAAAGAAGGCACGTGGCAGAGCAGGGCTCCAGGCCTCAGTGCCACCGCTCTGTCGGGACCCTGCCTGAGGGTGGCCTGAGGCGGCGTCTGCCCCACCCCCTAGCCCAAGAAGGCTACTCCACCAGTCTGAGCCTCACCTCCTTCATCTGGAAAATGGGTACTGAAAAAGTGCCTCTCCCTGGGGTTGTCCTGACGGCTATGTAAACACTCGGCACGTTCAAACCAGGACTTGGTGTGATTGATGTTGCCCAACCCAGGGTCCACAGCTTGTCTGGCCACGGAACCCCCTCCGTTTCCTCGGAAATTCCAGGAACCCGCGAGCTTCTGGGATGTGGATCTGCCCTCTTGCTTCCAGATCCCCTCCCCCCACCGCTCCTGGCACCAGCCACACTTTACAGCCTCCCTTGCTGCCCCTCCCTCTTCCCACCCCTGAAGTCGGAGGGTCCCCGGGCTCAGGGCTCAACCCCGGCCTCTCCTCTCCCCACCCTCTCACCTGGGGGACCACGCCTGACCTCCTGGCTTCAAACAGAGGCTGCCGGCTCCTGCCCGCTCTGTTCCCTAATTCCTGACTCAAGACCAGCCCCAGAGACCAAAACAGAGCCCTGACTTCCACCTCTAGCTGCCCCTCCCCAGGGGTCATGTTTTGTAACTGACTCAGGCCAAGGAATTAGACCTCATCCTGACATCTTCCCCTTCAGCGCCACACCTGCTCCGCCAGCAGCCCAGCCCTCTGCCCACGCGTCCTTTCCCTCCACAACCCCAGGCTGAGACCCCTCTCCTTGAACCTGGACAAGCCCAGCCCCTCCCCACACAGTGGCCAGAACTGATCTTTCTCCACCAGGTCTCAGATCACACTGTGTCCCTCCCGAAAACCTTCTGAGGGTCCTCCTGGCACAGAGAATAAAGTCTAAATGCCCAACACCCCTCAGATCTGACCCTGCTCTCTCTGTGACCTCCTCACTGCCACCCCTCGCTCTGCTTCAGCCAAACCAGCCTTCCTGCCGCTCCTCAAACTGGGCCAGCCCGTTCGCATCACAAGCCTCTGCACCTGCTGGTCCCTCTGCCGGGAGCCTCTTCCCTGGGATGTCACGAGGCACTCCCTTCACTCAGAGGGCCACCGGTCCATCACCTTGCTCCCCCATCCTGCTTTAGTTTTCTTCACCTGGCCACGCGGGCTGGTCTGCACTGTCCGACCCCCTGGCAAGAACATTAGCTCCACGAGGACAGGGACCACGTAGCCCTGGCACGTGGCGCGTGGCAGGCTCTCAAGCATCAGGAGTGGATGAGCATGGACCAGTACCACAGAGGAAAGAGGCAGCCGGCCCTGCCACCGAGGACCCTGGTGGGCCGGCAGGCACACAGCACCACCACCCATGGTCAGTGCTGAGGCCTCCTTCCGCCCCCCACTCCCCTCACACACGTGGGGGGGGGGGGCCATGGCCAGGTGCCAGTGCCTCTCTTCTCTGGAGTGGAGCACAGAGCTGTCCCTGCCATTCACCAGGTCGGTGTCCTCAGTTAGGCATTTCCGGTTGTGTGGGTGAAATGTAACACCCTCCTCTCCCCAGGGCACTGGCCACGCCCAGCTGGACCCAGGCTGGCCAGCTTTCCCAGCCACAGGAGGAGCAGCCACACGCGGGGTTCTGGGAGGGTAAACGCAGCCTCTCCGTGGAAACCTCCAGGCCAGACCTCACCTTGCATACAGAGATGTCTCCCCAGCAGCCCAGGGTGGGTGCCCAGAGCCTCTGCCCAGACTCCGCAAGACGGGCTGACCCAGGACCCTTGGCAGCTTCTCCACCGGGCAGCTCCCAGTCTCCCAAAGATCTGGCTCAAGGCGGTGGGACCTGAGGCCGCTGATCGGACCCCATTCACCCGTGCAGCCCCCGCCCCCGCACACCACCCCGACACACCTGCACAGGGAGGGGGGAAGACTTCACCTGCACGGGCCCCGAACTTCCTCATCCGCGCGAACCCCTCTCATCTGCGCGGCCGTCCTCACCTACACGAGCTGAGCCCCCTCACCTGCGCGGGGACCCCCTCACCTGCGCGAGCCGGGCCTGGGCCGGAGCCCGTGAGGGCGGCCCGCGGAGGCTGTGCGAGGCCCTCCGACGTGGGACGCCCGGGGCCCAGGCTTCAGGCTGACGACCTCGCGCCCTGGCCCTGGCCCTGGCTCCGGGGCCCAGGTGACAATGAAGCGACCGGGCCGCAGGCTGCGCGGCGGCAGCTAGCAACCAGCAACCAGCCTGGCACCTCCTCCCCGTCCGTCACCGAGGCCCGCCTTTCCTGCCCGCGCCGCCTCCGGATTGGCCGTCCGGCTGCGCACTCTGTCCATCCCGGGAGCCCATTGGGCGCCTGGCTGTCCTTCGGGATGTTCAGGCGTGGGAGGAGCCTCGAGGGGCGGCTCATCCCCCCGCCCCCCGCTTGTGGCAGCGGGCCGCCGATTGGACGCAGCTAGAGGAGGCGGGACCTCTGCTGGTATGGGCGGAGCCTCAAGGAGAAGGGGCGGGGAAAGAGAGGGCCGAGGGCGGGGCGGGCGGCGTGGCGCTCGGGGCCTCTCTTTCGGAGGGACCCGGTCGGCCTGGCCTACGCTGGCCTCCCAGCAGCCCCGGGCTCCCACGGGGTCCAGGTTCCCACGCCGGCCCCGGGCTCCCACGCCGGCCCGGGCTCCCTCCCCGCTACTGCTCTTGGACACGTGGGTCCCTCTGCACCCCCTCCCGGCAAAACTCCACTTAGGGCCCAGACCTCGCAGAGGCCCGGGGCTCCCTCCCTCAGGCAGCCCTGTCCTAGGCCGCCCTGGTCACTGCCCCGCACCCGAGGCCCACCTCCCTTCGTCTCTCAAGACTTCCGGTGGCGCATGTTTTGTCTTGACTGTCCCCTCACTTCTTTCTTTTTTTTTTTTTAATGTTTTATTTATTTCTAGAAGAGAGAGAGAGAGAGACAGCGTGAGCAGGGGAGGGTCAGAGAGAGAGGGAGTCACAGACCGAAACAGGCTCCAGGCTCCGAGCTGGCAGTCAGCACAGAGCCCGACGCGGGGCTCGAACCCACGAACCGTGAGATCATGACCTAAGTGAAAGTCGGACGCTCAACCGACTAAGCCACCCAGGCGCCCCTGTCCCCTCCCTTCTTTCACTCAGGTGTTTGTTTTTGCCTCCTTCTCCCAAGTTTTGGTCACCCCCACCCCTAACCCCTGTGGTCTCTGCGTGGGAGTCGTTTCTACCTGTAACCCTAAGTCCTTCCCTCAGTGGTGCCCTGTGTCCCAAGCCAGGCACCCACTGCCTTCCCTGCCCTGCAGGAGGAATCCCCAGGCACCTGGCACCCCTTCACCTGTCTGTGGTCCTTCACCAGGAAAGCCCCAGTCCTGCCCCCCCCCCCCGACTTCCCCCGCGGGTGCCCTCTCCACCAGGCCTCTGGCCTCTGCAATAAAAGTTATCTTGGGGCACCTGGGGGACTCAGTCGGTTAAGCGTCCGACTTTGGTTCAGGTCATGATCACACAGTTCGTGGGTTCAAGCCCTGTGTTGGGCTCTGTGCTGACAGCCCGGGGCCTGGAGCCTGTTTCAGATTCTGTGTCTCCCTCTCTGTCTGAGCTTCCCCTGCTCACACTGTCTCTCTCTCTCTCTCTCAGAAATAAATGAAAAACATTTTTTTTTATATTTTTATTTATTTCTAGGAGAGAGAGAGAGAGACAGCGTGAGCAGGGGAGGGTCAGAGAGAGAGGGAGTCACAGACCGAAACAGGCTCCAGGCTCTGAGCTGGCAGTCAGCACAGAGCCCGACGCGGGGCTCGAACCCACAGACCGCGAGATCATGACCCAAGCGAAAGTCGGACGCTCAACCGACTAAGCCACCCAGGCGCCCCGAAAAACATTTTTAAAAACAGTTATCTTTTGGGGCGCCTGGGTGGCTTAGTCGGTTGAGCGTCCGACTTTCGCTTGGGTCATGATCTCGCGGTTCGTGGGTTCGAGCCCCGCGTCGGGCTCTGTGCTGACTGCCAGCTCAGAGCCTGGAGCCTGTTTCGGTCTGTGACTCCCTCTCTCTCTGACCCTCCCCTGCTCACGCTGTCTCTCTCTCTCTCTCCTAGAAATAAATAAAAAAAAATTAAAAAAAAAAAAAAAACAGTTATCTTTCCCCTTAACACAGAACACTGCACATTGCTGGTCTTCACGTCACTTCTTAAAAAGTAAATGCTGTTTTATTTTTAAAAACATACATTTATATACAATGAAATTCATGCTTTGGGGGCTGCAGTTCTATGAGTTTTGACAGATGCACGTAGCTGTGTTAACACCATGGCCGCCCCCGCCACCAAGATACAGAACATTCATCCATCCACAAAACCCCCAGGGGCTGCCTCTGAAGCCAGCCACCCCCTAACTAGCCCACCACTAATCTGTTCTCTGTCACTATTGTTTTGTCTTTTCCAGAGTGCCACAGAAATGGAACCCTACAGAAGGTAGCCTTTGGGTCTGGCTTCTTCTACTCGGCACTGTGAGATCCAGCCACATCCCTCTTCATTGCTGACTAGTATTCCACCGTGCGGTGAAGCATGCTTTCTCAGTCATCAGTTGAGGGACGTGGGGAGCGTCCAGCTTGGGGTAATTACGAACGAAACTATTGTAAACATCTACTTTCAAGTTTTTCTGTGAACACAAGTTTTCGTGTCATTTGGGCAAATACTTAGGTATGTATTTATACCTATACATGTATATAGGTATACATATGGTAGGCATGTGTTCAACTTTATAAGAAACTGCCAGACTATTTTTCGCAGAAGTTGTACCATTTTGTGCTCATACCAGCAGTTTAGGAGAGCTCTGGTTGCCCGCCCCCCCCCCCCCAGCACCCTTAGCATTTGGTTAGTGTTCTTGTTTTTTTTTTTGTTTTTTTAAACATTTTATTTTTTGAGAGAGAGACAGACAGAGCAAGAGCAAAGAGACAGGGCGAAACAGAATCCTAAGCAGGCTCCAGGCTCTGAGCGACAGCCCAACACGGGCCCAGGAACACGAGATCATGACCTGAGCCGAAGTCGTATGCTCAACCGACTGAGCCGGTCAGGCGCCCCTGGTGTTCTCGTTTTTAAGAAGTGATTAAAATTACTTAAGTACTGATCACTTAGGTGTGTAGTGGGATCCCATGTCCCTACTGATGTCGAGAATCTGTTCATAGGCTTATTTGCCGTGTATTTATGTACTTTCTTTGGTGAAAGGTCTGTTCAAATCTTTTGCCCACTTTGTAAATTGAGTTGTTTGTCTTATGAGTTTTGAGCATTCTTTACATGTTCTTGATAATAAGTCCTTCATGAAATAAATGGGTTGCAGCTTGTCTTTCTGTTCTCTTAACTGAGCCATTCAAAGAGAGGTTCTTAAACTTTATGGTTTGTGTTTTTTGTATATTGTAGAAACCATGGCCTGACCTGAGGACAGAATATTGTCTCTTATTTCTTCTAGAAGTCTTACAGTATTAGGTTTCATGTCTAGGTCTATGGTTCAACTGAGATTTTGTGTAAGATGTGGGATGACAATTTTTTTCTTTTTTTTTGTACATGGATGTTGAATTATCCCAGTACCATCTGTTGAAAAGCTATCTTCTCTTCATTGAATTACCTCGACATTTTTGTGGAAGACCAATTGACTATATTTGTGTGTGTCTCTTTCTTTCTTTTTTTTTTTTTTTAATATTTCTTATTTATTTCTGAGAGAGAGAGAGAAAGAGACAGCGTGAGCAGGGGAGGGTCAGAGAGAGAGGGAGACACAGAATCTGAAACAGGCTCCAGGCTCTGAGCTGTCAGCACAGAGCCCAATGCGGTTCTCAAACCCACGAACTGTGAGATCATGACCTGAGCCGAAGTCAGACACCTAACCGACTGAGCCACCCAGGCGCCCCATGTGTGTGTCTATTTCTGAGCTGTCTATACTGGCCCATTGATCGGTGTCTGAACTTTCACCAATACCACACTGTCTTGATGAGTACTGCTCCACAATAAATCTTTGAATCTCGTGGTGGGAGTCCTCTTTGTTCTTCTTTTTCAAAATTGCCTTGACTATTCAATTTATTTTGGCTTCTTCTATAATATTTAGTATCAGCTTATTACCACGTAATAATCATGTAAAATCACCATGTAAAATCCACCTGGAATTTTGATGAGGATATGTTAAATCCATAGATCAATTTGGGGGGGAACTGACATCTTAATAATATTAAGCTTTCCAATCCATGAGCATAGTATACCTCTCTATTTATTTTGGCCTAATAATTGATATGTTTCATCAGTCTTTTGTATTTTTCAGCATGAAGTATTATTTCTAGTATACAAAAATACAACTGGTAGTATAATTTACCCTGTAGCCTGTGTCCTTGCTAAACTCACTCATTAGTCTTGGGAATTTTTGTAGATTTATGGGAATTTCTACATAGACAATAATGTCTGTGGATAATAACAATTTCTTTTCCAAGGTATTTGCCTCCTTCTCCTATTTTATTGAACTGGCCAGGGCTTCCAGTATGATGCTGAACAGAAGTGGTTAGAATGGATATCACTGCCTTGTTCCCAGTCTTGGGGTAGAAAGCATTCAGTCCTACACCATTAGGTATGATGTTAGCTGTGGGATTTTGCAGCACTCTCTACCAGGTGAAAGAAATTTTTATATTTCTCATTTGTGAGGAGTTTTCATGAATGAAATGTTGAGTTTTGTCTCTTACATTTTCTGTGTAAAATGATTTTTCTTCATAAGTATGTAAATTTGGTGATTTACATGATTGATTTTCAGATACTGAACCAACTTTACATCCCGGGGAAAACCCCCACTTATGGTGACATATTAACCTTTTTATATATTGTTGGATTCATTTTGCCAATATTTTGTTGAGGATTTAAAAACAAACAAACCATTCTATGTTCATGAAGGATACTGGTCTGAAGTTCTCTAGACCAAGTGCACACGGGATATTCCCCAAGAGAGACTATATTCTGGGCATAAAACAAACTTCAACAAAAGTTTGACATCTTGAACAATACAACTGAAGTAATAGAAAACAAGTTATTATACCAGAATTAGAATAGTAAAACAGAAACACACACCTTTTATAACCCAGTAGACAAAAAGGAAGTTGCAAGGGAAATTAGAAAATATTCTGGCGGCACCTGGCTGGCTCAGTCAGTACAGCATGACTCGATCTCCAGGTCATGAGTTTGAGCCCCGTCTTGGGTGTGGAGCCTACTTGAAAATAAAATAAATTTTTAAAAAAGAAGAAAATACTTCCCCTCCCATTATACATATATATATATATATAAAACATATGCATATGTATTATTATATGTATTATGTATAATATATAATTTTTAATTAATTTTTAAATTTACATCCAAGTTAGTTAGCATCTAGTGCAATAATGATCTCAGTAGATTCCAGTGATTCATCCTCCAAGTAGAACACCCAGGGCTCATCCCAACAAGTGTCCTCCTAATGCCCCTCCCCAGCTAGCCCACAGCCTCTCCAACAACCCTGTTTGTTCTCTGTATTTAAGAGCCTCATATGTTTTGTCCCCTTCCCTGTTTTTATATTATTTTTGCTTCCCTTCCCTCATGTTCATCTGTTTCGTATCGTAAATTTCTTGTATGAGTGAAGTCATATATTGGTCTTTCTTTAATTTCAGTTAGCATAACACCCTCTAGTTCCGTCCACGTAGTTGCAAATGGCAAGATTTCATCCTTTTTGATTCCGGAGTAATACTCCGTTGTATACAGAAACCACATCTTCTTTATCCATTCATCTGTTGATGGACATTTGGTCTCTTTCCATACTTTGGCTGTTGTCCATAGTGCTGCTATAAACACCGGGGTGCATGTGCCCCTCTGAAACAGCACACCTGTATCCCTTGGATAAATACCTAGTAGTGCAATTGCTGGGTCATAGGGTAGTTCTATTTTTAACTTTTTGAGGAACTTCATACATTTTTCCAGAGTGGCTGCACCAGTTTGCACTCCCACCAGCAGTGCAAAAGAGATCCACTTTCTCTGTCTCCTTGCCAACATGTATTGTTGCTGGAGTTGTTAATGTTAGCCATTCTGACAGGTGTGAGGTGGTATCTCATTGTAGTTTTTTTATTTTCCTGATGATGAGTGATGTTGGACATCTTTTCTTGGGTCTTTCATGGGCGAAGTGTCTATTCATGTCTTTCTCCCATTTCTTCACTGGATTATTTGCTTTTCAGGTGTTGAGTTTGATAAGTTCTTTATAGATTTTGGATACTAATCCTTTTTATGATATGTCATTTGCAAGTATTTTCTCCCATTCTGTCACCTGCCTTTTGGTTTTGCTGATTGTTTCCTTCACTGTGCAGCGGCTTTTTGTCTTCATGAGGTCCCAATAGTTCATTTTTGCTTTTGTTTCCCTTGCCTCCAGAGACATGTTGAGTAAGAAGTTGCTGTGGCCAAATTCAAAGAGATTTTTGCCTGCTTTCTCCTCGAGGATTTTGATGGTTCCTGTCTTACATTTAGGTCTTTCATCCATCTTTATTTTTGTGTATGGGGTAAGAAAGCGGTCCAGGTTCATTTTTCTGCATGTCGCTGTCCAGTTTTGCCAGCACCATTTGCTGAAGAGACTGTCTTTATTCCACTGGATATTTTTATGCTTTGTCAAAGATTAGTTGGCCATACATTTTTGGGTTCATATCTGGGTTCTCTATTCTATTCCATTGATCTAAGTGTCTATTTTTGTGCCAGTACCATACTGTCTTGGTGTTTACAGTGTGGTAACACATCTAGAGGTCTGGGATTGTGATGCCACCAGCTTTGGTTTTCATTTCAGGATTGCTTTGGCTATTTGGGGTCTTTTCTGGTTCCATACAAGTTTTAGGATTGTTTGATCTAGCTCTGTGAAGAATGCTGGTATTATTCTGATAGAGATTGTATTGAATATGTAGGTTCCTTCGGGTAGTATTGACATTTTAACAGTATTTGTTCTTCCAATCCATGAGCTATTTTTTTTTTTTTTTGAGATATAATTAAAACACTTTTTCTCTCCAGCTTTACTGAAACTGAATTGGCATATAACATGGTGCAAGTTTAAGGTGCACATGAAGGTGCTGACTTGATATTTGTAGATTGCAGGATTACCACTGTAGCATTCGATGACACCTCCATCCCATTACATGGCTGTTTCTTTGTGGTGTACATAATATTACAGTTCTGTGTCTTTGGATTTATACATCCAGGCAACCACCATCCTAATTAAGACATGAAACATCCCGATCCCAAGTTTTACTGCCTCTTTCTGCTCAGTTCCACCACGCGGGCACTTTTGCGTCTTTCTTCTTTCACGGAGCAGAATGTTTTTGAAATGCATCCATGTTGTGTGGACCTTGTATCTGTCCCTTGTTTGGGCATCATTGCAGGTCACGACGGCATGTGACTTTTTGTGTCCAGCCTCAGTCATTAGGGTCTTTGTGGCGATGTGGAACCAAAGGGATTGGCAGTGAAGCTGGTGGAAAGAACCGGAGATTCCAAGATGGGACAATGGGAGTAGATGGTAGGATCTTGGCAGCAGCCAAAGTGGACTGTTTTGTGGCCAAGAGAATGGTCTGGGGGAGCCTTCCAACGGGGGCACGTGTGGGGTTGGAAGGAAGGTATCGGATGATCTATAAACCAAGGAAGCAGGGTAGGGCTGTAGTTCTCTGGGAGGAGCTGGTCTTGACCCCCCCACCCCCACCCGCTGTCTGTGTTGTTTGGGTTCTTGTCTTTGCTGCTTGGGTTCAGCTTTCCTGAGCGCTGCTCTCCGGTCCCGGGGCCAAAGCTGCGGTGCTGCCGGATGTGCTTTCAGCTTCAAGGCCACTTCTTCCTGCAGCCTGGGAGGGGGTGTGGGTTCTGACTGGACACGAATTCCAGGTCTGCCAGTGGCTTCTCAGTGAACATTGCTTCCTTTGTGAATGCTTCTGGTGCTTTCCTTTAGGAAGGTGCCCTGGGTCTGGCATCCTGAAATTGACATGCGTTACCACGCTCTGCTCCTGGGACCAAAACAAGAAAACATTCTGGACTGAATAAAAACAAAACTGTCAGAATTCAGGGGATGCAATCAAAGCAGTGTCCAGAGGAAAGCTTAGAGCATTGACATTTTTATGTTAGAAAAATAAAGCTCTCAAGTCGATAATCTAAGCTTCCACCTTAAAGAAACTAGAAAAAGAAGAAAAATAATCCCCAAACAGTAGGAATAATAAAAAGCAGACGGCAAGGAAATGCAAAACATAAAACGGTAGGAAAAAAGGAAACCTGAACATTTAGTTCTTTGAAAAAAATCAGTATTAACAAACTTCTAATCAGACTAACCAAAAAAAAGGGTAAAGTTATCAACATCAGAAATGAAAGGCGGAATATCATTACAGATCCTACAGAAATAGGGATAATAAAACTATGCCATATGATACTCCATGGCCGTATTTGACAATTCCATGAAATGGACCAATACCTTGAAAGATAAATTCCTGAAAGTCACTTGAAGAAAGAGGTAACCCAAAGAGCCCTGTACCTACTTGAAAAACTTTACAGTCAAAACCTTACAATTAAGAAAATTAAAGGACCACATACTTCCACTGGGGAGTTCTCTCCAACATTTAAGGAAGAAATAACACCTGTCCTACTTTTAGACAAGTTCTCTAAGAGTGCCCCTCACTAATGCTATTTTCACCAACACACCCACAGACATACACACAAAGAAGAGAAAAAACATCAACAGTGAGGCCTTGCATGAACGACCGTGTTTATTCGGGAGTTTTGGGGCTGCATCCCTGGAGTGGCACCATGGCACCCCCAGGGCACCAGAACCTTCGCCCCCACACAGTCTGCAGGGAGCAGGCAACGCAGGGAGCTGGGTCACACCGGGACCTGGCAGCACAAACAGCCTGACCCCGACCCACCCCCACCCCCCGTGGACATGAGGCTGCGAAGCTGCTTCTCCCTGCAAAGGGAGTGCTCTGAGCCCAAAAACAAAGAGCCAAGCCATGGTTCCAAATCCACACAAAACCCCTTGTTTCTGAGAGGCAGGCACGGGTGTCCGGGGCCCTGAGGTCAGCGTTTCCCAGGCCTGCTGCTGCAGGAAGTCAAGTCCAGAGAGTAGCCTCGGGTAAGGGAGACATGGGGGGAAACTGAGGTAGCCCAAGCCCTCCTCTAAGGGTGGCAAGGGCCATGGCCTGGATGGTCTCCTCCTGACTCACCCCCCACAGAGGGGCCAGGGGCCCTTCTGCACGGTGCCTGTGAGGACCCTGGGAGCCCCCGACCACTCATTAGGAGCTCCTGTCCCCTCCACGCAGGCCGTGCTTCGCCCTCTGGCCACCTGGTCCCCCTTGAAGTCCATCTGGCTGTAGGGAGAGGGGCCTGACAGTGTCTGCAGGTCGGGCCTCCAGACGGCTGCAAGGCCGGAGACCTGGGGACCCCAGCCACCACCCCGAACGAGCAGCTCAGTTCCTAACTCTGCCTAGAAACGGGCCCAGCTCGGCGCGGGTCCCGCTCTCCCTCAAGGCCTCGGGGCTGTCCCTCCAGCCACCACACCCACAGGAGGGGCCCGTGCACGATGGGGGGCCTGCCTCATCCAGCAGGAAAACGGCGAACCCACTTTTGGGTTGGGAGCTGACCCCTGTGGACCCTTTGCATGGTGCCTCCCGGCGCTGTGGGCTCGTGCACTCCGGGCGCACCCCCGGGGCTTGACTGGCGGTGGTCGTGTTCGCTCTGGTCAGCTGCCGGCGCTGCGTCCCCTGCGAGTGAGGGGAAGCAGCCGGAGGGAGAGCAGGACCGGCCACAGCCACCCAAGAGGAAACACTCTTCAGTAGGACATGGGGGCTGTGGGCAAAAGGGACAGCACAGAGTCCCGGCGTCCTGGGATTTATAGGCCGGGGCCACGGTGACTCCCCACGTGGCCCAGGCTGGCAAGGTCACGAGTTTAGGAATGGGAAAGCAGAAGGTTCTGAGCCGGGAGGCGCTCCTGCTGCTGCCGTCCTCTGTGACGACGTCCAGGGGGCCTGGGGGGCCTCTTCCGTGGCGGGACCGGCCCCCAGCAGGCGGGGACAGGCCACCAGTTCCATGCCAGCAAACAGGGACCTGCAGCCGCCGCTGGGCCCTGGGCAAAGTTCTGGCGCCCCCTCTGGGGAGCCCGTGCCCCGCGGGCTCCACTCAGATCCGGCCCCCTCCACTCTGGAGCCCACCAGTCCAGCCTCGGCCTCCCTAGGGACTGAGAGGGGGGAGCCGTCTGGGGGAAGGGGGTGCGCAGGGCCCTGGGCCAGAAAGAGGGCGGAACTCAGCGGCTGTAGGAAAGCATGGCTCCCGGAGAAAGGCACGGCGTCGGTTAGCAGGTCGGCGGGGCCCCCGCGGGCAGACGCAGGGCCCGGCTCGGTTGGCGGCCTCCAGGCGGGGGGGGGCCGCTGTCGGCAGGAGGCTTCAAAGTGCCTCAGGATCTGGACGAGGAAGCAGAGGGGGCCGGGTGAGGGTCCTGTGCACCCCAGGGAGCACAGGAGACACAGCCCCCCAGGCGCAGGCGGCTCACCCTCCTCTTCCGGTCACCCCCACCAGCCACCCTGCGTGCACCCAAACACGCGAACCCGCTCCTACGCGTTCCCCGGCCGCGAACCTGGCTGTGTGACCGGCCAGCTCAGGGAGAGGGGTCCCTTGCTGGGCGCCACGGCAGCGCCTGACACACATGCAGAGGAAACAAACATGCCTTAAACCCTCCGGTCCTTCCCAAGTCTGCGCACATGGCCTTCCCCCGGCCTTCATGCCCTCAGAGACACCACGGTGCCTCGCTGTGGCGAGGTCACCGATTCTTTGACAAAGGAGAGTTTAAAGACAAGCCACCCAGGATCTGGATTCTCAGTGGTCACAGAGGAGCGCAGAAGCTGGGGATGCCAGTGGGCAGGTGGAAGTACTGGGGCCTGGTTGAGGGGGTGCCGGCCTGGAGGGGGGCTGCCCGGAGGCTCCCCAGTAAGGGAGCCAGGCGGCCCTCACACAGTTCCAGCTTTCCGGGGAAAGGGGCTCGCGTGAAGGAAAACGCTTCTGCTCTCCAAGAGCCCAGCACGGACTCGTGAACTGGGACTCCGGCTGGCAAACAGAAGAATAAATGGACCTGAGCAACCAAGGAGGGCTTCTCACAGGCGGCCACACGGGTGCTGAGCCACGTGGGAGGGGGAGCTGCGTGCAGGGCAGAGCTGAGAGCAGCAGGGCAGGCGAGCGGAGAGGTCCCAGGAGCCGGAAGAAGCCACAAGCCGAGGACCTCGGCTGCTGTGCTAAGGGCACAGCCCGTCCTGGGTGGGGGCGCATCTGGGAAAGGCTAGCGGGACAGGTGTGCAAGTCTCCTCTGGGTCCCCATGCTACCCACCTTGGTGGCCTTGTTGGTCACAGGTCCAGGGCTGCCCGCGCTGAGCTCCTGCAGCCGTGGCCGGGTGAGGAGCAGGATGTGTTCCTGGGAGAGCAGGTCGGTGTGGCCCAGGGAGGCGATGGCGCCCAGCGCCCTCTGCTGGGCAGACGGAAGGTCAGCGCGGTCCCGCGCCCCAGGGAGGCCCATCTCACAGCTCGCTTCCTCCTCGTGGCCCGACTACGGCCCCAAGGCAGGGACCCCAGGGGTGGGCCCACTCCCCCCATTTCCTAGGGCAGGCCCGGGGCGAGGAGGTTGCTGGCCAGCCCCGTCCACTCCCCTCGCCGCGCCCCCAGCCCCGGCCTCACCATCTGCACGCACTCGCCGGCCCCGTCCAGGCGGCGCATCAGCAGCTCCAGGACCGCCTCACAGTTGAGCAGCCCGCACCTGCAGGAAGGGACGAGCAGGAGGGGGGGCGGGGGTGGGGGCGGGGGCTGGGAGTGAGGAGCGGGGGGGGGGGGGGAGACTCACTCTTTGATGAAGCACTGTGCCTCCTCTCGGCTCAGAAAGGGGCGTGGCCCCCGCGTCACCGTCTGGACCAGACTCTGCTCCTGCTGGCAGTCACTCAGGGTCATGGCCTCAACCCTGTTGGGAGCACGGCGGTCAGGGCAGAGAGAGACTCCTCCAGGTCAGGCCCCAACCCAGGGTGGGACCCCAAAGAGGACCAGGGAGGGTGCCCCACGGCACCCACTCACCGCTCTGCCAGGTCGCTGGGTGCCTGGCTGGCCGCTGAGGGGCTGTCACTGCCCGACCGACTGCCCGAGTTGGAGACCTTGCCTGGGTCACCGCTCTCCCGGGACGAATTCTGGGAGCTGGAGCCGCTGTCTGGCTCGTCCCAGCCCCCTCCCGCCTGCCCGGGCTGGGGTCTCGTGACTGTGACAAACAGGACCGAGGGTGAGATCGGGGAGGGGAGGGGGCTCTGACCCTCCCCCTACACCCCTCCCCAGGGTATCTGGACCAAGAAACACCAGGCACGAGGAGACAGGGGACAGAGCAGGACACCCCTCACAGCGAACGGTCAGGACGGGGACTGCCAGCCCACAGCAGAAGGGGCAGGGCCCGAGCCTGCGTCACACAGACCCCGACCGTCTTCCTTCAGGCCAGGAAAACCCCCAGGACATGCTGCTCTTAGAGGCGGGCGTGCAGCTCGCCGGGACACCTGCCGTCCTGTCCCCCACACGCCCAGCCCTGGGGTCGGCCTGTGGGGCCGTCGTCCCCCCCGCTCTGTCCCCCCACTAGAACGCGTGCGCCGTGGAGGCTGCTCCTGGCCCCGGCCCCGCTGCCGCCCTGGCTGGACCGGCCAAAGCTGAGCTACGGCCCAGCTCACGTCCCCGGCCTGCACCTGAGGAGATGGGACCTGGGAGCCCCGCCCCCTTAGCGCTGTGAAGGCAGGGTTCCTCCCCGGAGCAGGAAGCTGGCAAAACAGCCTCTAGATGCCACGTGATCTGCGTGCAGCGAGACAGCCACCACAGAGGCCACGGCAAGCGTGCAAGGAGTCAGGGCAAGGCTGGGCAAGGCTGGGCAAGGCTGGGCAAGGCTGGGCAAGGCTGGGCAAGGCTGGGCGGGGCCCCTCCCCGGACAGGACACTGCCTTTCCCCTCCTCGCTCCTGCAGATTATGGGGGGGGGGGGAGGGCCTGCTCACCCAGACGCCCCGGGGAGTCTCACCACTTCCTCGGGTGCCCAGGAGAGCCACGGGGCCACCACGGGCAGCTGCGGGCGTCACGGCAGGCTGGTAGGCGTCACCTCGCGGGAGGGGCCTCCGGGTGCCGGGGCTCCCGGGCCCAGGGCGCACAGCGCTGGCCACCACCTCTGCAGCCTTCTGGATGGTGGAGAGGAAGGCTTCGCCCGCAGAGCCTGTGCCAGAGACAGAGAGAGAGAGAGAGAGGGTGCCAGCTGCCTCCAGTCCTGCCCCCCCGGAGGAGTTCGAGAGGCCAGCACATCAGCTGTACTACAGAGCAGAGCCTACACAGGGCACCTAGCTCCTTCCAGAAGCTTCCCCAGTGAATGCTGCTTCAGTGTATTCGCAGGCCCGACGGAGCCTGGTGCTGAGCACCGTGCCCAGAACAGGCAGCGCCCAGGCAGGCTGTGTCCACTCACGACCGGCGCCGCCCTCACGACCACCACCCTCGGCCCTCGGCCCTCTGAGGACCCAGGGCCTGGGTGCATGTACAGAACCAGCCCTGCCTGGCTTCTCGCCTGTTAATTACACAGACAGGCCCTGCCTCATTCTCTCACAGGCCCAGGCAGGGAAGACTGTGGGGGCAGGGCACACCAGCCCCAGCCACACCACCCTCCATGCCTCCCAGGCCAGATCTGCCAGACCCTTCCCCCCACACCCCCGCGCCCCTGCTGCACTCACCTGTGGGGCCCCGTTCCTTGCTGTAGCCGAAGCCCTGGAGGGCACCCTGGGGCCTGGACTCGGAGCCCATGCCTGCGGGCAGGACCCACATCAGCACCACCGTAGCCGCTCACGCTCAGCTCTGTGCACGGGGGATGGCGGGGGGGGGGGGGGGGGGGGGCCCCGAACCCGGCCCAGAGTGAAAACCCAGCGACAGGGATGGGTGGTCGCCTACCTGCTGGAGGCAGGGCCCTGGGAGGCTGGGAGGGAGGCAGGGGGGACAGGCTGTCCGAGAACAAGGCACTCCCCAGGTCCTAGACGAGGAGGCAGAGGGCGATCAGCGCGCTGAGGTCGGCTCTGTTCCGCCCCACCCCATCCCCCTGTCCCCACAGCAGGGGCGGAGCCAGGGCCCCAGGGGGTGGGTAAAGCAGTGTCCATCATGGCTGTCCCAGGCTGACCCGAGTCCTGGACTCACCTGGGCGGCCGCCCGCACCTTCTGGTACAAGCTGTTTCCGTGGAGAGGGTCCGGGGGCCCTGAGAAAACTGCAGGATGGAGGCAGGCGCACAGGTGAGCGGCAGCTTTGAGGCTCCCCCGGCCCTGGTCACGGGCCCCCCATGGACCCCTGGCAGATGACGCCGGCACCCCGAGGCTCAGGGGTAACTTTCTGAACCACAGGTCTGATCAAGTGCCCGTGCAACAGCCCTTCCAAGTCAAAGTCCCTAAGGTGGCCCCCACCCTCTGCGCCCCCAAGCCTGGGGAGACCCCAGATGCCCCTCATCCAGGACCCACTGCCCCACACTGCCACTCAGAGATACACCACCGACCCCCCCAGCCCCCAGCCACCCCGTCGCTCCTGCCCACGGGGCAGAACGAGGGTGCCCCGCTCCCCGACCCCACTGCCGCCTCTCACCAGGGTTCCTGCACTGGCTGCCTCCTCGCACCCTCTCAACCCACTCTCCACTCAGCGCCCGTGTGCCCTGCGAGCAGATCTCATCCAATCAAAGCCCCGCAGAGGCTCCCAGGACCCCGATGATACAACCTCTCTCTACGTAAGCACTTCAGCTGTGACGAATGGGATTTTCCCAGAAGGAATCAAGTGACACCCCCCCTTACCTGTGTCCTGTCACAAATGCATCTCATTTTCCGCCCCAGCAGGTGGCCCAGGGTGGGCACACATCGGCCCCTGCACCCAGGAGTGGATCCACAAAGGGAACCACGGGGGTGGGATGCCCCAGAGGACCCGGTCTGCGGGCTGTGCCGCCCCACAACCAGCTCTGCTCGCTGCCCCACCTCCCCGACAGCCTGTGGCATAGTCCCCGGGGCAGGTGCTCGCAGCACGACGGACTGGGACGGGCCCTGCGGCAGCAGAAACTCTCGTCCCAACAAGACGCACTGTCTGCCGCGCCCGGGGCTGCTTCAGCTGCCTCCCGGGGTGGAGGACGGGGGTGAGGGCTCGCAGTGCCCTGCCCACACTCAGCCCTGCCTTCAGCCAAGCGACAGCAGTGGTTTTGGGGTGTGGGGTATGTCCGCACCTGGCAGGTAGGATGGAAGTGCTCAGGGTCCCCTAGGGGCACCGTGGTGGCCAAGAGCATCTGGCTCCCCCTCCCCGGCGCTGCCCTCTTGGGGACAGGTTGGCAGGCGTGGTTCTGGCCTGAAGGTCGAGCCCTTCCGGTCACTCAGGGTGTGTGGTGGGGGCTGTGGACGCTGCACCCCTGAGACTGACTGTGACCAGGCCTCCTGCCTTACTTGGGGGAGAGGTCTCAGGTCACGTCCCCCAGGTCCCAGTGAGGGACAAAGACACGGACAGTGCCAGACCCACCTGTGCTAGACCTAGAGCCAGCAGGCCAGAGCCCCTCTCCTGGGGCTCCCGCAGATTTTCTGAAGCAGAAGCTTAGTGCCCCCGGCTCTGGCCCTGGGAAGCAGTGCTGGGGAGCAGACAGAGCCCCTCTGCTGTGCCAGGTACTAGAACAGGCAGGACAGGCCTGGGCTGCCAAGGCGTGGCAGGGCACACGGATGGAAGTAAGCCACCATATTGAGGGCGCGGCGCCACGAAGGAAGGGAAAGCACGTGGCAGAGTGAAGGCAGTTGCTGGGGTCCCGCGGGTGGGCGGGGCGTCTCTGCCCGGCGGTGGCTGTCACTAAGGGACTCTGGCTACAACCTGCCTTGGCCGCCCTCCCCTCTGCGCGCATACCTGCGGCTTCCTGGATGAAGGCAGGGTTGCGTTTGAGGATGAGCAGGGACGACGAGGAGCCGTGACCACACAGGTGGAGCAGGATCTTCAGCACCTGGGGGACAGTTGCACGGGGCAGCACAGGCCCAGAGGGCAGCCTGCACGCATCCCGCGGCGACCCTCTCCTCGTGCTTTGCCGCCCACTGGCAGGAGCTCGGGCCCTGACCCGTCCCCCAGCGGAGGGTCTGCGGGGGCCACTCAGGGACTCACCTTGAGCTTCACTCGGCCAGAGCCGCTGTGCAGACGGTTCAGAAGGTACTCCAGGAGGCACTGGCTGCTGCCCAGGGACTCGTGCGAGATCTCTGGTAGGCGCTTGGGTTAGGGAAGGAGCGAGCTGACCCCAGGTCACTCGAGGCCACGCTGACCGGGGAGAGAACCAGGCCTTCCTGCCAGCGGACTTCTCCCGCGTCTTCCCCGCAAACACCCACCCCAGGCCCTGGTGTCAGGAGCTCAGGGCTCTTGGGGCCTCCTGCGCCCTGTGGCTTTGGGCCCACCCACACTTGTCCCTACGTAGAGGAGCCAGGGGAGCTCCTCAGGACAGGCCCCTGCACGTGAGTGACAAGGAAGGATACTGGCGATCTCCTCAAACAAGTAGCCCGGACACGGGACATCGTCGTCTGACGTTCCCTTCAGGAGAATCGGGAGCTGAAAGGGAGCGAGAGCGCCTGCCGCCATGAGCAGGCATCACGGGGATAAAACCCAAACCCCCGTTCCCCCTGGGTGTGGCGCCTGGGCGCCTGGAGAGCCTGAGCCTCAGTGCAAAGACCGGACAGGGAACCTCAGGGTCACTCACGCCAACAGGTGCGTGGACTCTGCCGGGTGCTCACTACAGACTAGTGTGAAAGGCAGCGGCCTAACGTCACAAGAACACGGTCCTGGAAGTCACGCTATTTGTGCAGCAAGACCCCAAGGGGAGGTGGGCAGACGTGCACAACCGTGGAGGCCTTGGCGGAGGCTGCGTCTCGGGCGGCCCGGCCGCCGAACCCCTGCCTGCCCTGCCGACGCTCAAGGCCGCCCGCAGACTCCGCTTCGGCTCCGGCCACACCCGCAACAGGCCCCGACCGCCGTTTCCCGGAGCATCTGCCCCGAGGGGCTGACGTGGTGAACGTGGGTCTCCTAAGCTCGGGAGCGTCCTTCCCAAGGACCTGAGGGCCCCGGGTTGAAACGCACCCATTAGGAAGGCCCGGGCCCGTCTCGCAGGCCCTGTGCGGGGGCAGGACCCCCAGTCCCCAAGGCGCCGCCGCAGGGCACTGCCCGACCCCCGCCTCCCTCAGGGCTCCCGGCACGTGAGCGACCGGCTCTGCCGTCTGAAGCCCCGGCCGTCCCTTCCCATTCGGGCTCCGTCCGGGGAGACGGGAAGTGGGGAGGGCGTGGCCCGCCCACACCGCGTCGGGGACCCGGCCCCGAGCCTGGAGTGGCCACAGGGACGGGCCGCAGGGGCCCAGGGAGGGCCGGGAAGGTTCGAGGAGGACCGGCCCGGAGCGGCCCGGAGGGGGGTGGGGGCGCCCCCGGGCCTGGGAGGAGGCCGCGGCGGGCGCCGAGCAGGGCCAGGGAGGGGAACGGCTCGCGTCCGGGGTGGGGGCCGCGGCCGCCCGCACTCACCCGGTGCAGGAAGCTCAGGCGGTCCCGCAGCTGCGGCGTGGCCGCCATGATGCCGGCCACCTTCCGGCCCCGCCCGCAGCCGCCGACCCCCTCCAATCCCCGCGCGGGCCTGGCCAGGCTGGCCAATCGCTCGCGGGGGGCGGGGCCTGGAGCCGCTGCCGGCAAACAACCGGAGTTTGGTCCAATTCGAAGTCCCAGGTCAGAGACAGACAAATCCACGGGCCACTTGCGGGGCTCGGGAGGCCCGGCGCCGTTCCGGAAGCGAGGCCGGGCCGGAGCCGTGGCCGGGCCAGACGGAAAGCGCAGGAAAGGCGACGGGCGGAAGGCGCGCCTGGCGAGCCGCCGGAAGAGGGCGGGCCTAAGATGGCGGCGCCCGTGTGTGCCGGGAGGGGCCGCTCATGTCCGGGAACGCTGCGGTGTGGGGGCGCGTGCGGGGCCGCCTCCGCGCCTTCCCCGAGCGCCTCGCGGCCTGTGGGGCCGAGGTGAGGAGCTGCCGGGAGGGGCGCGGGCGGGGTCTGTCCTGGGTGACCGGCGCGGGGGCCCCGCCGCGACCCTCGCCTCTCCCCGTCCGCTCCCAGGCCGCGGCCTATGGCAGGTGTGTGCAGGCGTCCACGGCCCCGGGCGGCCGCCTGACGAAGGACCTCTGTGTGCAGGAGTTCGAGGCCCTGCGGAGCTGCTTCGCCGCGGTAGGTGGGCGCCGCCCCGCCTTGGGAAGGGGAACCGGGAGGGGGACCCCTGCGCTCTCGTCGCGCCCGCGCCGCGCGTTCGGTGCCGGGAGCCGCGGAGCTTGTGTGCCGCCGTCTGTCGAGCGAGGGGAACGCCAGCCTCGTCGTGAAGACGCTGGTGGCGGCGGGGGCAGGTGTGCCAAAGCTCCGTGTGACCCGTGCTGTCGCTGGGGCCTCGAGCCCGAACGAAGCGCAGCCCGGGCTCCAACGGAAGGCAGCTCGGCACCTGCTGTCTCCGCTTCTTTGGTGTTTAGGGCCCCGCGTGTGCACTGTGCGCGCCGTTGTAACCGCAGGGCCACGGGGACACACCGAGAGGGCTGCTGTGCTGCCAGGACCCCCCCCCCCCGCCCCCCGACGGCATATTGCAGAGGATGGAAGGAGAATCAATAGGCCACTGTCCTGGGTTTGTCAGAGGCGGATAAGCCCTCCAGCCCCCCTGCCCTGACTGGTTTTCACTGGCCGGGAAAGGGGCCCCACTGGGAACAGTCCGCTGGGTTTGGGGGTTTTTTTTTGGTTCTGGACTCTAACCACTCAACAGCAAGTCCCTTCTCTTTCTGAGCCATTTTTCCGACCCCCATTTGATCAGATGCTGAGCCACTAGGGGTCCTGTGAATATCACCAGCACTTTATGAAAATGTAGAGTTACAGTGTTGTATTTGCACATTTTGTAAAGAACACGGAGCAAGGAGGGCTGGCGGAGACGCAGACATGCCCAGAGAACCTCCACGGGGAGTTCCAGACAGCATGAGGAGAGGGCTCCCTGTGATGGGTGTCCTGGGCTGGTGCCCAAGGCATCACCACCCAAGGTGCCCCCGTTGGGTGGGTCTGGGGTTGGGCCATGATGCCAACTCTCAGCTCTGCCGTCAGGAGCTGCCGGTGCAGGGAACTGGGCTGCACACGGGGCGGTTGGGTGAGCTGGGCAGGACTCGGGACCCGAGGCCGTTTCCTGATGTTCTGGGATCATCTTGAGCAGAGCGGCTAGAGTGGGTTAGCCGCTTCTCCAAGGAGAAGCTCCCAGAGGGCTCAGATCTTGCACCTTTCCTTGTGATGATTATGGCCCAGACCCCCTGGCCTCATCCTGCCCTGGTCACCAGCCTCAGATCCGATGTGGGCCGTTCATCCAAGGTTGCACCTGTCCCTTGCTTCCTGCTTCTTGGCAGCTTCCCTGTTTGACAGGCCTCCCCAGGGGACAAGATGAAGCTTCACCGTGTACTAATGGTTGGAAGAATTGATGTGTAAGATGATCAACCGTGTTAGTTACGCACAGATTTTCTGTACCACCTTTGTGGTTAGGAGTTGTCTGTTCCAGTCACCTGATCACCCACCTGTGACTTCTTTATGTTTCTCTGCCTTGGTCACATGAGATGTCCCCACGGTGTGCATGCTGCCCTCAGGAGCCCTCCGCTGTTTTAACATGCCATTTATCACAGAAGGTGACTTCCCTGCAGGCCCCGGGCGCCAGGCACTTGCAGCTGAGGACTGGGACGCTCCAGTGTCTGTCACCATGAGGCCGCGCATCGAGTGCGTCCCCGCCCGTCCTGTTGAGCCCACAGCACTTGTGCTCCAAACCAGCTCCGTCCCGGGGAGCCCCGCCCCCAGGCCAACATTTCAGCGGCTCTGCTTAGTGTTTTCTGTCAAGCTCCCACTGCCCTGCGAGGACCAAGGGTGGTGTGTTGGGGGCAGGGGTTTGCACAGCGCCCGGTCCAGGGTGGGCGTGGCTTCGGGAGTGCACGGTCACGGAGCAGACCCAGCCCCTCAGCCCGTGGCAGTTCCTAGCAGCTGGGCCCTCTGCCGCGCACCCACAACCAGGCTCTGCATAAAGTATTTGCTGGGAGGTGGCACCTGGGAGGGTGGCTTCTGCCTTTTGCGGTAACATCTAACTTAACCCGTTCAAACCAAATCCTTTATCTTCCAGGCCAAGAAGACCCCAAGGGGAGGCCTTTAGGATGGACAAACCAGCACTGCACTTGTGTCTGCTGCCCATGGCCCCGAGGGGCAGACGTCTAAGACATCTAAAGCTTTTAGAGCTAAAAGGACTGCACACGCATCAGGGCACGTCATGGGCAGAGGGGGAGTTTGGTTTTCCTGCCTCGTGTATGTAAGGTTTCTGGTTAGAATAAGCAGCAGTGAAGCAACAATGCAGACCATAGCCGACCACGCCGGGTCTCTCCTGTTGTACGCAGTGTGCGCGGGCTGTGGGTGCGCACTGCTCCAAGAACTTTCACCCAGAATACGTTGTCTGAGGCTAACGGAGCCACCAGATGTAGCTGCCACCAGCGTGCAGCAATGCCGTGAGGAGAAGCCTGGGTGTAGGGAGGACAACTCGGGTGCTTTTTCTGGACTTACAGGCAGAAAGGAGGGGCTGCCCTTCTAGAGGCTGGGGGGGCGAGGCGCCAGCCAGCCCAGAGAGGGTCTGGCTTAGGAATCCAGTGGCAGTGACAGCACATGGGGCGCCTGCCCTTCTGTAGCCGCCTCTGGAGTCAGAGCCCAAGCCCCTTGACCTCACCCCGCAGTGCTTACGGGGACGCACACACACAGCCAGGGGTTCCCCAGTGCCTGTGGCCTGAGGATCCCGCGGGTCCTGAGTGCCACCTGCTGGATGCTTGGGGACTGTGCTCCAAGAGTTCCTCCAGCCACTGGCACGCCCGAGTCCCCAGCACCCACGCACGGGTGGGGGGAGGCGTCTGTGCTCCACTGACCCCACACGCCCTGGGGGCCCAGTGATCCTTACCACCACCACCACCACCGGGTTCCTCCCTCACTGAGCCTTGAGGGTGTGCCCCGGACCCTCGTACACCATCCGGGGTCCCGACGGCCTCCCTCGTGTGGGGCTTGCGGGTGTCTGCTGGCCACTGGCTCCCGGCCCTTCCAGAACCATCCTGCCAGGTGCCTTCGTGCCCCCATGTCTCCCACCTCTGCTCTCAAGCTTCCCACGTGTCCCTCCCCTTTGGGCCACCCACCAAAACCCCTTCCAAGTTCCTCAGCCTTCTCCTTGCTCTCTGGCTTCACTGAATTCGCTCCAGCTTGAAGACCGTGTTTACGGAGGGAAATTCAACGAAACTGGCGTCTGGTGCAGCCGCGTCATCACATCCAGTTCCTCATGTGTGTCTGTACTGGTCACCGGTGTCAGCCCTCGAACGGGAAGCCCTGAAGGCAGGATCCTACCCCACCTGCCCAGGCAGCTACCCAAGGGGAAGGGGTGCCCACGGACGGCTTGCTGCTCCGGCCAGACTGCCCATTGCCCTGCCAGGCGTGGTGCCAGCGGTCTGTGGCCCTGCCCCCCTCCCCCAGCTCCCTGGAGTTCTGGCAAGGTGACCCTGCCCAGAGGTCCCAAGTTCTCCCCCGAGGGCTGTGGACTGGAGGGGGGGGTGGTGGAGGTGAGAGCCAGGAGGCAGGGAGAGTGTGGACGGGACGAGGACCCTGAGTGTCCAAGGGCAGCAGGACACCCCCCACCCCCCCAGTGAGGAAGCTGCAGGATAGCAGGACCTCCAGGAACACACGAACTCAGGTCAAGAACACACGCGGGTTAGCAGGTTTGGAAATAAAATTCCACTTTAAAAACTTAACACAGTTCCAGTCCTAGGGAAACATCCAAAAGGTGTTTTCCCACCAAGCCGGGTCGGTTTGGAGTCCTACTAAAGGATAGGAAACACCCAAGACCCCTCCCCCTTCGTCAGGGGCTTTCCTCCTCCCCCAGCGCCCACCCCAGGGTCAGGAGGAACCAGCTCGGCATCCAGACTCCACCTTTTTTATTATTTGCTTCTGGTCCTTGGACACAGGAAATGACCCAATTTTGAAGGTGCAGGGAGGTCACACGAAGCTGCGGCCGGACCTGCCCGCAGCGGTGGGCCTCCCGCCTGCCCGGGCACCTGCAGCTCGTGGTCGGTGAGTGGCTGCACCGGGGCCCCTGGCGGCAGGGTCTGGGGCACACACACACGCACACGTGGGACAGAGCTGGCCTGGGCTTGAAGGTGGACGGCCCACCGCACGTGCCAGTTACACCCGCGCCCTGACCAGCCTCTGGGGGCGGCCTCCGGCTTTTCTGTTCCCTGAAAACAAAACGCCGCCCCGCCTGCTTACAGGGTCTCTCGGGGGCTGCGTGGGCTCCGGCTCCGGCTCCCGTGTCACCTGTGAGGTTTGGTCAGTAGGTGCTCTTCCCTGACCGCCTGTCGCAGCCCTACCCTGGCCACGGGCTCCTCGATGCCACAGCTCTGCTAACCAGACGCCACACTATCGGTTATGCTTAAAACAACTTTCTGGTTTGGGAAACTGCAGGGAGCGCAGAGCAGACCTCGAAGGGGCAGGGGTGGCTGTGCGCCCAGGCAGCTTTCCGACCCCAGGGGTGGCCCCGGGCCCAGTGCGCCCCAGACACGAAGCGGTGTCCGCCGAGCAGCCGGGTGGAGGCGGTGTGCATTGGGGAGTTTCTACAACACTCAACATCATGTGAACAACGAACATGTAAAGCAACTGGGAGTCTGGCGGACTGGGGGCTCACACCCCAAGTCCCTGTCGGGGCGGCGGTTCCCCGCCGGCCTCTTGAGGCCCCAGGTGGACGCGGCAGCGTCCGAGTCTGGGCAAGTGGCTTTCTCCCCGAGGCCACGGTGAGCTCAGTCACTTGGACAAGATGGGGGACGGCAAAGGCACAGGCTGTCTGGGGACGAGGCCGCAGTGAGCGGCCCTGCGGACTCCCACCCACGGTGTGTCCTCTGGAACGCGGCGCCCACGTGGTCCTGGCACGGCTGGGTGACACCAGCACCCCAGGACAGTGGCCATGAGCAGGCGCTCATGGGTCCTCCAGGCCCTCGGCCAGCTGCTTCATCTGGCGGCCATGGACCACCCGCAAAGCGCCCCCCGCGGCCTGGTGGAGCTGGGTCTCTAGGGCGCTGCGGAGATCATTGACCTGCACGTCCGGGAGGGGGTGGAAGCTGATGATGACCCTGTCCTTCGTGGCTGGGGCCCCCCCTGGCCCAGAGGCCACATCCCGCCGTCTCCTCCGAAGGTCAGAACCGGCCTGCACTTTCAGGTCTCGGTTGGGTTTGGCGTAGTCTGGCTTCTCGGCCCCGGGGATGGCTGGTTGGGGCCGGAGGTCTGGGTTTGGCCTCTGCTCAAGTTCTTGGACGGCAGCGTCCTCCCCCCGAGCAGGCGCACGGTCCCCGCCGGCGGCCTCCCTTCTGGCCTCCGGGTGGCCGCCCAGCTGCCCACCCTGACCCAGCGCAGAGACAGCCCGGGGCTCCAGCTGCCGGCTCTCGGCCTGGGCCCCAGCGGCTGCTCCTCCAGACTTGCTGGCCGCGCCTGCAGGCGCCTGGTCGCGGCTGACCGGCTGCAGCTTCACACGCGGGGCACCCATCTCTCCTGCCTCCGGCTCATCTGCCTCCGGGACGCCGGCACCAGCGGCCGCCACCTCTTTTCTGGATTTCCTCCTTTCGTGGGAGCCTCCGCCGGGAACGTCCTGACGCCGCCCTGGGAATTCGCCGGCGACGGGCTTCTCTGGGCTCCCGGGCACCCCGGCCGGGCCAGGCACGGGCTCGCGCTCCTGCGCGCCGGCGCCCTGCTGGCCCTCCCTCTGCTCAGCCAGGGCTGCCCGGGGCTCCGCGTCGGCTGCGCCAGGAGGACCCGCCGGAGCTCTGCCTGCGGCCCCCACGGGATCCTCCACGGAGCGCTGGCCGTGCCCCTGAGGAGGAGCAGGGGGATGCCCCGGACCTCCGGGCGCGGGTTCCAAAGGCTGCTGGGGGGGCCGCTCCACGGTCTCCTCGCCAGGAGCCTCCTGCTCCTTCGCCACCCCGGGCTCAGGCGGCACTTCGGCTGCAAATGAAGGAGGCCACCAGTTCAGCTAAAGAAATGACAAGCTACGGACGCAGGAACAGAAAGGAGAACTTGCCAGCACAGTGGTGTGACGCACAAATCAGAACTGCCCTCTGGGCCCTGGAGCCAGAGACCTGGCCACACGGCCGCGCCCGTGCGCTCAGGGACAGCCCCCTTCCCGGCCCGGCCCCGACTTGCCCTCCTCGCCGTCCTGCCTCTGCTGGCGCATCTCCTTGTGCTGCTCCTCGATGACCGCGAGCAGCTTCTCCTGCTGGTCCAGGAGCCGCTTCTGCTGCACCTGCTGCTCCTTGATCACCTGCAGCAGGACGGCGTGGTCCAGCATCTCCGCCCGGCCGGCTTCTGCGGGGGGAGCGCTCGCTCAGGGGCTGCCCCCGCCGCACGGGGGCCGGGGGGGGGGCTGTGCCAGCCGGGGGCTGGTGTGACAAGGCTGGAATGGCGTGCGGCCCTCCCCTCCCTGGCACGCCCCGCGCTGGCTTGCGTGGGCCTGTGGTTTAGACATGCCCAGCAGGGTCCCAGCTGCTCTGATTGTCACTCCCTGGGAATAAAGACTGAGAGAAGCCCCAGAGAAGGTTCTGTGCCACAATGGCAATGATGGTGGTGTTCTGGGCTGGGTAAGGACTCTAAGAAAGCATCTGCCAAGCTGAGAATTTCAGAAACACACAGAATTTGAGGTGCCTGGGTGGCGTGGCTCAGGTCAGTTGAGCGTCCGACTTCGGCTCAGGTCATGATCTCACAGTTCATGAGTTTGAGCCCCGCGTCTGGCTCTGTGCTGACAGCTCGGAGCCTGGAGCTGCTTCAGATGCTGTCTCCCCCTCTCTCTGCCCCTCCCCTGCTTGTGCTCTGTCTCTCTTTCTCAAAAATAAACACTAAAAAAATTATTTTAAAAAAGCAACCCAAAAAACAAAAAGCAAACGATTCTCTTCCCTTCCAGCAGGGACCAGAACGGCAACCTGCTGAAGCAGTGGCCAGCTGCCGGTGCACGGGGCTCCCGGCACGGCCTCTGACCGGCGCCGCGGGGGGAGGGTGCCAGGCTGAAATGGCGGAGGCCAGTGCAGCGGGCGCATGTAAGAGCGCCCGCCTGCTCTCTCTGTTCCGCCAACACAGAACGTGGGCCCGGGAAGAGGCCCCGAGTCTGAGCGCCCGGTGCCCGCAGCAGCCGCCAGCCGGCGCACAGGGGAGCCCACGTCCGGCTGTTTTGGTGCTGGGCCAGCTCCTCGCAGAGAACAGCCACGGCTTAGGTAACTTCCGCAACACACGTGTCTCTACACGGGAGTCTGGGGGTGATGATGTGAGCAGGTGGGGCCGGTCGGGGGGAAAGTTCAGAATGAAGAAGAACATTCCGTGAGCAGTGACAGCAGACGCCCTGGCCAGGGCCCACATGCTGAGCACACACAGATGCGCTGGCCCGTCCCCCCCGCGGTGGCCTGTGAGCTGCCACATGGCACAGGGCTGGCCTCCTCCAGGGACTGCAGTGGCTTCTCCCCAGAGGCCAGACCTCAGGGAGGACTGGAAGACCAGACCACACAGAAGGCGAAGCCCCTCAGCAGCTCTGCTCCCCAGGTGCCCACGTGGACACCCTAAGGTCACGGAGATGCCTGCCCGAGAAAGACCACATTCCGCAGACCGAGGAGAGGCCCCATGCCTCCTCTTACATGAAGGAAATGCGCAGCACTGCCCCTACGGGGTGCTCTAGACCAGCCACCCGAGCCAGGGACCTCGCTGTCACCCTGGGTGCCCGTGGCTCATGGCCACGTCATGGTCAACAGTACAAGGACAGCTCCACACGCCGCCCGTCCACAGGGCAGGCGCTGAAGGGGCGGGCCCCAGCCTGTGCGGCCCCTTGGGGGAGTAGCCCTGGCCAGGTGCTGGAAGAAGAGGGAGGTGGCACGGTGTCATGTCCAGCCAGAAGCGACACACAGGGCAGATGTGACCCAGAGTAGCGGCAGGCAGTGCCCACAGGCAGAGCCCGGCCCCTGGGACCAGGCTCACAGATGGGACGTAACAGACATGCAGATATATGAACACGGGGCCATGCACACGGCAAGAGTGACACGTGGGCTCATCCTCGGGGGACGCTGGGAGCAGCCGGCACTTCCAGACCGCACCCACCACCCTCTAGGACCGGGCTGTTTGTGCAAAGCCATGAGTTGGGGTGCCAGGAGGAACCCAACTAAGGGGCTGGGAGGCCCACGCCCAGGGGGCAGGCCGTGTGTGTGGCTCCTGGGGTCTGGCCGCACACGCTCCCGGCGGGGCCACTACGGACAGCCTGCCTGTGGCATCTTGTTCTCGCACCTGAACGCCCTCCACAAGCAGGCTTTCTGCGGGAACGGCCCCCCCGGATTCCTACCTGCTACTATCTTTTTGATTTCAGCTGTTCATCCCATTGAGAGGCGTACAGAAGAAAGGCAGAATAGGAAACCATGAAAATTCTCTTTTCAGAAAGAAAAAAAAATCGAAAGAATCAGACAGGTTTAGGCAACAGATCATAAGGACTAGAATCTAAACACAAGGAGACTGAAACCAAAGACGAAGAGGCAAGTATGAACGGGCTACGCGCCCCCACACCCCAGGCCCCCCGTGGCCCCTGGCTGGGACACTCCCAGGCCCAAGCTTCGGGCTGGCTCACCCCGCAGGACCCGCAGGGAGGCAGCTGGGGGGCGGGGGCAGCGGGCGTCCATCCCCAGGAGCTGCCCCCGCGCGGCTCCGCAGAGATCCCCACGCAGACCCCGGACACGCTGGGGCCACGCCTCAGACAGAGTCGGTGGTGCCAGGGCTGGGTTCTGGGTTCTAACCAGGCGGGCATGTGCACAGAGACCCCCTGGTCACCAGGAGATCACGAGCCAGGAAGGCTGCCCCCACCCAGGCCACAGAAGCAGGTGCCCAACGGGGTGGGGCTGCTAGGAGGGGGTCACCCCCAAACCAGCACGAAGCTCTGAGGAAGACGAACCGCTGGGGAAAAGTACGACAGGCTCCCGTTTGGGGACAGGTGCCACTCTTCCCTGCAGGCGGCACGGATCCTGCCCCTAGCCTTGGGGCAGTAACAGCCCCCTGCCCTCCCACTGGGTCACGGGGAAGGCACGTCCTGAAAACGAGCAGCATCCGGGCGCACAAACTCGCCCACACCCGGCAGCACTCAGCACTACATGCGAGGTGGGAAAAGTAACATCGCTGCTTTCAAAGAGCTACAAACGGGAACAGAAGACCATGTGACACGGCGACAGATGTTCTTTTAAGGGGAGAAAGAGACATAAAAACTGTGCCCAGGGAGGGGCCCAAGAGAAAGCTGCTGGTGGGGAGGGGGTAGTTCAAGTCTTTCCTCAGGAGGATGCCAGGAAGTACCGAGGCGGGGGGATGGGCTGGGGGGGAGCGCCTCGAAAGGCCCCCCCCAGGATGATAGGCACCTGCGCTCCTTCCCTGTCATCGCTGCTGTCACGGGACCCCAGGGAGGTTGCGGCAAGAAAGTGAAGGCCTTACCCTCCAGCTTGCTGCCCGCGTGGCCTGCGCCCTGGCCCTCTGCGTTCCTCTGTTCCCGCAGCTCTGCCTGCGGCCCAGGCTCAGGGGGCAGCTTCACCGGGAGGGGAGCCTTGCCACCTGCACACATGAAGATTCTGGAGGTTTGCAAAGAATTCAGAAGAAAGTGGCAGGGGGGTGGGGAGGGGAGTGGCAGCAGAGGGGGCAGAGAAGGGACGAGGAGGGGGAGCTGCCTCCTAAAACCCCCCTCCACTTGGCCCCTCCCCCTGCCAGCAAGTTCATATCCGACCTGACGATTACCAGGGACGTAGTAAAAACATATTTAACATTCACGCAGGTTCGTGGCAGCAAGCCAGCATTAACTACCTTCCCCAATTAACATGCAAGAACCGTCTAACCAGCGCCCAGACGGCACTTAACAACGTGGTACCTGTCAAGCACTCCCGGCGCGTCCCCCGTGTGCGCCCAGACACACAGGAACAGCACGGCACCTGACAGTTAGTGGTCCGGCAGACAGCCGTGTGACAGGTACCGCAGTAGCTGTCGAGCCAGCAGACGCCCGCTTCCCTCAACAGCTGCTGGAAGGGCTGCTCCCCTCGCTTATTTGCGTGCTGATCCCGGGAGCCGAGCGGGAGCGTGGGGACCACAGGGAGGGCGACCCATTCCTGCTGCCCCTCCCCAGCCTCCCCCGGGGCCCACAGCACGGGGGCCTCGCGAGGGAGAGGACTTTGCCAAGACAAGCCCATGACACCCACCGGGCTGACTCTTCTCCGGCAGCTCGTCCGCAGCCCCTGCAGCCAGGCCTGGGGGTGGGATCCCGCCTGCTCTCTCCCCTGCACCCGCCACCGGGGCGTCCTGCCCCTCAGGGAGCAGTGCCTGGGGCCCTGGATGCAGACCCCTGTCGCCTGGCCCCTGGTCCTCCTTCACAGGCTCGATGGCTGGCTGCACATTTTCTTCTGGAACCTTCTGGGGGTCTTCAGGGAGACCCCCTGCTGCCTCCAAGCCCTGGTCGTCTCTGGGTCTCTCTCTTCCCGAATCTGGCAGAGGCGGTGCCATCTGAGCCTTGCCGCCCAGAGCCTTCTCATCCACGTGCTTGGACGGACGCTCATTCTCCTCCCGTTCTTCCTGGTCTTCACCTTCGTCCACCACCACCTTGTCATGAGGGACAGGGGGTTCGTGGCGGTGGGCCTCGCCCATCGGCACCGCAACACCTAGAAGGACACAGACGTGTCGGGAGCAGGCAGCGGAGGGGTCCCCGGCCCTCCATCCCAGGGGCTGTGAAGTGAGTTCTGGTGCCCGAGGGCGGCACACCGGCTGGCAAGTGCCGCCTCTGACCGATCGGACTTCTACCCGAGCACGGATACTCCTAGGAAATTACAAAAGGGGCCTGCTGCTGTGGCCAGGGGAAGAACAGCCAGCTGAATCAAAGAAGGAGGGAGGCTGAGAGGACCGGAATTAGGCAGGCCCCTCCCCTACCGTCCCGGCGCACGCAGCCCACCTTGGCCAGGGCGGTGCAGCTGCACCTCCTCCTGTTTCTCCTTGGCGTCTTCCCTCGGGGGCACGTTCACAGGGCCCTTGATCTGGGCCTGCTCCATCTCATCTTTCTCATTTGGCAGCTTCGGCTTATCTCGGCCGTCCTCAGCCTCGTCCACGATCGGGTGCTGGCCTGTAAGCACCGCACAGCTAACAGCAGTGTCTCCACGTGGCCACGCCGCCAATCAGCACAGGGACCGGGCCGTTTTCCCTAGATTGTAATCACATTTCCTGGCCGAATGGCAGAGCCTAGGTGGTTATCTTTTCCCTGCTCCATCATTAGCAACTAAGTAGCACAGAAAACGGTCATTTTCATGTGTATTCATGACAAAAATGTCAAAATGCAATTTACACCTAACTGGGTACAGAAAAGCAACACTCCATGTAATGTTGGCTGTCACCACCAGGTGGCAGCATGAGCCCACGCTTCGCCAGCATCCGCCCAGGGGGTCCCCCTTTCCTCAGGACAACCACCCTGCCCCAACTCAACCCCTTGCTACCAGCCGGCACAGAAACGGCAGATGCCGGGGGAGACTGATGTGCGATTCCGTCAATATCTTACTGTGGACAGTGACAATTAGCATCCAAGGAAGACGAGAGCAGGATGCAGAGCCTGGGAAGCGGCACCCCACCCCTGCCTGAGCACCGCGCCCCCTGTCCCCCCCGCAGCCGTCCTGGGCCACAGCTCACCCACGCAGCAACCGTGGGGCCCACAGACCGGGGTCTAAACAGCCTGTAAGGAAACTGCCTCCATTAAGAAGTCAGGCAAATGTGGCAGAAACTAAACACCCTGGGAAAAGAAACTTTAAAAAAAACCCGCCATTTCACCCTCTGTTCCCCGTCTCCAGACACGAGCTGCCCAGAAAAGGGGAGACTAACATCTTCCGTGCACAGCTGTACTACTGGCCTGTGCAGGGCTTGGGGGCACGAGATGGTGAGGCGGGGGGTGGGGGGGTCACAGCAATCCGGCTCAGATGGGACCCTGCCTCTCCTGAAGGAGAGGAAATGACCCAGGCCGACTCAATGTGCCCGCCCAGGGAGGTGCACTCACACGCCTGGGTGCTGGCCGGCAACGTGGGGTAGCGCCCTTACCAAACTGGCACAGGGCCCGGCCCTCCCAGGTGGTGGGGGCGCGGGTAACAGCCAGCAGGAAGCAGACTCCAAACTCTACAGTTGAACCAACCAGCCGATAACAGTAAGCTCGTGAAGTCGCCTGGGCAGGTGAAAATGTTCTGGTCTCCATCACACAATTAACCCCTTCCCGGGGCCCGCGCTCAAACAGGAACTGCCATAAATCAAGGTGTCTGTCCAGTGGATTACAGAGCTAAGGAAAAAAAGCCAAGAGGGAAGGAAAAACACGGGAGAGCAAAGAAAGCCGCCGTGCTAGCCCGGCCCCCAGTGGCCCATGCATGGATGGTCCTGTGTCAGCAGGAAAAGGGCGAGTCCGCCGCGAGAGCAGGGACGGCCTGGCGCAGTCTGGGCCGCAGGGGGCCCTGTGCAGGCACCCCGCCCCTGCAGCTGCCGGCCTGACCATCACCATCCACAGCAACAACCAGCGATTCCTCTCCTAGAACTGGGCCCTACGTAGGGGACAGTGTGCCAGCCATGCCTCCTGACAGAACCCTCAGAATCAGTGACTGGAAAGCAGCCTCTGGTCTGCTGGGACCACACACACAGGAAATGGCCCAGTGAGCAGACAGGCACCTCGGCTTCACCAGCGGGCACGTCACTCAGCCTCAGTGTCGTGGCTCCCGGTTACCAGTGACCACTAACGACCCGGGAAAATCCCGTGTCGGTGCCTCATTCTGCAGGGCGGAGGTGGAGACCAGCTGCCCCGGGCGGCCTCCTGCCACACTCAGGACTGCGCCGCCTGGGGGCAGGGACCCCACACCCTCCCGATGGCACTGCAGGCTGGGAGTGCCCCAAGAGAGACAGGCCGGCAGATGGCTACTTGTCAGACTCTCCTTTCCAGCGTCCAGCAGAGGCATCGAGTCCGTAACTCTGGCTCAGTGAGCTGAACGGTCAGGAGCTCCTGGAACTGTGCTCGGGGCTCCATGTTTGGAACCGGGGATGCGGGGGGGGGGGGGGGCCGGGGGGGGGGGGGGGGCACAGCCTCCAGAGCTGCCCTGCTCACTGCCCCAAGGAGGTCTGCACTGGAGGACCGGGGACTGGGGGTGCCCCCTTGTTGGCTCTCCCCTCCAGAACCCCGTCCTGAGTTGGGGTACACACTGATTGCCGGCAAGGACCAGCCCCTCTCTGGGGACCCAGTGGTCAGGGTGGAAGGTAATCACTTCAGACTATCAAGCACCAAAGTAAAGGGACCTTTCCAATCACAGACACAGAGTCCCTGTCAACTGGAGGGGAACCCAATTCAGGACTCGCACAGGACCCCAGGACCCCAGAACGGCTGCCCGACAGCGCTTGAAAAAGCCAGGCCCGCTTTTAGGGAGCTTTCTGGTGACTGGTTCCCAGAGCTCCTCGGAGCACCTGCCTGGACATGGCCGTGAGCGGCATGGCAAGTGCTCGTGTCCGAACCGCACGGTCCTGGACCTGACCGGCAGGGGCGTCGTGACTGCCACACCCCCGCCTTTCCTAGTGTGCAGGGAGCGCGATGGGCCCAGCCTCACTCGTTATGGTTCTCCCAGGAGCAGGCCCGTCTCCCCACGGGGAGCAGCTGGAGGGGGGCCTCCGAGGGCAGGTCCGGGTGGCTCAGGGCCGCACGCTGGGGGGCAGTGCCCTCCCTCCCCAAGGGGCACCCCGAAACCTCGGCCGGCAGAGGTACCTCACCGCCCAATGCCGTGTCCCACCAGGCGGGCAGAGAGCCCCCGGGACCCGGGAGAGCAGAGGCGGGACCCCGCTGCCCGCACCGAGAGGTGGACAGGCGTGGGGCCACGTCCTCCTCACGTACGCCGGGATCTGTCGCAGAGTGTGCACGATTTTTTGCCTGCGTGCAGGGGCGAGTCCTCAAGGGAGAGGGTACAGAGCCTGCGGTCACCCTCTGCCGCCTGTGCCCACAGGCATGGCCGCTGCGCGGCCTGCGCCCGGAAACCCAGTCCTGGCCCTCCTTGCTCCTCCCCCCAGAGCAGAAGCCAGTGTGCCCCGCAGGGTGCTGGGGGGCAGTGTGTGCCCAGGGGGCTCTGACACACACGCTGAGGATGCTGGGGGGCGGGAGGAGAAGAGGGGACATGGCGCACTCAGAGGAGGGAGCCAAACAAGTTACAGAATCTGACCTGCCCAGCCAGACCCTCTCGGGTGCTATCAGATAGGAGATAAATGGCCTAATTAGCCTTTTTAATGGATAATTGCCTCACGGGCCTCAGCAACCTCATTGCTCCACACTCCTGCTGTTCGCCACACCTGTGCGTGCGGGGGCTCTGCTCCCCAGGGGTGCCCGGGCCTGGGTGCTGGTTACACGTGTCCGCAGCAGGGCAGGACCGCCATCATCTGTCCCGGGGCCCACTCGGGGCTCCAAGGAAAGCCAGCACCGTTCTGGCCTCTGCAACATCAAAGAAACCAATAAAACCCCCCTCCGGCTGACGGGCAGAAGTCCGGCAGGGCGTGCGCATGGGGCAGGCCCCCGCGGTCCCCGCTCTGCCGCAACGAGGCAGCCCATCAATTACGGGGGAGGCCAGGGGCGAGAAAAACGGAGAACGCGCTAAAAACAAACGGCATGTGGTTCCAAGGGGGGCCATGTGTTTGGTTACGGCCTCGTGGAAGAAATGGAAACCAGATGTGGCCTCGGCGGGCGCCAGGTGAGCCGGCAGCCCACAGCCCGCCTCCAAGACGGGATGCGGCTGCCGACACAGGCTGTGGACTGCGCCGGCCACGGGGACAGGCGGCCAGGTGCTGACTGATGCCGGAAAACCCACAGCCAGCTGAGATGGGGACACTGGTGCCACAGTCATCCCCAAAGCACACACGGTGCCTGGCGGTGAGGGACCCAGCAGGTGCAGGCCACCCACCTCCCTCTTCCAGTGGACTTTCTCCATCCAAACTGCCCCAGCTGTACAAGGCAATGTGGGACCCGCAGGCAGCACCCGACCACCCGGACTTGTTTCTTCGGTAAATGCCGCCATTCGCCGGGGTCCTCTCTGTGGGGACCCAGAAGGGGAATCTTTGCCGGCCTTCACCATCCCATGAAGATAGAAGAGAGCATAGACCGCTGCTCCGAGCCCCACGACGGACTGTCCCCCACAGCGGAGTTTGTGGGATGCCCGGCTGCAGCCAGGGCTCTCCAAGTCGGAGCCCAGAGACAGACACGGCAACAAATCCAAGGGCCGTGTGCCTCTCACCGCTGGCAGACCAAGCCCCGGCAAGACCAGGCACGTTCAATTCTCTTGCCAGCCCTTCGGGGCCTTTTCTTCGGTCAATCACAGCAGGTGGGCAGACTGGGCCTCTCACTAGGGCACGCGCCCCTTAGCTGTGACCACCAACAGACACCTGAAACTCACGAGCAAACAGCCTCCCCAAGAGGGGCCTGCTCCCGAGGGGCATGCCGGGCAGGCCGTCTGGCAAATCTCAATCCAAGTGGGGGTCTCTTTGCAGGGGGAGGAGAGTCAGAGCTGAACACTGTACTCTTAGTGCAAACACACGCCACCGTCGTCAGAGCAGAGCCCCCCGGAGTGAAGGCTACCAAAAGCACACCCGCCCAGTGCCCAGCCTGAGGCCACGCAGAGCCGCGGGGGGTGAGGGACCACAGGGAGGAGGCCCTCCCAGCTCTGCCTGAGAGAGGGCCACAGGCTCAAAGAAACATCTTCTCTTGAAACCAACTCTGGATGCAACAGAGCCCCTTTAGTACCCCGGAAAGTCATACTCAGACACCACCCTGCACCTCAATAGGCACAGCCACCGGTGGGGTGACAGAGCCACGTAGGAGGCCGCGTGGGTCATCGCCCATCGACGGGTAGGTGGCCTGAGAGCAGCACGGGATATCAAACAAATCCAAGCGGCATTGCTGACTTTGGGCAAAACCTGGCTCGAACCCCACAAACTCACAACCGAACACGCAAATGTGGTAACACCCACTCATCCGCTTACCTGTTAGCGCACCGCACGGGGGGAGGGAGACCTCAGCCCTGTCTGCTGTCTGGCCCCTGGCATGCAAGTGGCCGCACCCCACCCTGGAGGTCCCTGCCCCTTGCATCACCATGGCAGGACAGGGGCAGGTGAGAGAGCCTGGACAGAACCTTCTGCGCACCATGACCCCGAGGTGATGCCGCTGAGGTGCCCCGGGGGGGCTGCGGGGCCGTGTGCATACCTGGGAGCCGGGCCGCCTCTGCCTTTATGACGCCCTCAGCCTCTTCAAGCCGGCCAGCCAGGGCCTCCTTGGCCACGTCCACAGGAGCCTCCTCGCTCACGGACAGCGTAGTGTGCGTGCTGACCACCAGGACGCCCAGGCCGACCCAGAGCACCACCTGGACAGAGACGAAGACCCGTGAGCAAAAGGGGTCAGGCTGTCCCTGTAGCCCTGCCCCGCGTGGGGGGGGGGTGGTGGGCACAGCACATGGCAAGGGGGGCCGGCGGGCACAGGGCACACGGGCCACGGTCCTGCTAGCCTGCCTGACACTCATGCTGGCCGCTAGAAGACGGCGGCTCCTCACTGGTGAACGTGACTGAATCACGGCTAAACCGGCCTGAGCCACGTCGGCAGTGGGGGGAGGGTGGGCCGGGGGCCGCGTGAGGGCAGCCTACAGCAGCCGACCCCCAAGCCAGACCCCCTGCACCGACGGCTGCAGAGGTCAGGCTCCCTCACTGACCCCTCACCCAACAACCGTGCAGAGGGCCCGGGCCCCTGGGTGCCTGGCTCCACGCCGTCTGCGTGTGGTCACCCGCCTCCAGCGTCACCCGCTAAGCTGGGCGTGCCCAGAGCCGCTGGCACAGGCGAGAGGGAGCCGTGGAGGCAGTGGCTCCGCGTCCCCTTCAGAGCAGGGTGCCCCTCAGGGCCACCCAGGGAGCCATGCGGAGGCGCCCCGTCCCTGAGCCCGTCCCTCCCATGAAGGAGCCGCGGCTCATCACAAACGCTGCCCTCAGGAACCAGCACAACCAACCCCACCCCGCGGAAGGCCGTCTCCTCCCCAGGCTCCTATTCTGAGACGCGCACACATGTGACCAGCGCTGTCTGCACTGCCGCGGCTGCTGCTGTTCCTGCTTTGCCCAAGCGCGGCCGCCAGGCTCTCCCCGGGGGGCAGGAAGCCCGGCCCGGAGCCTGGGGGGAGGAGCCCGAGAGGCCACCTGCCCCGGGAGCCAGGAACACCCTGCCGCTCACCTGCACGCGCTCCAGAGCCAGAACATGGTACCTTTTCCCGAAGGGCACGTTGACTTTAAAATGTATCCGTTCGGGTCCAACACGGCTGGAGAAGGGGAGTTCGCGGGGGGCAAGGCCCCCCACTCACAAGGGTGCGCAAGAGCGATGGGGGGGCCCCCAGGACAGGCCCGTTTCTGCACCGCCGCCCCAAACACCGTGCTGGTTCAGTGCTCACAGAGGCCAAGGGCAGGTCACGCTCCCAGGGTCAGCTACGGTTCAGGGAGGCCTATGGGTTCCCGGAGACCCTGGCAGTGACCCCCGACCGCCTGCCGCGGTCAGGTGCCACAGGGCCCCCCGAGGGACGCACAGGATTTGGGAGGTTGGAGCAGCCGTCTGCAGACCCTACAACATACAGCGTGAGGTCGAGTGCCTGACCATGACCTTGCCCTCCCCCCCACTCGTTATTTTTCTAGAAGTGTGACTGTGCCTAGCTTTAGCACACGACATCTTTCCAGGGAGAGAAGATTCATGGGGCAAAGAAGGTGTCCTGAGATTACCAAGGTCATTTCGCCCATGACTTAGAATGACTTAGTGTAACACTTTGCTTTCTGGGCTTAAAAGAAAAATATCACACACAAAATAAAAAACGTAGGGCACCTGAGTGGCTCAGTCGGTTAAGCTTCCAACTTGGACTCAGGTCATGATCTCATGGTCCATGAGTTCAAGCCCTGCGTCGGGCTCTGTGTTGACAGCTTGGAGCCTGGAGCTGCTTCAGATTCCGTGTCCCCCTCTGTCTTCCCTCCCCCCACTCGCACTCTGTCTCTCTCTCAAAAATAAACACACATTTAAAAACAATTTTTTAATCAAAAAAAAATAGAAGATAAAAATAAAAAACGTGAACTCCATCAGCACTGGGAGATACCCGAGCTTCCCGAAAAAGATTGACAGGGCCTTAACTTAAGGTTGCTTTATGAAGGAGAGAGGCCTGCATGGAGCCAGGGGCTTCCGGAGCACGAGCCCAGCTCTACCGGGCCCCAAGCACATGCCTGCCCCAGCCACCCACCGGGACACCCCGCGTTCTGCCCTCGGCAGACCCTGCGCCCCCTCTGCTGAGACACCACCCGCCTCCTGACACACCTGGTTTGCACGCCAGCCCTGGGCCCCATGGGGCCCTCGCCCCTGACCGCTGTCCGTGGCGTGAACAGCGGGGACTCTGCAACGGCCACACGTCCCAGCCACCTTCACCTGTCCTCTGAAGAAACGCCATGGGCACACGGAAGCCCCGGGGCAGCGAAGCCAGAGCCGCTCCCACTTCGGGGCAGCCGTGAGGTTCATGGCATCCAGGTGCCAGTGAGGACACAGGGCCAGTGCCGGTCTGTGGGGTGAGGCCTCACACAGGGACCAGGCTGCCGACTGCGAGCAGGTGCGAGGGAGGCAGGAGCCCGCCGGAGCCAGGGAAGCAGCGGGAACCCAGCCCCACCCAGGAAAGGGCGCCCCAGGGGGGCCGCGCACCAGGAAAGGGCGCAGGTGCCGTGCAAGTCCCCCGCGGCAGCCGTGACAAGTACATGCAGGGCCCCTGAGCACAGACCGGAGCTCTACGAGGCCCCGGGCTCCTGCGAGAGGCTGGGGCTCCCGGGGCCTCCACTCTGCTGTTGAAGTTTGGAGGCCGGGAGCGGAACGTCAAACAGGAACGATGGCGGCTTCTCTAAAGTCCCGGATGAGGGGCCCTGCCCCGGGGGGAAGGAGCCGAGCTCTGTGGCCCCCGGGCCAGCAGCGGAGAGATAGGGCGCGCCAGTGGAGCCAGCCTGGGGCGCAGGGGTGTAGGGGTGCGTGGCCTCAGGATGCGAGTAGGGAGTTCTGGTCCCTGGAGCTCAGCCTCACCCCGGAAGCCCAAGCCCAGCCCCATCCGGGTCTCGCTCTGTGTCAGGCCAACAGGACGAGGCTGACGGGTGCGCCCGGCGTGCCAGCCTTCCGACCTCACAGCCCCTGCAGGCCCAGCGGGAGGACAGACACAATACATTCCGAGGGCTCAGCCCGGGCCTGGCGACACCAGGGGCTTGGCCCGGGGGCCGCACGTGACCCGAGGCCCCGGAGCACCCCTCAAGCCCGTGAGCTGTGGCCTCTAGCCCTGCTGAGGTCCCGGACCCAAAAGGAGAAAAGCACGTAGGGGCGCGGGGAGAAGTTCCACTTTCCCTTCTTACACGAAGCCTACGTGACCAGCACGCAGGCTCCAGCTCTGCACCCCGAGAGGACACCGGGAGGCACACCTGGAGGTTCTGGTCCCCGGGTCCGCGTGGCCAGCGTCAGACAGGAGCTGCGCCCCCAGATCCCAGCCAGGGTCTCTGGTCGAGGTCAGACAGTGGCGACCTGGGGTGGCTGACTTGAATCCAAGACTCGGTGGGCATCTACTTCCTTACTCACACCCCTCGGAGCACAGGTCGACCTTCGGGGCCTGCCCGGGCGGTGCTGCCCGCTGGGCGCCCGGGGGAACAGCACCACCAGGGGGCCGCTGCGCTCTGCTCTCTTCTGGGGGCCCCTCTGGTGGCTCCTGCTCCCCCTGCTGGCCTCCAGGCCGCAGCACGCCGATTCCAGAACCCTCCACCAAGGTCAGGACCGGACACTCTAATTTCTCAGATTCTCAAGATAAGGAATAAACTTACGATGGCAGATAACGTTCCCTTTCGATTCACTAAGGGCTCATGGTGTTTCCACAGTCCTTGCTCCTCCTTCCAGAATGTTTCTCAGGGCACCCCTTCTTCTGAGACTGCCCGCAGCCCCGCCCCACACGCCCGGCACCCAGGCGCCCCTCGTGCAGCTCTCATCTAGGCCTGTGTCCAGGGACAAGCGTGTCGTGTCGAGGAGCACTCAGACGGGCCTGAGGCCGAGTCTGTGCCTTTCTCGGGGGCTCCCGGGACAGAGAGGAGACGGCAGCCAAGCAGGCGCCCTCCGACCCCAGGTCTCTGAGCACCAAACTCCAGCCACAGTTCCAAGTGTGTCCCCTGGGAGATTCGTTTTCCTCAAAACATTGAAGCTACATGTTTGGAGACAAAACACAAATGAAAAGCGGCAGCACATGTAAGTGGCACACCATAGTCAGACGGTCCGTTCCAGAACCGACTGTGACACGACCCAGCAGGGCACTGAGCACAGGGAGAAACTTAACCACCTTCTCCACTAACGGTTAAGGCAATTCAACGTGCTTTCTAGGTTTAAAAAGCCATACCTTCCCCCACTTACTCACTCGCGCTCTTTCTCTCAAAAATAAACTTTTTTTTTAATTTTTTTTTTTTTATATTTCTAGGAGAGAGAGAGAGAGAGAGAGACAGCGTGAGCAGGGGAGGGTCAGAGAGAGAGGGAGTCACAGACTGAAACAGGCTCCAGGCTCTGAGCTGGCAGTCAGCACAGAGCCCGACGTGGAGAGAGAGAGAGAGAGAGACAGCGTGAGCAGGGGAGGGTCAGAGAGAGAGGGAGTCACAGACTGAAACAGGCTCCAGGCTCTGAGCTGGCAGTCAGCACAGAGCCCGACGTGGGGCTTGAACCCACGAACCACAAGATCATGACCTAAGCGAAAGTCGGACGCTTAACCAACTAAGCCACCCAGGCGCCCCTAAACATTTTAAAAAATATCATGATCTCACAGTTCGTGGGTTCGAGCCCCACGTCGGGCTCTGGGCTGACAGCTCAGAGCCTAGAGCCTGCTTGGGATTCTGTGTCTCCCTCTCTCTCTGCCCCTCTCCTACTTGCTCTCTCTCTTTCTCTCTCTCTCTCGCGCGTGCACGCGCTCTCTCTCTCTCAAAAATAAACATTAAAAAACAAAACATAGTAAAGCAGACACAGAGAGATGCTTCTGTGCCACGATTCCATGTGTGCTTACGAAGGTGTGCACGGAGGTGTGCAAACATGCATGTCCCTGTCTGTCCTCGAAGCCACAGGCAGCACCAGGCTCGCCAGTTAAAGACCAGGAGCTGTCCCCGCTGCGTGAGGGACGGCGAGGGGGCCCCTCACACTGCCAGCACCACGGCCAGAGGGACACGACCCACACACGAGGAAAGAGGAGCCCTACCCGCTGGGAAGCAGGGGGGAGACTCTCCAGCGGTCCTGTGAGGAGGGGGAGTTAACATGTGCAGCGGACGGGCCCCTTGCACGAGTGGGGAGAAGAGCTGGCAGAAGAGGGGGTCCCGGGAGTGCAGCTGTGGTGTCATCGACGCAGGGGACAGGCTGGGAGAGGTGGGCCGGACACCACGGCTACGACCTATGGGAAGTCTGCTCTGTTCACCCTGAAGGCCGGCGAGGGCAGAAACACGGCACTTTCTAAATTAATCCACAGCTTCAGTGAATTCCAATCAGACCAAACAACAAAACGCTGGATTTAGTTTTGTTAAGAGTCAGATCGGCTAATTCGAACGTTCTTTGCAAAATGACCAGGCGAGCACATCCAGAAATGTCATTAATAAAAGTGAGGAAGAGGGATCAGAATTCAAACGCTTCCCGAGCAGGGCGCCTGGCTGGCTCAGTCAGGGGGCCAGGGTGCTGGTGGGGGGGCATGCGACTCTCGATCTCAGAGTCGTGAGTTCAAGCCCCATGCTGGGTTCAGGATTACTAAAAATAAATATACTTAAAAAAAAATAGTTGGCTCCAAACTTAAAAAAATGTCTCCAGGGCAACGCGTCACAGTGTGGGGCCCCTGCGCGACCTCGGGCCACGGCAGGGAGCAGTGGGGACGGCTGCACGACTGGGAGGCCAGCGGGGCCTCCGAACGCAAGCCCCACTCCAGGCCCACACACATGCGTCTACACACGGGGGCAGTAACGCCGCACGTCAGGGACGGAGCCGCAGCTCAGGAGTCTACTTGGCTTCTCACCCCAAAATAAGACACAGATGGTCAAAGACTCAAAGTGAATAAAATGAAATCATGAAACTACTAAAATTGAGGAAAAGAATTTTTAAAAACCTCACTGGAGACGTGAGCCTTTCTAACAAGGACTTATCCTTCCCAAGAGTCTGAGGGGCTAAAACTCTGGGACTTGACGGAGGGAAAACACGTGCAATCTGGTGGCCGCAGGCTGGTCCATTCCCAAAGCTCACTAAAAGGGCACAGCTGAAGCCACCGGCAGGCAACCTTGGCCACCGAGACTGCCAGTGAGGACGGAGGCCGGCACGGAGGCTCAGGCCCCCCCTCCGTCCGTGGTGCTGAGCTCCAGGTAAGGCGGCAGCCTGGAGCTGGCACGACTCGTGGGGCGGGCGCCAGGGGTTAGGGGTGAGGGCTCCCGGCAGCCAGAACTCGAGGGGCCACCGTCCTTGGAGAAGGGCACCCACACCCTGTGTGCAGTTCTTGCCGAGGCACGTGCCAGCTGCCAGCTACGCAGAGAGGCGCACAGGGCACCTGCCAAGAAAACCGGAGCCAAGTGCAGAAGTTAGCAACGCGAGGGCGACACACTGAGTCAAGGCCCTGCGAGTGCGAGGGCTGTGCCCTTGGAGTGAGGCAAAGCAGAAACAGACTCACCTCCGCGCAACACTGCCTCCTGCCCCTCCTCCATCTGCTGAAGACGGCACCATCTACCACTTCTCAAACACAAACGACCAAGCACACCAGAAGGCAGGACCAAGCGACAGAAAACCAAGAGGCTGCAAAGGATCGATATAAATAAAGACCGACGGCTTAAAACAGTAACGGTAAGATCTTGTGATGTTTAATATATATGTAAAATTAAAACACACATAAAAAAAGAAGTTTTAAAATTAAAACAAACAAAGACAACAGCACCAAAGGCCAAAGGAGGGTAAATGGAGGCAAAATATCATGAGATACTTGTCTGGGAAATGGTAAAAATAACTTCTAGTCAACTGTAATATACCAAGGGTCCATATTAAACTGACTTGGAACAGAAATGTGCCACTCCAGCTAGCAGAGAAATAAAAAGATGAAATGCCTGATTTATCCAAAAGTCAAGAAGACTTTCTTATCCAAAAGAAAGAAAGAAGAAAACAAAAAAGGACGGGACAAATAAAAAAGAGTAAGACAGAAGTTTTAATCCCCCCAAAATCGGTAATTATATTCAGTATTAAAAAATCGTAGTTTTTTTAAAATCTTAAATACTCTTATTAACAAACTGGATAAAAACAAAACACACAAAAGCCAACTACATGCTGTGATCTAAGACATACTATAAATATAAAAAGCATAGAGAGATCAAAAAAGGATAAAAAACTGTATTGTGTAAACATAAATCCAAACCAAAGTTGAGTTAGTCACACTGTATCAGACAAGCACAACTTTCAGGACAGAAGCATTCCCAAAGATAAAGAGGAACATTTTACAGGAAAAAAGATTAGATGGGTTAAAAAAAAATTTTTTTTTAAATTTTCATTTATTTTTGAGAGAGCACAAGCAGGAAAGGGGCAAAGAGAGAGGGGGTCAGAGGATCCAAAATGGGCTCTGTGCTGACAGCAGAGAGCCCGATGTGGGGCTTGAACTCATGAACCATGAGATCATGACCCGAGCCAAAGCTGGTTGCTCAACCAGGGTTTCGGAGCCCCCCAGGTGCCCCGAAAAGGGTTAGTTTAACAATAACCATCCTAAAACTATATGCTCCTAAAAACATAACGTCAAATTAAAAAGCAAAGACTGATACAACTAAAAGGAAAAATAAACAAATCTACAATTATATGATAACTTGTCAGATCTTTCCCATAACTGATAAACAAGATTTCAAAAAAGAACAAGAACACATAAAACCTGAAAATTGCAGTTAGTAAACTTGACCTAACCAGACATACCCCACCAAGCACCCAGCAGTGAAGACCATGTGCTAGGACACAAAGCAAGTCTCAAAAATGTCAAAGGACCAGAATTCAAGTTCTTCAGCGTATATTCTCCAACCACAAGAGGATCGTGCTTATAATCAGTACAAGAGGCTACTAGGAGATCCCCAAAAGTCTGGAGATCTAAAAAGAAACCACGGGCAAAGAAGACATAATGAAAATGAGGAAATGCTGTGACTTGAAGGGTGGTATGGGATCTTCCATCTACGGTTGGTGCAACCCCGTCAAAATCCAACATGGCTGTGCTGGTGGGGTGCGGCTAACAGATGACACAGAGACAGCTGGAAAGGCAAAGGGCCAGCAAGGGGACAGACCCCCTTGTAGAAGAATGAAGGTGGAGGGCTCCTACTGCCTGACGTGCAGACTCACGGTAAAGCCCCTGGGCTCGGAGCAGGGCTGCGGGAGCGCAAGGAGAGCCCAAGAGACCAGCCACAGAGGAGTCCCAGGCAGTCCCCCGAGGGCACAGGTGACCGGTGACAGCACCGCCACCTCAGTGGTGGGGAAAGAGGGTGCAATCACCTAGGAGCCCTCACCCTACCTCCCTGTCTGTTCCAGACGGAGTGTGCATCTCCATGTGAACGATAGAAGCTTCCAGAATAGAACATGGGAGGCGATCTGCAGGACCTTGTAGAGGGCAAACATTTCTTAAACAGCACATGAAAAGCACCGAGCAAAAGGGTGACAAACTGAAGTACACTAAAATTAAGAACAGCTGTTGGTCAAAAGGTATCATGAAGAAAGTCAAAAAGGAGCTAAGAATGAAAAAAACATTTGCAATAGGTGCTTCTAAAAAAAGATTTCGATTTGGAATCTTCTAAAAACTTCCACAAAATCATTAAGAAAAAGACAGCACGCCTGGATGGCTCAGTCAGTTAAGCACCGAACTTCAGCTCAGGTCACGAACTCACCGTTCGTGAGCTCCAGCCTCGCTCCCGGCTCTGCACTCTCCTTCTCTCTGCCCCTGTGTGCACGCTCTCTCTCTCTCTCTCTAAAATAAACTAAATTAAAATTTAAAAAAAAAAAAAAAGAATATTTAAAAAAAAGAGAGAAAAAGACAACCCAGTTGATGAAATGGGGCAAGACGGGAGAGGCAGTCACAGAGGCTCACGCGGCAGAGGTGCACACGGAAGGGCACTCGGCGTCACCGGCCACCCGGGCGCTGCAGATTCAAACCCGAACGCGGTACCACCGCACAGCCCTTGGAAGGACTGGCACCTGTGAGTGGGGCGGCGGAGGGAAAGGCGACAGGAATTCTAACACGGGGCCAGCACGCCGCTGTCGGAAAGCCGGCGGGAGCCTGGCAAATCCTGCTGAAGCTCGAGAGACGCGAGCCGACGACGGGATAACCCTGCCCCAGTGAGTCACCGACACGGGCACACACGTCACAGAAGAGTTGCGTGGAGGCCCCACTGTCTGCCCGGGGGAAACCACACAAGCCGCCCGACCCCGCAGCGACACGGCCGGCCGCACACGTGACGCGTGGGTACGAGGCCAGTCGGACACAAACCCGCATAGTTCGGCTCCGTTTACACCAACTTGAAGACAGACAAGATTCTCCCAAGAGGTTAGAAGACAAACGAGCGGTAACCTTTGGAGGAGAAAGACTGTGGGGCACCCCGGGAACCTTCAAGTGCTGGAATGTTCTAAACCTGCCGTGGACAGTGGCTCTGTGGCTGGGCTCACTTAGCAAGGGGTCAGGCTGTGCGCCGAGAAGTGGGTGCTCTGCTGTATGCAGACCACACAGTACTCCTGAAAGAGTCCCCAAACCACACCGGAGAGAAAGAGCTCAACAAGCCCCTACAGGGCGGGCAAGGGGCCAGTCTATCCCAGAGCTGGGAAAGAGGCCAGTCTATCCCAGCATGGGGCAAGGGGCCAGTCTATCCCAGCACTCATGCACGCACACACTGGTCACGGTTGCCTCCATGTGGCACAGCGCTGCTGAGGGGGGCCCATCACACAGTCCGGGGAGACAGCTGGGGCACCGCAGCCCAGGGGCAGGGGGGCACGGAGCGTGCAGCGCACACACACTCACAGAAGCCCCACTCACCATCCAGAAAACATGTCTGGACAGAAGCGGTGTAGTACCCAGCACTCTGCTAAGTAAGCTGGTGTGATGCCCACCCCCCCCACCAGGGCCCCGGGAGCCCCCACGGGCCCGTGGCAGTGGCGCAGCCTCACCCTGCACCCCCTGTACCGCTGGCCCAGGCACGTCGCCTCCCGAGAAGCTCCTGCCTTCTCAGCCCCACTCAGCCCTGACCGACCCCGTGGGCCGAGCCGCACTCACCTGGGAGGAAAGGGCGTTCTTGTGGATTTTCTTATAGATCAGAGCCGGGCAGACGAAGCAGATGAGGCTTCCCATCGTGGCGCCCGTGAGGCCCAGGATTGTCTCCACTGGGAACGAGAAGCCACAGGAAGGCGTGAGGGCCAGGGGCGCCGGCAAGGGAGCCCAGGGGCGCAAGCCATCCTTGCCACGAGGCCCCTCCACACGTGCCCCCAGGACACCCGTGGGAGCGGAGGCGCGGCCTCCTGTGTCCGCAGGCACACTGAAAGGGACCCGGTCTGAGACCACACACGGGCCACAGCGTGGTCAGCAGCCCTGGGAGAACCAGAGGCCGCACCTTCCTGGCTATGGAGTCTCGGGCAAGCCCCATGCTCTCCGCACCTCAGTTTCCTGGCCAGTGAAATGGGGCCAACATGGCTCCCTCCCTTCACTGTGCAGTGTCTTCCTGTCGGGCCTGGCACAAACCGAGGCCCGAGGGTACCACCCTGACCTCTCACAGAGCGCGTGGGTGTGCAGCGGGGACTCCTCGGGAAGCTCATCTTAGATCGCCACCCCCTCCACCCCGTGTGGCGAGGGACGGGGCAGCACGGGTGCCAGGGCACGTGGAGAAGCCAGGATGCGTGGGCGGATGGACACGGGCACCTGGCTGGGTACCCAGGGGGGGACCTGTGGGCCGCACCGGGTGCCCGATGACAGGACGCTCTGTATGTCAGAGAGCACGTGTTTGACAGCTCAGACCCTGCTCAGGTCCTTCACCGCCCACCGTAACGTGTCCTCAGAATCAGGAGCCGACGGTAGGGAAGAAGCCGTGGCACCACCAACGACCGCGCACGCCAGGCCCGGGTCCCTGCTTCGCAGCATCGCCCAGGGCAGAGGAGAGAGCCGGCCGGGAATCAGGCCCCGGAGCAGCCTCCCTCCCACTTACCGTTTGGGATCATGATCCCGCCGACCATGGTCCCGAACACGACTGAGAGGGTGAGCACTTTAAACCGCAGAGGCGGCATGTAGCCTCCAGCCGCGAAGGTCCCGTCTTTCTGCTGGGTGAAAGGAAGCCAAGACAAAGCGGTTTTGAAACGACGGATTCCCCCCACTCTCCGGTGAGGGCTCTGCCTGGGCCGCCGGTGGGCGAGTGCCAGGCCACTGGCTGTGCGCCCCAGACGTGCCACGGGAACCGGGACCCCAAACCAGCAACGCGGCAGGAGGGCCCGGCTGCGCCTCATATCAGGCCTGGAAAGCAAATTTTGTAACTGCTTCTCGAAACGTTAGCGGCAAATCCTCCCGTTTTCCTGCAGAGCAGCCCTGGGAGAGGCTGAGAACCGTGCCCCGTGGAGCAGCACGGGCCCCGCAGCCCCGCACGCAGGCTGGTGGTCTCTGAGTGGAGCGGAGGCCCCCGGGGGCACGCTCTGGGCACAGCCGCGTGCCACCATGCCGTCCGCTTGCACTTCCAGGCGCTGGGCACGCAGCCCGAGCGGGAGGAAAGGGGACACAGTGTGTCACCACACCCAAAGGTCCTCCTCCTCCTCCGAGGCCCGTGCACCAGATGAAGCTTCTAGAGCAGTGTGGGGCACACAGGAGGGGCTGACCACGGTTCCCATTCGTGGGCTGGGAAGACGCCGGCCCAGGGGAGCTCAGGGCCTTCCATGACTAGAACTGCAAAGCACCCAATTTCCAGAAAAGACCTCGACGCGTGCCTGTGCGGTCACGAGGAGTCCCGGCTGACACTGCAGACCGGACTCAAGGACCTCAGGCCAGAGACCCGAGACACCACCGTGGAAAGCAGCTGCGAGGCTGTGCGCCCCCAAGACGTGTGCCCCAGGTGGCAGGAGCCGCCACACGTGGACCTTCTGTTTTTAACTAGGCATCGAGAGCCGAAAGAAACTTCTAGTTCCAACCCGTGCATTTGAAAATGTCTCATAAAGGGCTAATCAGGGCCATGAGTGCATACATGAAAGCGAACGAAACTCAGGCTCTTCTGGAAGCTTCTGTCCAACCACTGAAACTTTTAAGTTCCACCAACATGAAGAGCATCATATGCCGACCCCAGTGCCCCTCTGCTGACCTGGCTATTGTCACAAAGTGGCTCTGCCACGTTCCCTCTCCCTCCCCCCTCCAAGGGTTACGCTCAAGGCCCAGTTCCCTGCTGCATCTTTGTTTCGGGGATGACAGGGGTGGGGCTGGGGAGTCACAGCGCGGGGCCCTGCCTGCATGGACACTCTCCGTGCCCCCATGTGAACAGACCGCTTGTTCCTGCTCTTTTCTCCAAAGCTGGCTTTTAAAAAAAAGTCCCGGGGCGCCTGCAGGGACACTGCCCCCTCAGTTTACTGTCGACTTCGGCTCAGGTCATGATCCGCGGGTTCAGGAGTTCAAGCCCCACATCGGGCTCTGTGCTGACAGTTTGGAATCTGAAGCCTGTTTTGGATTCTGTCTCCCTCTCTCTCTACCCCTCCCCTGCTTACATACTCTCCCAAAAATGAATAAACATTTGGGGCGCCTGAGTGGTTCAGTCGGTTAAGTGTCTGACTTCAGCTCAGGTCAGGATCTTGTGGTTTGTGGGTTCAAGCCCCACATCGGGCTTTCTGCTGTCAGTACAGAACCTGCTTTGGATCCTCTGTCCCCCCCTCTCTCTGCCCTTCCCCTGCTTATGCTCTCTGTCTCAAAATAAACAAACTTAAAAATAAGTTTTTTGGGCAGGCGCCTGGGTAGCTCAGTCAGTTAGGCGTCCAACTTCGGCTCAGGTCGTGATCTCACAGTTCATGGTTTCGAGCCCCGCGTCAGGCTCTGTGCTGACAGCTCTGTGCTCAGAGCCTGGAACCTACCTTCAAATTCTGTGTCTCCCTCTCTCTGACTCTACCCTGCTCACACTGTCTCTCTATCTCTCAAAAATAAGTAAAACATTTTTAAAAAATTTAAAGAATAAAAAATAAAAAATAACTTTCTTTTAAGGGCTTGATCCTATGCAGGGCTCGACCCTGGGATTGCGGCCGAAGCTGAAATCAAGACTCAGACACTCAACCAACCAAGCCATCCGGGCGTCCTGAAGCCTGTCCATTTTTAACTAGGAAAAGCTCCCCTACCACCACCCAGAGAAGTAAAGAAGCAGCAAAAGCCAACAAGAGAAAACACGACTGAGACCAGGAAAGCCGTGTTTCCCCGGCAAACTGCCGTCCGAGGGGCCCCGAGAACCTTACCTGCTGCTCAAAAAGCAACGTGTTCAAGGCCTGTCGACACGGCAGGATCATCATGGGGAAGCCCACAGCCACCGACATCATGAAGCCCACTCGCATCATCTCCGTCACCAGGTTGGAGGGAAAGTGCATCAGCACGTTGCCCGCGGTGGCCTCAGTGAAGCTCACGTAGCCGAAGAAGCCGACCTGTGGAAGGCGACGGCGGAGGGCAGAGGCGTGGCAGCACCCCCACCCCCCGGAGACGGCCCCCAGCGCACGCCGGACCCCTGCTTGTAAACCGCCCCCACAACTGGAAGGCTGTCGTGGGTGAAGGTCCATGAGCTTCCGTGGGGACAGCAGGTACGGGGAAGAGGCTGCCACGGAGATGGCAGCCTCGAGAAGCCCCACATGCCTGCAGAGCGGCCAGTCTTCATCTGGTGTGAAATCCAAACCCGAGAACCACGGAGCAAACCGTGCTTGCCCGAGGACGGACACGGCGTGGACGACAGTCTACAAGGCCCATGTGCCACGAGGCTCAGGGAAGCAGGCTAGGACCTCAGCGCACTGGGAGTTTTATTTGCAACGTGAAAAAACACAACAAATGGGAACATTAAGAAGCCTGGAAGAGGGGCGCCTGGGGGCTCAGGCGGTTACGCGCCCGACCTCAGCTCGGGTCGTGATCTCGCGGTTCGTGGGTTCGAGCCCCGCGTCGGGCTCTGTGCTGACAGCTAGCTCAGGGCCTGGAGCCTGCTTCAGATTCTGTGTCTCCCTCTCTCTGCCCCTCCTCTGCTCACACTGTCTCTTTCTCTCTCAAAAATAAATAAAACACTAAAAAAAAAAAAACAAAAAAAAAAAACCCAGAAGCCTGGAAGAAAAATCTACTGAAATGTCAACTGTAACGGCCCCTGTGGGCTGGAATCAGAGGTTACTTTCTTCCTCTGCAATTTTACACTTTCCAGGCTCTGGAAACAGACACACCCCTTTCCGGAGCTGATTGGCAAAGATCTCCAAGAAGTACAAGGAGACTCTCAGCCAGGGCAATCCAGAACAGTCCGTGCCCGCACTCCCCCGGGATGGGAGAGACAGCAGCGCCACCCAGGGCACAGCGGGCTTGCGGGTGGCTGTGGAGCTGAACTGAGGGGGTCTGGACAGGAAAGAAGCAAAGGGCAAGCCTGGTCGCGGGGGGGAGGGGGGACGGCAGGGGAGGAAGGGGTCGAGAGCCAAGTCCGTTCTGACATGGGAGATGAAGGGAGCGTGTGAAAGGGCTCCTACCATGACGTAGAAGGTGGTGACCACATTGAGGGAGGAGGCAAATATTGAGCTCATGGTTTTCACCGACGGCTCATCCAGGCTGTCGTAGGTGGGCAGAACCTGGCTGTAGAACAACAAGCGACTTCAATGAGCAGATTCCAGAGAGGCACGCCCTGCGGCTCCCCAGCTCCCAGGTCCCCGGTCCCTGGCCGCGTCTCCAGCACCTTCCTTCCACCCACACCCGCCACCACGGTAAGTCAGGGCCGCGGCCGACCACGGTTTGGATGGCGGACGGCAGCCCCTCACACCCGGCGCGCCCCCCTAACGAGCTCCCCGTGAGCATCTCAGAAGCGCCACAGAACGAAGGGCCGTCTGTCCCGCCCGGGCAGAAGCGTGACGGCGGGGGAGCGCTGGGCTGCAGGGGAGAGGCCGAGCTGGCGGGGAAGCAGGAAGCGGCTCAGAGCACTGCCGTAATAAGAACAGAGCTAAACAAACATCAGCAGGGCCAGGCCACCTGCCCCCGCCTCAGGGCTGGTGATCGCAGCCCGTCCGCGCCAGGAGTGCAGAGGGGCTGGGGGGGAGGGACTCGTCCGCCAGGCGCCGTGTGAACAGAGTCACTGAGGGGAGCAGGTGAGGAGAGGCGGGGGCGGGGGGCAGGGAGGGGAACAGGGAGATCTGTGTGTGGCCCCCGGAGGGGGGGCTGCACTGCGGGGGGTGGGTGCATCCCGACAAGGAGACAGGGATGGAGCTGTCCTGGGGGTGAATGACGGAGGGGCGGCCACTCTCCATCCCACGTACTGTGGCGTCAGGGTGAGGGTGAGGGAGCCACAGCCGGCGGCCACGAACGCGGGGTGCTGGCTGGCAGGGGTGCGCCGGGACACAGAGGACCGTTGCCAATAAATGGACAAGCAGAACGGTCAGTGGAGCCAAACCCCAAAACCACCTTCTAGAAACCGAGAGGAAACACCACCAAAAAGCTAACGGGAACCAGTGGGAAGACCCGGCTGGGCGCACTGTCCCCTCAGGGCACCCACAGTGGGCAGGGGCACCCGCACGGCCGGCCTCCCCTCAGCCTGGCTGGAGGGCGCCAGGCAGCACGTGCCGTGGAGCCCACGCACGTGGCAGGGGACACGCAAGGGAAAGGACACAAGCGTCTCAGTGCCGAGCAGCTGCTGGGCTGGGGCGGGTCCCCACGGGCCAGTGCCGGCTCGGGGCAGCGGGTCAGACCCCAGGACCGGGACTTCCCTCCCGCGGCCCCCAGCGCACACCAGGAGCTGCGGGGACTGTGTGGCGGGGCCTGTGCCCGGCACGTGGACAGGAGCGAGTGTGCGGAGGCCCAGGCGGGGACCCCACTCTAATCCTGCCTGTGCCCCAGCAGCCCTGGCAGTGCGAGCCACAGGCGTCCACGGTGACCCCCCCCCCACGCTCCCCAGAGCGCTCACACCGGCCGCCCCGCCAAGCGGTCTTCGCGGGGACCAGGCCTCTGTGCTCAGCGCTCTCTCGGCCGCTGCTCCAGGCCTCGGGGCCCAGGGGTGCGGCACCAAGTCCTCCTACTATAAAGTAAGACCAGAGAGCGAGAGCCAAGCAGAGACATGGCCCGTCCCTGCGAAAAGGAGACCAGTCACGCACGCAGGGCCTGGCGGTCCCTTAGCGGTCACCCGACAAAGGCGGGCAGGAGCCCCTGTCCCGCACGCACTCTGGTGCAGAGGTGCAGTGGGAGGGGAGAGCTCTGTCTCTGCCCTTGGCAAATGCAAGTGTTTTTAAGGATGGGGAGGTCAGCAACCTGGTTACGCCGAGCTCTGAAAGCGCTGCGGCCCCCCCGCCAGCCGCTCACTGGGGGGAGCGTGGGCGCACCTGCAGGCCGACGCCCTCCGCGAGCAGCAGAACAAGACAGGGACCTGCAACGCTTCCGGAACCTATCATTTGACCCAAGAACCCGACCCGAAGGCTGTGCGCTGCACGACGTGGCCACCAAAACGCCCAACCCCGGGTTTATTTTTTAAAAAGCAAACTCACAAGCAAAAAGGACAACCGGTAACTAGGTACGTGGTAAGAGACCGTAACGTCTGTCACCGGTTATAATGGGGACATTAAACAGCAAGAGAGGAGCACGTGCTGGTGGAGCGCGAGCTGCCAAGAGAGACAGCGAGCGGGAAACGACGGTTTGGATCTCGCGTGTGGGTGTAAACACAGCAGCACAAGCGAGTGTATCTGCCACATTAGTTTACGACTGGCACAGCACGTGCCCACTGGAGCCCCGGGGGGGGCTCGCTCTGCCAGCCCCCCCGCGCACCGATGGTCTTTTCCCGTCTGCACCGGATTTACGCCTCTCTTCTGAGCGGGTTACCGTTCCGCCCGGGCATGAATCACTGGCTCCTGTCATTCGGTGAGGACGGTAACGCTGCTGGAATTATGGAAATCGCCTGATCTGCACTCACAGGGCCCCACGTGCCAGAGAGAAAGCACACTCGCGCACGCGCACCCCCCTCTGGAGGCGCCCCGGCGACAGTCGGAAGTCAATGTTTGTGCAATTTCCTTTTAAATATTCTCACACGAACAGCTCGGTTTTGGCAAAATGCTCGGGACTGTGTGAATCAGATGGTTTTGGGCTGTTCTGGGCTCCCCACCGCCAACTCTTCGGGGAGGGGGGTGGCGAACTGGGCACTGTCCCCAGTACTGCCGGCAGCACGTCCCAGGAATGAAGTCGAGTTCCCTCCTGATAAAAATACACACGGCTCTCTCCCTCGACTTGGAGGGGAACGAGGCTCAGTGCAACGAGACACAACAAGCTGGTGGCCCGCGTCACCAATCACAGAAAACGGACGACACCCACCTCCCTGTGAGGACCCCCGCCCCCGGGAGACACAGCCGGAGCCCCTCGGAGCGGCCGGCACTTACGACTGGCAGGCGAAGGACATGCCGAAGATGGGGATGCAGCGGAAGACGCCCTCCCAGCGCACGTAGCTGACCCGCTGCAGCCACTGCCCGCCGAACAGGCCGTGCTTGAGGGAGGAGAGCACCATCTGCATGGGAACAAGACACGGCTCAGAGCGCACACACGGATGGGATGCGACTTGGGACCCTGGGGCCACGGCGTGGACCACAGCATGGACGGACACACGGCGTGGCCACCCCACCACGGCCACGTGCTCCCCTGGGCCCCCCCAGCCCTCGAGGCAGCCGCCCCCAAAGGACATGAGGGCAGGGTGGTCCCCAAACTGGTAAGGTTCTTCCAAACCCAACCTGGACACTTTTTTGTTTTGTTTTTGAAGTAAGCTCTATGCCCAACGCGGGGCTCGAACTCACAACCCCAAGATCAAGAGTCATACGTTCCTCCAAGTGAGGCAGCCAGGAGCCACCCCCGACCCAGACACATTTTAAAAGACAAACCCGGGGCGCCTGGGCGGCTCAGTCAGTCAAGTGTTCGGCTCCTGATTTCGGCTCAGGTCATGATCTCAGGGGTTTGTGAGTTTGAACCCCATGTTGGGCTCTACACTGATGGCACAGAACCTGCTTGAGATTCTTTCTCGTTCCCTCACTGCCCCTCCCCCGCTTCTTGTGTTCTCTCTCTCTCAAATAAATAAGTTTTTAAAAAGAACAACAACAAAAAAAACCCACAGAGGACAGGCTGTCTAGAGAGCAGGGGTGGCCCTCACGATGGCGGGTGGGGGGGTGCTGGCAACACCCACCCGCGCTCGGAGTTCCGAGGAAAGCCCACTGCGAGATTCCCACTCCGTTCACTCAGGACTGGGCACTTCCAGCCTACGCTGCGAACGGGCAGGCCCGGGGCTCGGCTCCCAGGGGCTCCCGCTCGGGCCCTCCAGGTGCGCAGCAGGAAACAAGCATTCTAAGCGTGAGCTCCACACGGACCCCCGGAGCTGGCTGGCCACACGCTCCTCTAGAAAGCACCTTGCCCCCTTGTGACGAAACACTGGCGCCATGACTCCAGATCACGAACTGCACACAAAATGTCTTTCTGTAGAATGGGGGGGCATCCACGCTTTGTCTCTGGGGAAACCGGCCACACCCCCTGCGCTGGAGGACTCGCCTCTCCCGCTGTCGACACCTCCAAGTCCGGGCGGCCTGTGTGCCCCTCCAAGGCTCACGAGGATAACTACCACCTCCCCGCTTTCCAGCACATTCCCGTCATCCCCAGAAGGCAGCTGGGGGCCAGGCCAGGCCGTGGGGCGGCGGCACTCACCACGAACATGAACACGGTGTAGAAGATAAGGGCCATGGCGCTGAAGGACTGGATGGAGGCCATCATGTTCCTCTGCAGGCTGAGTGGGAGCACGATGCACAGGGACACAGCAAAGAGCAGGAACACGCGGAAGGTGCCGGTCACCTAGGGGAGCCGAGCACGCCGGGAAGGCCTTTCCCTGGAGGACCCCAGAGGTACCAACGTGCCACGTAACCCCAGGGCGTCCTGTCTGCCTTCCTGTCCACAGGAGGCCCAAGCTGTGGCCCCACCAAGCCACCACGGGAGCCGCCACAGGAGCCACCATGGACACTCGGTGCACTGGGCCCGGGCCTGTCTTACCTGAAACCCAAACAGCCGAGCAAAGAAGTTGGAGCCCAGGTCGCCAATCACAACGTAGAAGGCCATGCAGGTCCCCAGCATCAGGCCGATCGTGCTGCGGAGGACGGGGCTGGGATAAGACGCCGCCGCGTAGCGGGAGTCCACTGGCCCTGCCCCTGGCCAAGACCCGGGAGTCCCCGCCGACCGCCGAGGCCAGGCTCGGAGTGGTGGCGGCTGGTGCCCACCAGTGTGCAGGCTGGGGGTGCTGGGTGCAGGGTGCTCTCTACTCGCAACGAACACTGAACAACTGAACTCCTCTCTCCACAGGGGCCGCGCACTTTCTCTCCGGAGCTACCGCGATGCTCCTCCAGTTAAAACAATAATCAACTGCTTTCAGAGAGACTAATTTTGCGCTCACGGTTCCCTAAAAGGTACTTTCCCAGCAATTTTTTCTTCTCATCAAACTTTACTCCAAAGGGAGAAAGAGATGACATTTCCAACATAAAGCTACCTTGAGGCAGTGGCATGGAGGGCTGGGGGCGGAGGGGCATCAGGAGCAGGGCCAGGAGGGGGGCCAGCCAAGCGAGCGCCACTCTGCCGTGTTCCGAGCTGCCCAGTCTCAAGACTTAAATAAGACTTTCACCCTCAACACTAACCATTTTAAGAGAACACTAAATCAAACTTTCAACTAATCAGTAAGTGACACTTCAGAACAGGATAACCTTCTAAACAAGGGTACATCTGAGGCGCGTGGCTCATGCCGCTGCCGTCCCCAGGCTCCTCCTCAGCACAGGCGGCGAAGGGCAGCAGGCGTCAGGCCGGTGAGGCCGCACCACCTACCTGGTCTCCACCAGCATCTTCCCCGCTTTTCCGTAGGCGAGCAGCGCTAGGGCAGAAACAGAGAATCAGCTCCCAGCCAACAACATGAAAAGTGCACCATTAAAAATGCCTCTGAGACGACAGGAAAGCAGGGGGAGGCAGGGGGAGGGCAGGGGGAGGCAGGGGGAGGGCAGGGGAGTGCAGGGGGAGGGCAGAGGGAGGCAGGGGGAGGGCAGGGACAGGGCAGACAGTGCCAGGTCTGGGTTTTCGGTCACTCCGGCGCGCCCGTTTCCACAGCTCACGCCAAAGGGACCTGGCTAAGGGCTCTAACGTTCACTCTCTGTGACTTCAGAAGAAAACTCGGAGAATCCTTTCCAGTGGGGCCATCCGGGTGCGAGGGGACAGGAAGTCTCAGACCTGCCCCCTTTCTGGATAGACA